TCAGCCAAATTAAACAGAGAAGCAGAACACTTCCATTAATTTATTCTAGATACATGGGAAATAGAAGCTAGCAGATTATGAATCACTCAGCTAGCATGTCAATCTGGATGCTCCTAGAGGGTTATATATTATCCTCATCACCTTTTGTGTATATCCTCATATTGATATAGAAACCGGATTTATATCCATTATAAAAATATATAAATATAACTCATCACCTAATGGTGGCGTTTTGGTACCCTGATTTTTGTTTAAAGAAAAAGGTTTACAGGCAACCTCATAATGCTACACACGTGATTTTCTTTGCCTAAGCTATTGTTTGACCATCCAATACCAGCCATGCAGGCTTCTAAGCCGTTTGTATGTAGAATTAAATTTAAAAATATACTGTTAATATCTATTTTTTCTTAGAAATATCATAGATGCACATTTTTTGACACAAATATACCGTCGGTGTCGCTGAACCGCTACGCGAAAGTGAAGTGGGGTGACGATGCGAACGGTCTCGCGGAGGGACGGTGCGAGAGCGCCACTATCAAAGACTAGAAAGCTCCCGTGTGCTGCAGAGTGTTACCGGGTGTTTTTCAAAAACGCACGGTAACTTACCGGGCGTACCACTATGAACTCGGTAACCCAAGAAAAAATACCGGGTGCTAGGTTGAGCACACGGTAACTTTAAACTTACCATGTGTAGCGTGTAAGAACACAGTAACCTCCATGGCACGTGCTCATATTCTGCTCTATTCCATTGGCCAGCAGTGGAACTTCCGTTCACACCTAACGGAGCTAAAGTTCCCGTGTTTATTTTTCTGCGCTAGACGTTCGCTAGAAGCTACAAAGTAGTACAGAGATGGTCCACATGTCGGTTGCTATTGAAAAAAATTAATGCAGTTCAAGGGTAATACACATTTGAACATTGTCGCGCAACCAACGTGCGAGACCAAGCGGTTTCGCTCACTGAGCGTACAGCATACGGACCGCTTGGTCTCGCGGCCTCCACATGCGACACCGAGCGGTCTCGCTCTCTCAACGCGATACCGTAATATCAGTGGTATATTTGTGTCAATAAAATTGTATCCAGTATATTTCTGAGAAATAAAAAATAAATGGTATATTTTAATTTTAATTCTTTGTATATATGGTGGTTAATTTTACTTTGCGGTGTTCCATTCTAATTAGCGCCTCGCGGCATGACCGGCACCTGGCCCTGATTCAATAGCTAGAGAACTCTCTTGTAGGAGATGAAGATCTTCTTTGATGGTTTACCTAGATTCTGTCGTACAATAGACTGAATTTTAGAGCCTTTTACCCCTTGTTTAATTTCTGAATATTCAGTCCAGGTTTTGGGTCTGTTCAGTCCAAGAAGTAGTACGGTTTGTATTTAATTTGGATCATTTTTTAATGGTCCTAGATAGGATGATTTTGGGGAAAACTTCAATATAGAATTTGCAGACACAATGTTTTAAGCTTTAATACAAAGCAATGTTTACGGAAATCCGATGCCTATAGAGAGATTTGTCTTTTAAAAAGGTTAGTTGTTTCATCGGATGGGCGAAGTTCCAGATATGTTTTTCAGATTGGATTTTCGAGGTGAATTATATATATAGCAAAATCTAGGTGTTGTGCTAAAATGACATTAGTTTGCAAACTTAGTGTAGCAAATCATGGAATAATAGTTAGATAATTGAGCAATGGTAACATTCCAAGAGAAATTAGGGTTTAAATGATAACTGGGCAAAACACAAAGAAAAGGCAAGCCAGAAAATTTCAGTAACGGCAAAATCAATATAGAATCGGCAAGAAATTTTGTTCTCTCTAGCTGCATCATGCGGCCACATAAACTACTCATGTCTTCTTTCCCTGAATACCGAGTGGCAAATTGAGCGCGCGTGGTTTGCTCGTGTGCAGCCTGCTGCCTTGCTAGCTCTGACACTCGCGGCTGCCACTAGGACTGATGAGATCTTCCTTTTGATCAACCGGTTGACAGGCATCATCCATGAACTCCCTCAAGCTGCTCTTGATGAGCAAAAGGCACATGATCTAGTGGAAGTTGAAGTGACAGAACAACTGTTGTCTTCGTCGATGATGCGCCACTGGTAATTAAACAGCTCACCATATGTGGTTATCTGCGCCCTGGTGGGCCAGGCAAATGGTATGGTGATGTACTGCATCAAGCTTGGTACCAAACGCCTAAAAAAACATTTGCACTTGCAACATCGAAGACACCGTGAATGGCAAGCGGCCGGCATTCAATTGTGGACACACTCCATGTTGAAAGGATTGTGAGATTCCTAGAGGGAGGGGGTGGATATGCTCTTTTAAACTTAATCGAAAATGTAAAGCAGAAGTAAGTTGGATATAGCCCAAACTATCGGATGTTCCAATATTTATCAGATTGTTCGATCAAAAATCAGACACTCCATATTCCGATCAGGGGTCCACTGTATGTACCAGCCCGTGTAAAACATAAAACCTAGATAGTAACTTATGTGATCCGCCACTATAAAGATTTTATCCGGACAGTTTTACTCCAAACACTGTACAGCCCGTATAAAACAGTGTTCACATGCAGGTGTCTTTCTTCCGCTGTCCATGAAAATTGTTCTTCACAGGGAGGCCACCTTTACACTTAAGCGAATTTCTGCAGGCCTACAACCCCCATTTGGAGGGCCTAAATATGCACTTTCACATGCGAGAAACCTTCTACTATTTAACTACACAAAGAGGCAAATGTGCTCATGGTGGAGACGTCACTGCAGCCTCCTCAAGTGGCCTGCATAGTGCATGATAATTGTTTTACACTACCGCCACACAGGGGCGGAACCACGCCTAGGGCAGCTTGGACTCATGCCCCAGGCGTGGAAAAAAATTTGTTGGTCTTATACCTAGAAATTGATCAGATATTTCTATCATTCCATGTCTCAGCCCTAGGCTTAGAATGATTTAGCTCCTTCACTGAACGATTATTTAGAAGCCTATTTTAATTGCCAAACTCACTGTTTGTCTGGACTAGTAAGTATAAACATATAGCCCAACAATCCTACAAACAAAACCCTATGCTTTAGCGTCTTGTCCTCCAACTCCTAGAAGGCTAGAATCACTGTGACATAGTAGCGGCGGTGCATCCTCACCTTGGCTTCAAGTTCCAATTTTCAATTCTCACTGAAACTGACTTATTTTCAAATACACAGCAAACACACACGCATCACTATATATGCGGCACCACACCCACACCAGCGAAAGCAACAAACTGGTTTTATTTTCTTATGTTATTTTTTTTTCAAAAAATTTGACTTTACTAAGTAATAGATATGCTTATTTCCATCTATAGGAGCACTACAATTTATTGGGTAAATTGTAAGGGCGAGGATAGAATGGACCATCTAATGTAGAGAGGAGTTTTATGGACCTTAACATAGGTCTTTTGGATAGCTTTAGTCTTTGGTTTTGAGCCCTAGGCTTGGAGAAATCCTGGCTCCACCACCACCCCAACAGGATTGGCATCTACAATATCTATACCTATCTCCCATGTTGGCCTTTCACAGCAAGAAGTTCCCTCAGCTCTTATAACAGGATGGGTGTACGAAGATAATCTCATAGCTGCATCCGTTGAAATTAGACTATGACAATGATGTTAAATACAATATATCAATTCTAGAAATTGGCGATAAACTTATGAGGTTGCGCAAGACCTAAGAACTAATGGTGACACATAGGGAATTTTTATATAGGTTTAGGCCCTCACGAGGAGATAATACCCTACGTCTTGTTTCTAGATTGGATTATTGCTTGTGTCTAGGGTTGACAACACTGTGCAGGAGTATGTGCGTGCATAGCTGACCCTTACATGAGATAATCGGAAAAGTGTATCTCCTATTTATTTGTTTTGTTTAGATAATTGGAAATTGTATGTTTATGTATATACTATATACACATCTTTATTTAAAGCATATGAAACACTCTTTTGAATAACCATTCAATAAAAGATTGTTATTTTTTCCGATGTTGTCCAATCAATTTCAAAGTGACAATTTCAACAAGTAATAAACAAACTTGAATCTAGACGTGCTAGCTACACCAAGAATTCACGAAGATTCTTCAACATGGTTAAGCAGCTACGACAGGCCTCCAACTAGGGCACCTCCATTGTGGCCTCGAGCTACTCCAGCAAGCCCGAGAGGCGATGTGTGCAGGCTCTTCATGGCCGCCACAAGTGATGCCTAGGCCTACTCCACCGCTCAGTTGAGCCGCTCAAGCAGCGAGACGACGGCGACGAGCCACACAGTCACGATGATGCCACCCTGTATATCCTATGGATCCCAACTATGGCTAAGGGAAAATCCTCTAATTTCTTTTTTTTTATTTTCTTTTGTTTTTATGAGGTAAGTACTACCCTAAACTAGGCTAGGCTAGCTAGTGCTCTCATCGGTTGACATAAATGGATATGGCTAATAGACCGTAGAAAGGTAAAAGAAATAGTTAAAATGGTATGCAGGTAAGCACTTTACATATTTATTACTAGAGGCTTAAAAAGTCAAGTCTAGAGTTTAATAAAAAAATACCAATCAATTCAAAAATTTTCAAAATTATAATTTAGTTATAGTTGATAAGCCAATGAGTAAACGATGAATATTTCCCAATTAATGAGTCTTAGTCCATGGGTATAGACAACTAGACATGCATATTAGACATGCATATTGTTATAATCAAGATTATATACAATTTCTCACTACATACACATATCTATACTAATATAAAATATAGTAATAATGCTGGTGGTGATTATGCCACCAGCCCACAATCACTACTTTTGCATGTTTTACAAATTAGTCTCTAATAGTTTTTGATACTATGTAATAGTTTAATATTTATTTGAATCAGTGAATAAAATCTATTCAAATAAAAGGTTTAGAATTTTGCTAGTATTAATAAAAGGTTTTGTTCTGGCAGAAAAAAAAAAACGAGAGTTCAGACTTCATACTTCAGAACTTCATACCACGGAAGCCCACAAGGGAATCCTACTTTGCTTGCTCTCCGAAAAAAAAAAGGGGGAAAAAAAAAGCTCTTTTCCTCTCCTCGCGTCCATCCGCGATCCACCACCTCCTCCTCCCGTCTCCGGCGACCGCCGCCGCGCCATTACACCCAGACGCGCCGGTCTCCTCTCGGCACCGGCCGGCCTAGTCGACCGCAGAAGCGGAGGTGTGACCGGAGCGGAGGTCGTCGGTCAAATCCACTCCGGGGGTTTCTTGAATTCTTGGGAGCAGAGAGGCAAAAGTGAGGCAGCAGCCATGTCCATCGAGCTCATCCTGTGGCTCTTCTCCTTCGCCTCCATCATGGTCCTCATCGGCCTCACCGCCTACCAGGCAAGCTCCCCTCACCTCACCTCCTCCCGTTTCGCTTCTGAACCACGCCGATTTAGTTCCAAGATCCGTCGGGCGAAATAGTGGATCTCCTGGTAGTTTTGGGTTTGGGATGTTTTAGGTTTTTTTTGTCGGAATTTTCGCACGAATTGGTGCCGTGTTGGGTCAACGGGTGCGGTTCTTGGTGTTGCTCCTTGCCTCATTAGCTGGTCAAACAGGACAGGTTTAGGTAGCGTTAACTGCGATTTATACTTGTTTTCCCTCTCTGATTTTCCGTATTCATGTAACTAATGTGTTTAACTTGAGGGAAAGTTAATAATCTTTGTATAAATTTGAACTGTATATTTCATTAAATTGGTCCTAAGTTTGTGCAGTAGCAGATTTATACTAGTTTGTTGAACTTAAGGGAGAAAAATAATAATCTTTGTATAAATTTTGCACGGTTTATTTTATTCAATTTGCCCTAAGTTTGTGCAGTAGCAGATTTTGTTTGCTTGCTGCCATGTTAGGTGGAAAAACATATCCTTTTCCACAGTGTGTTTTCAGATTACATAGATGGTTCATAGTTGATGCTCACCACATCTCAGTCCAATTCAAAATAGCCATATTGGTTTTGTTGGTTGTGTTTTTGCAACCAATGTTAGTTGCCATGCACTAACAAATCCAACATTATTGGAATTCCATTACAGAACATACTTTGGTTTAAGAATTGTACATTTGTGGTCGTTTGAAGAATTGATCTTGGAGATATATGTTTCAACTATGAGCAAGTTGAATTTGCAAATAAAATTTACATTCTTCCTATCTTCTTGCAAGATAGGCTGTACTCTCTTCTTTCTCATTTTTATTTCACTGATTTTGTTTTCTCCTTGTTCTGTACCAGCTTATATGTTTATCTGATTTGGAGTTTGATTATATCAACCCATACGATTCTTCATCTCGCATCAACTCAGTGGTCCTTATAGAATACGCACTCCAAGGGGCCTTGTGCGCTTCTTTCCTCTTGACACTGCATTGGTTCCCGTTTCTAGTTATGGCACCAGTAGCATACTACCATGGCAAATTGTACGTATTTCTTGCTGTTGCCCTGAAGTTAATCCATCTAAACATTCATTCTTTTGTTGTCAGTGCCTACCATGTTGATATATTTGTTTGTATGGATAGATTGATGTGCTAGATCAGTTGGTCGCATAATAAAATCATCTATTAAATGATAAATCTCTCAGTGGATATGGATTTCACTAAGCATCATAAGTGTTGTCCACTACATATCCATTCAACTTATGGACATAGGAGGGACATAACATATTATGAAATGCTCTTTGAAAGGATAAATATGGTTTGAAGTGATCTAGAAAACTGCAAGAAACAACTGTCTATGATTTTGTCTATTCAAGTTAATGATGTTATAATTGTGCTTATACTGTGACTCTCTAGTGTTTGGATTTTGGATTTTTGTTCTCAGTTGCTGATTGAAATAAAGTTGAAAATTGAGCTAGTTCTCATTGAAAATTGAGTAGAATAATTTTGGCCAAATGTTAGAGGTATTGTTTTTTAATGTGGCTAAAATCAAGTATAACTGATAACCTTTTCACCTACATGTATGTCCAGAATAGTTATTTTCTTGGGCTAGTAACCATTAGTTTGCATATTTTTTGTAGCAAAGATGTTTGGATATAGAATTTTAATGCCATAAAGTTTGTACTAAGATGTTAATCATGTAATGTTTTTAGTACATGTCCTTATTTGTTTGTACCATTATGATGATTATATAAAAAATCTTTTTTTTATCAGGTATATGGATCGGAAACACCTTGTAGATGTTACCGAGATATTCCGGCAACTCAATTGGGAGAAAAAATACAGGATGATCAAGCTTGCATTCTACTTTAGTTTGTTTATTATAACGATCTACAGGTTTGACTTTAGTTCTTTTTTCATTCATCATTTTTTTATCATTGCATATGCTTATCCTACAATGGAATATTCATTTGTTAGTCCTAAAGATAGTTCTTATCTCCTCAGTCAAACATATCATATGACCTTATGTGTGCCTTCTAAATTGGGAATTTTGTGGATGTGCAACTTCATTCAATAGCATCTCAGAATTTGTCATTGAATTTCACCTCGAGTGTGAGTTATGTTATGGGGCCACATGTAATTGAAAGGGTGCTACATCATTGTATGCCACATAACTTATGGAAAATCCTTGTTTCATCAATATAACATTGAACCTTGCATATCTATAGATGAAAGGTAATGCAATTAATACCGAACCTTTCATGCAGTAGGATATAAATTGTTCGTATTTAAAACTTTTAAATATTTTACATATGTTTGTTGATTTGGCCCTCATTCAAGATGCTCTAATACTGAACCACCTTCTGGTGGCACAAAGGAATGATCTCGTTATCGGTTTTCCTTGTTCATGTGACTCTGGCATCTTACGTAGCATCAAACCAAATAGGTGGTTGTTTTATGCAATTGGTTTCAAACACACAAACCATCATAAGGAGCCATTGAAATATGCAAATTTATTCAGTATTATAAAGGCAAGCAACGACCCTATCATGACCTGTTCTCTTCCTTGTTACTGATTGTGCCGTGGTGGATTTTGTTTTTCTGCGGATATGATAACTTCAATTAGTTCTCATCCAAGAATGTAGTCCCTTCCAGTATCATGCTAAGTCGCTATTGCATAAGCTACTATTTGCATATTCGTTCCATCTGACAGGCTTGTGATGACGGCTGTGACGTTATTCATTGATGAGGATGCAAATCTGGTTGACACTAGAACTATTTAGAGTTTGCTACCAACTTTTCACACACAGATGGCTAGGTATTTCAGTCTCAGAACTTGTCATGTATCACTTTCTTTTTTGCGGAGATACCTGTTCGGTAACTGACTTTGGTCCTGCTTTTCTTTTGCAAGGAAAATGTGTAAGATGCAGTGAAGTAAAGCTTGTGGTGTGCATCATTGAACAGCAAACCAACACTGCCAGCCTCTGAGAGAAGAATTCAGTACATCGCTCTGGCTTTCAGAGAAAGAAGATTCAACTCCCTAGCCGGGGTACTGAATCTAGCATCTCAGCATTATCATTTTAACCATAAACAAGAATTGGCAAGTCAGCTGTACAATGTAGTTTTATGCGTTTTGAGTGTGCTCGATGACATCTGTCTAAATTTGGTAGGCGATTGATGCAACTTTTGGCAATCACTGATTCATACCTGCATCCAAGTAATGCTGTTGTACTCAATTCAACACTGAATTGTCTATAAAACTGGCTCATATATGGATGTTGTTTTGTATCACATTCGCAGGGGAACCTCACCATCATCATGATGATCCGACAATGTTCTTCATTATGCCATATATATTTTTCACCTAAACAAACCAGCCTTTGTCTGACCAAATCTGCTAGACTGGATGTGCTGCTATTTCAAGTTGTCTGAAACTCTGAATTCAGAAACACTGACCTGGAATTCAATTTCAGGCACAAGAAAACTAATTTCACTGAAGTATCACTGAAGCTCCCTACATGATTGTGCATGATTCACAAAGTGAAGAACGAGACCAAATTATACAAATTCCATCAGGGCTATATCTATCTACAAAACCAAACAAACATTCATCAATCATCACTGGAGCATCATCACTCTTGCCAAGGAGGGCAAATTCTCCATGAAAATTTCTTGAGCTCCTATTAGCCTTGAGCTACTACTACTTCCCAATCAATTTTCAGGCACAAGAAACAGTATGCCCAATACTCAAGTTACAGCTCCAAACATAATTGTGCATGATTCACATAGTGAAAAACTCACCAAATTATACAGAATTCCATCAGAGTTATATCTACACAACCAAACAAAGCACTACTCATCAATCAGCACAGTTGCCAAGAACAGCAAATTCTCCATGAAATTTTTCTTGAGCTTGCACCAACAGTTCACTGAATCATCATCGCAATTACCAAGAACAGCAAATCCTCCACATGAAATTGAGAAATTTCTTCAGCTTGTACTACTGCTAGTCTGCTACTACTTTCCAATCTTGGAGATGAGCGATTCGAAGGCGCCGACGAGCGCCTTCACCTTGCTCTTCCTGGCAATGGCGAGCTTCCCGGCGGTCTCCTCGATCACGCTGTTGTACAGCCGCCGGCTCCGCTTCTTCTCCAGCGTCTTCTGGTGCCGGAGCGCCACCGCCGGCACCACGAACCCCCCGCCGCCGCCCGCCGCCGCCGTCCCGCCGATGCTGCCTCGCCTCCTGAGGCTCCTCATCCTGAGATGAAATCCGCTGCCGCCGCCACCGCCGCTGCTGCTGCCGCCGGCGTCGCCCCTCCTGAAGAATCTGAGCCGTGTCGTCGCCGGCGCGTCTTCTGGTGGCGCCGCCGTCGCGGCGGCGCGGCTGCTCCTGGAGCGGATGACCTTGAAGGCGGTGGTGGTGGTGGTGGTGGTGGACCTGCTCGCCTGCCGCGTGAACGGGAAGCGGACTGATTTGGCGCTGCCGGTGATGCTCATGCTCCTCGCTCGCCGGTGCGACGGTCGCGGCGGCGGCGACGGCGGCGGCGCCATGCCGGATTTCTTCTCTTCTTGGCAAGGAGGGTTGTGTGGCTTCTCTTCTTTGATATCATTTGCTGCTGATGATGATGATGATTGGTGAGAAATTTGTTGGCTAATTTCGACGAGATTTCTCTTCGGTTTGGGAGGCTTCAAGCTGTTCGTCCTGGTCGTGGTCATCTTCTTCTTGCTCTTGTGAGAAGAAGGTGGAGTCGATTTCTCGCCGGCTTTGAGCTCCGGCGATGGAGGCGGCTTGCCGGTTAGCTTCGACCCGACGGATTTGACCAGCTTCTTCTTCGATGATGGTCCATCGATGACGTCATCGGTTGATTCAGCGACGATCTTGCTCTTACCATGTGGAGATGATTTGATTGGTTTCTTCCCCTTGGTCACACTCACATCCTTCTTCTTCCTGGCGTCGCCGCCGCCGGCGGCGATGGTGGTCTTCTCCGGCGGCAGTGGGGTTGACTCGTACGCCACGATGTCCTTCCACACCACCACGCCGGCGTCGCCCTTCTTCCCCGTGTCGTCAACGGCGGTGGCCGCCGCTTTCTTCCCGGCCTTCACGGGCTTGGTGAGATCCCCGACCCGTCTCCGCGACGACGCCGACCGCAGCTTAGCCATCGCCGTCGCCGCCGCGAGCGGCGGTGGCGGCGGCGTCTTCCGGGGCCTCGGCTGGGCCGCCGCCGGCCGGCGAGACTCCCGCTCCTCGAAGGCGTGCGCGCCGCCGTACTTGCAGGCGTGGTGGCAGGACCCAGCCGACGGCCGGTGGTAGCAAGCAGGGACGGCGCTGGCCTTCGCCTCGCCGCGGTGACGCGGACGGCGGCGCCCCTCGCTGCTCCCGGCCCCTCCGGCGATCTCCTCCATCGGAGAGATCAAATCACGATCTGATCAAACCTTCTTGATTCAGACGAGAGTGACAGAAAACTCTACAAAAAGTCAAAGCGCAAGAGCAGGCCGGGATGCACGCACGAACACGCCGCGCCGCGTCACTCGCCGCGCGCCATGGCCGGAGCTAGAAGACGAGCTTGGAGTTGGAGCTAGAGCTCGAGCTGGTCAGAGCTGCTGGCGTGTGTGCACACACCTATATATCTCCATGGGTGATCGGGTCAGGTCAGGTCATGGGCGCTGACTGAGAAGGACGGAGCGGAGCTCGATCGATCGCCATTGGCGAGCGCGGGGTAGGAGAGGAGACGATCGGGTCAAGAGAGGCAAATATTTTCTTTCTTTTTCTAGAAATTAAATTTGGCGGGAGGAATTGTGGAGAAAGCTTCTTCGGAGAAGGGCGGTCAAATGCGGCGGGGGGTTTGGTGGGTTTGCGTCTCTTTGACCGGTCGTCTGGGCCTACCTGCAGTGTCGCCGGCTGGGCGACTTTAGGTGGGGCCCACTGTACAGTGAGTTGGTTGAGAGGGTTGCAGAAGTCCACACGTCGCACACGCCGGGTTCAAATGCTGTTGATTTGAGTGGAATTTATGATCAGTTTAAAAATAGGATTGCAGTGTTTTTTGATTTTTCTATTTAATATGTTTGTAGTTTGCACTGAGGTCTAAGCTGTCGCATCTTTTTTTTTTCTGATGATGATGACTGGAGAGCATGAAAGTAGTTGATGTGTGCCCCAAAATTGAACTTGAGGGACTTTGGCCGGTTCTTGTTTGATGTTCCTATCCTCATCTTAATTTATTTGTCTCATATGTTAATTATTAAATTTATCTGTCAATTTCATGGTATCAGCATGCCATCTCAAATTGATTAATTAACTAATCAAAAACCACAAGGGAGAAACAGGAAAGAAAAATTATACGTAAGGTCAGAGGCGGCGGCCGGATTTCGTAGGGGATTCCAACCCAACCTCCAAATTCCCTCGCAAAAAATAAAGATTAGATGTCATATCAGATTATGATTATGCCTTAGTTATATATATATATATATATATATATATATATATATATATATATATATATATATATATATATGCGATCGACTTGTGGCTTGCTGCCGTATAATTTTATTTGTCATATTTTGAAGAAAAGATTCTGCAGATGGTCAAGACGTACAGTACAGCCCAACTGAATACACTTTTTAGAGGAAGACCGTAAGATTGTATTGGTATTTTTATATTTTTTTTATAAATCTTATTTTATCATTTCCTATTTCATTTAAAACTCTCCAAGATTTTTCTCAAATGTCTGATACTTCCTGATATACAATGATTCTCATGATTCGCACATAAAAATTGATAATTCCTATTTCATTTGAACTCTCAGAGAATTTTCTCGAATATCTGATACTCCCTGATATACAATGATTCTCATGGTTCGCACATGAAAATTAATAATTCCTATTTCAGTTGAAACTCTCCAAGATTTTTCTTGAATATCTAATACTACGTGATATACGATGATTGTCATTAATCACGCATGAAAATGGATAACTCTTATTTCATTTGAAACTCTTGGAGATTTTTCTTGAATATATGATACTCCATGATGTATTATGATTCTCATGATTCACACATGAAAATTGATAATATCTTTGTATGATATCAATGATATATTCCTGAAAGTGTGATATACGTATCAGAAAAATATGTTGAGGACTTTGTAATAGTGTTAAATTCAAATATGCCCTTATTAGATTGCGCTACTTTTCTCAGGACTTTGTGATTTTACCCCTCTTGACATTAAGCGTTTTGACAAGGATTTTGCTCCTATTTTAGCATGAAATTTCACTAATTCGGTTAAAAAAATAAGGGCAAACAAAACATTTGACATGAATTTTGCCCATGTATACAAATTTCATCTTGTTAAGTCCTCTTAACGGAATGAGGGCAAACAAAAACTTCAGTTAAAAAACGTTGCAAAATCACAAAAATAGAAAAAAAATAGAGATAAAATCACAACAAGAGTAAAATAAGTACAGGCCTTATTGACAAAAGGAAAACAAAAGAACCAATATAAGCATGACAACAGTAGGGGAGGATTCCATTGGGAGATTTCAGTTCAGTTCAATCCAACCTCCATACTCCACCGAAACGATAAATAAGGTATTCTTCGAAACATGGAATCGAAAAAAAAAGTATGAAATAGAAATAACACAAGCATTTGACAGAATTGTAAGTACAAACATGACAGGACAATGGATTGCAAAAAAACATATAATAGTATCTCCGCCCTCGACACTAGGGGTGAAAACGGAGCGGACAGTTTCCGTCCGCTCCGGTCAAAAACGAATACGGATAGTGTTCGGAGCGGATTTTTCTCGGATAGTTCGAATACAGATATTTGTCTCTGGATACGAATACAAATATGGTATCGCAGTTTCTGACGGACACGAATACGGAGACAGATATCCGGAGATTATGATGCATGGATATCCAAGTAACACACAGTGTCTCTACAGCCTCTGGCCCATTTATTCAATTTTAGCCCATAGTTGTCTCTTGGTATATACATCTGTGCTTATAGCTATCTAAACCCTAGCCACCAGAAAGCCGAGTTGGCATCTCGACGACGGGCGACGGCAGCAGCGTGGCGACGATGACAGTGGCGACGGCCACGATGACAGTGGCGACGGCTGTCTTAGATCTCATAGCCGGGCATTGGTCTTCAATCCCCCCACTGCTTGTTTGTGCTTCCTGACTCTCCAAATCGTGGAACAGTAGGAGCCATCACCACCGCCGATGGCAAGGTCTCTTATTAATAGTGGTGAGTTATTTTCTTATTTTACCTATATGAATATTTTTCTTAATATAACAAACAATATTGTTCGACTCTTGTAGGAAAAAGAGGAGAATAATGATGATATGGAGTAGGATGATATTTTGATGGATGAATGATGATGTTGCAGCCTTCATGCATCGGACTGCAAGTCTACTGAAAATTGCTTTTAGGTTAATTACTATGTTGATCTTATCTGTGTTACCAATAAAACTTGGACTTAATATGTGTTAAACTTTTCAATGTGTTTCCTATTGAACACGATGCACTTTGTATAATCTATATTGCATCATACAACGATGATATTTATATTAAATTAGATAAATATATGTGGTGCATTTGTATTTACGAGTAATTTGAGTGGTCTCTATATTTTGAGAAATATTCGTTTTCGTATTTGTGTCCGACCATATTCGATCCTTATTCGTATCCGCAATAATTCGTATTTGTTTCCGTATCCGGATTATTCATATTCGTTTTTGTATCTTTCTAAGAATATAAAAACGAATACGGTAAGAGCATTATCCGTCCATATTCGCTCTGTTTTCACTCCTACTCAACACAGACGTCGGAGATCCATGGTGATGGTAAGCACTAGTGCACAACATTAGAAATGCAAGTGGTCGACCCACGAACCCACTTATAGGTCGTGTTGTGACCTGGCTTGCCACACCTAGATATACGAGTAAATCGACCTGTGAAGCCATTTATAAACTAAATTAGTAGGTAACCCTTGAATTAATCCATGTACAATAACCCACTAATTTTAGAATTAAGATCATATGTTTTTAAAGGCACAATACATTTATTACTGACATATGGGTCTAGACCTACATGGCACATACTTCGATGGTAGAGCAACCTGATCCTAATTTTAAGTATCCCTACGCGGCAGCAAGCAGAGCGGCGGTCAGTTTCCATGGCTCTGCGCTCTCTTTCATCTTCTCTACGTGTCAGCTCATCGTCCGAAGCCAGCCTTACGTGGTCGACATGCACGTCGCCATGTGTTCGACATGCGTGTGCATGGATCATCTTCCTTTTCCCCTCTGCGCTCGGCGCCGCCTGGAGCAGCTGAGAGCATCACCATCACCCCGACATGGATCCCGACCACGTCGTCGCCGCCACCGGCGGCGGCGGCGGCGAGCGAGCTGCCCACCAGTACCATGTCACTGACGACACCGATGCTGCCACGGCATCGGAAGAAGTCGGCGGCGGCGGCGGCTGGCCTCGCGCGCTGCTCCGGCGCGGGTGGGAGCTGGCAGGGAAGGCCGCCGTCGCCGGCGCCGCCGCGACGGCCGCTCCGGTCGTCGTCCCGCCCGTCATGCTCCTCACCGCCGCCGGCCTCGCGCTGTCCCTCCCCTTCGCCGCCTACCTCGCCACCCTCGCCGCCACCCACCGCCTCATGGCCGCCCTCCTCCCACCCCACGAATCCGGCCTCGACGGCGCCGCCGTCGAACAAGAACTCCTCGACGCGTTCTACCATTTCAGCACAACAGATCAGGAGGAAGACGGCGGCGGCGGCGGCGTCGGAATCGGATTGGCATCGCCGCCGCCATCGGTGGATGAACCAGTTTCCTTCCAAGAATCATCTGTATCAAGAAATGGGGGAAAAATCGAGGACGGCACAACCAAGGAGACAGTGTCACTGACCACTGATGTTCCTGAATTTCCTGAATTGCCTGTGGTTGAGACAAGGGAAGAAGATGGAGTTATTCCTGTCCAGCAATTAGGCCAAGATCATCATCATACTCATGTATTGGACACAGGGGATAAAGCAGAGGAGTCTACCATTTCCAGTGTTTCCGGAACACCAGTTGAAATATTCACTGACAAAGACAATGTGGAGAAGGGAGTGGTCGAAGACACAGTAGTCGTCGAGGCCGCGGTAGTGGAACAATTGGCAAGCAATGCGGGTATCGTCGCGCAGGAGTTGGTCGACACGAACGTGGCGATTGTTGCTATTTCAGCGCCCGAAAACGAGGCGACGACACCGACGAGTGACCTTGTCGCTCGCGTGTCAGAGGAAGTTGTGGGAAGTTCATGTGATGGTGAGATGCAAGAAACCGCTGTGGTGGATGATACCATGAGGGAACTAAGTGATGCAAACATGGATGAAGATGTGCAACACCATGATCAAAGAGTTGTTTGTAGTTCTGTCTTGATGGCTTCTCCATTGGCTGTTGGTGATTATGAGGATGTAATGTCCAGCGGGAGCACACAAGACATCCCTGAAGTTTGTGATGAGACATCCCAGCCTGGTCAGGAGCATGATCAGTCTGATGGGTTTGAGGCAAAAGTAATTTCTGGGGACAAGGTGAGTCGATTATACATATATACTCCAATTATTTCCATAGTTAACTGATCACTTGGATCAAGAATGTTAATATAAACTTCTGTTCTAGCTAATTAGACATAACACACATTGTACATGACACTTAAAATTTTTGTCACTCTAAAATATATTGCATATTTTTTTGAGGGAAAAAATATATTGCATATGAGTATGATCACTACATCTGCCTGTTTGTTACCAAGGGCTGGCCTCATAAAAAGATTCCTTACAAACATGTTGAGTCAGTTGGCAATAGGACATTTCCCTCCAGAAAAAAAAACTAACAATGGCAGATGAAAATGGTTGGAACATGAACTGTTTACATGCAAAATATGCTACAATTTATCTAAATAGCTTGCTCCAGGACAATGGAACATGGCATTGACACATTATTACATCTTGAGCTTTTTTACAGTTTCTATGAAGGTACCGGAAAGATAAATTATGGGTACCATGTGAACTGCTTACTATGATTATCTCCTACAGTGTCTTGGGTAAAATAAAAACTTGTTCCAGTGTAAATTAAATGGTCTCATAAACATGAATGGCAGAACACACAAACTTGTCTGTGAGTAACAATATCAATTGCAAATAATTGATAGTAACTGAATATACAGTCCTTGCTGCTTATGTTCATGGTTTTAACTACAAACAATTGATAGTCCAATAGGAACATCGGCAGTGGCATGGTAGGCATTGTATCTCCTTCCATTCTTCAATGAAGTAATTTATTTTTATTGTTAGCAGTAGTAAACTAGTAACTGCTGCTTGTTGTATGCCAATGATGGCAGGTCATATACCAACATGTTGCATAACAAGTGGAAAATCTACAGTTATTAGTTTCAAGACTTTGAATTGTACTGAATATACGTGTAAAACTAAAACCAAGTTTTTGCTTTAGTACACTTGCAGACATAGTAGTGTCAAATTTTGGATCGGATTAGAAGGAGAGCGTTGCTCCCATCCAGCAACTTGTACCGGCAGGTACAGAGATAAATCCATCCGTCCATGTTAGAAGGGTACGATCGGGAAATACAGAAAGGAGTTGCGCCCTCGCTTTCTCCTTTTCGCTCTTTCTCTGTTTCCTCCCTCCGCGCAGCGCCGCTCCTTTTCGCTCTTTTTTCGTTTCCTCACTCCGCCTTAAACGGATCAGACGCCGCCGCCTCGCCTCCCACGAAGCACTTTGCCGCCGGCTGCCTCCTACAGATCAGCCGCCGCCACCGCCTCGCTTCCCACGGAGCACCTCGCCGCCGCCTCAAACGGATCAGCCGCCGCCACACCGCCTCCTCCCACGAAGCAAGTCGCCGCCGACAAAGCAACTCGCCGCCAACAAAGCACGAAGCAACTCGCCGCCGCCTCCCACGGATCGGATCAGAAAGGAATGGCTGAGATTTGGTAGAAAACCCTATTTCCCTCCCCGGACACTCACACTCCTACGCGAAAAGACAAATTTACCCTTCCACCACTCGAAATATTCTGGTACCTCCTCATGAGCAAATTTGTACCTGGAGGTACCACTTATTTTCTACCGCCCGATTTCGCTGATTGAATGGCTGAGATTTGGTACCAGACAGTACCGATGGTACCTGCTGAATGGGAGCAAAACTCTTAGAAGGAACATTCTTTGCAAATATGTCAAGCAGTAAAATCACATGCAAAGTAACGACTCGAAATGCTAAACTGAACTAGTTTTCTATCATTGTGTGTAATGGGCAGGAACTGATTATTGCACTATTCATAATTAACTAAATTCAATAAACTTTGGCTTCCGTCTAGTATTATCCATACTTTTGCGATGTTTCTTCATTGAGATGTCATGATAATTCTTTGTTTTCTACCAGGATCTCTACACCGAAGAACACGTAAGGCAACAGCTCGAAACATTAAGAACAATAACAGGGTACAGATCTCCATTTTCTTCGACACTCGAAGGTGAGCTGGCTGCCCTTTACCTGTTCATCGGAGTGGAGCCCCCTGTCAGCTCGAGGAATGCCTCTGACCTAATGGAGATCAATGCAAAACTCCGGCTGTTGAAATCAATCGTTGGTGTTGATTGAATTATCTCGAGGGCGATCAATCAGGACGTTTTTGGTTTTGATTATACATCTATGGATGCATATCATACAGTTTAACAATTCTCTGTACATCCAAGACAGTCGATCGAGACTGTTTATCAATCAGTAGAGTACACTGCATCTGCCTATGTACTTTGTATGGAGAGACGGTTCTTGTTCTGTTTAATTTCTTCTGGACATACTGACCAGTTCCTGTCATGGAGTTCTACAGGTAGTTTTGAGTTTGCCTCACTATGAACTTAAAATTATTACATGATGATACGGAAAATAAGCATCTATACGAAAGGACTGGAGGGGTGTGTAATGAATCCCCTCTAAATTTCAGTCTCTATCGCCGTGTTTAGTTACAAAATTTTCCTTCAAACTTTCAACTTTTCCATCACATCAAAACTTTCCTACTCACACAAATTTCTAACATTTTCGTTACATCGTTTCAATTTCAACCAAAATTTCAGCTAAACACACCCTATATCGATCTCATTTCTCTGCTTACGTTGGCATCATCATCCTCCAACAGCCACGTCGCCGATCGATGCCGTTTTCTGCTTTGTTGGTTCATCTTCAATGCACGGCGTTCTAGCTTAGCCACAGGACACTGTTTCTTCCCATTCCTCGTCAATCTATCCATCTATGATCTCCCTCGTCAATCTCTTTCTCTAATAATAGCAAAAACTAAATCACCGTGATAAGCCAAATTCTTTTCTCATATGAGACTGTCTACCCACCATTCGATAAAAAAAATACACCTACGAGTGATGAGCCAAATCCTTTTTTTTCATATGAGGTTGTCTACCCACCATTCGGTAAAGAAATACACCCTAAAAATCATGCAAGCTATGGATCATCTGATTGCTTTGAGATTCGACCCAAACCCTAAAAACCATTTCCTCCCTCCATCCCTCCCTCTCCTGAGTCCCTCCTCAGACCTCACACCACCGCCACTATCACTAGCATCAATTGTGTCGCGCCTCTACTGTCATCCCTCCTCGCTAGGCCTCCTCTCTCTTCTTTTCCCCATTTCATTTTCCTTAAGTTGGAAGCGGTGAGCTATCAACCCCCCCCTCGGCGCATTGTCATCTTCCTAGTCTCCACCTCTTCGGCCGCTCCCAGCCGCCGAATCTGCTACAAGTAGCCACCTCCTCCTAACCAATCGTGCTAGCCCACAAGATGAGGCGTCGCCCCAGCATAGCATATGCAAACGGTTGTGCTGGCACAGTCCATTTGGCCACCTTTAACGTAGTATGTGTTATTTACTTTGATTGTTTAGTCTTTGGTTTTTCTTTATTGTGCATATTTTTGGGTGTATAGCCTGCAATGATATAAACCTGGTCAATTACTTTTGCGGTTCAAAAGAACCGATGCTGAAAAATAGGTTGAATGATAAAGAAACTCCAAAATCAAGTCTAAGTTTTGAAATTGAAATTTCGACATCGACTGATAAACCAACAAGTAGACGATGAAAATCTACCTTACTAAATACTCCTTAGATATAACCTATGCGAAAGCACCGCCAGACCTGGGCAACCATCTCCATCATCTTGATTAATTTATCATCGAGTTGTTCTAAAACCGGTTGCTACAACGTTCTATGAAAGTAGTGAATCGATCGCCACGGATTCACTATTGCAAGATAACCACAACACAATTGCATAAACGACGTACCACAGATTGAAGGTTTACTGGAGAACTGTCTCACCACTGGATTTAATTAAATTAACGTGAGTAAAAAAATAGTTAATTTTGCAGAAAAAAATATTAGTTATTTAATGTGAGAGCTTAGTTTAATGTACCCCTACTATCCTTTTTCTTTCTACTCCCTCCATCCTAATGTGATCATCCTACTAACAAAAACCAAAAATACCATTTTAATCATCGCATATAGTTAGGTGTTGTTGGTAATCTCGTGGACGGCGTCTTGTATTGCATGCATGCATGGATGGAATTAATGCGTGTATGTAATTCCAAAGAGTTAACACCAGCGCCACAACATCTCTTCTCCCACCGAGCAAAACGCATGGACATGATGGATAGAGTAGACCACAACACCATGGTCGTTGTGGCTGGAGTAGGAGACGGGGTCGCGGTCACCGTGCCCGGAGAGGGAGGCAATGTCGCAGGGGTCACGGCTAGCCGAAGCGCACACGGAGATATCGTTGGATCAAGGAGTTGCATGCCACAATGCACTTTGCATGCACTTTCATCGATCTTACGGGACCTAATGAAGATGGCGAGATACTATTTGCATGCAACTCAAAGCGACAATTAATTATTTGATGATGATTTAATATCAGAATTAAGTAGGCCGTGTTGTCCTTGGTCTTGGTGTGTTTTCTTATACGATGATCATATTGGGATGGAGGAAGTGTTGGTACTAATTATTTTGTAAAATATGTTGGGAGCAAGGAAAACAGAGGAGTTCTTCACTCAGTGTCTTTCTAAACAAGGGAGCTCGTGTGGTGTATGTTGTTGTGTGCTGCTAGCTAGCTTTGTATTCATTTTAATGTAAACTAGTATACGTCATACACACATACACTTGGTTGCCTATTTATAGGCCTATCAAACCGATATGGAGAAAACTTCATGATTCTACTAGTAACTTGAAGTCGGGTGGGCTGGTTTCACCATAAGAAATTTAACCAGTTGAGCTATGCTCACTTCGTAAAACTCTAGATTTTTACAGAGTAGTGCTAGTGTCTTTAACTATTTTACATCTAGATTATTACCGAGTGAAAGATGAGAGAGTTTGAGATTATAGTAGAAGTCTTTGTAAATAAATTAATTTACTCCAACAGGTAGTATTTACTATTGGTAGCGAGAGTGGATTTTGCAGTTTGAACCCCAAGTAGGACCGCTAATAATTTGGACGGGTTTACCTTTTTTCAGTTTGAACCCTGTTTAGACCGCTAATAACGGTTTTAGTCCCTGACGAGCTCTTCCTCCTCCTCCGACGCCGCCGCCGCCGCCGCCGCCGCCACGCCGCTCGCCGGCGGCCCCTCGCCATCGCCGCCTCTCGTTAGCTCCCCCCCCCCGGCGCCGACGCCGGCTTTGGCCTCTGTGGCTCGTGCCCTTCCAGGCTCCACTGCTCTCCGCCCCTCGGCTTGCTCTGCGCCGCGCGCCGCCTCCCTCAACTCTCGCCGTCTCCGCACGCCCTGCTCGGCTACTCGCCGCCGGCCGCGGCGGTAGTCAAGATCGAGGTAATAAATCCCTGGATTGAATCCCCTTCTCAAATCCCCCAATCCGTTCCCCATTTTTTTTTGTTCTGAATCGATCACTCAATCAACTGTAGCTGAACTTAATAATAGGCACTAGTAGACCTGTTCATCAAGATCATTTTTCAATGTGTTCGGGCTTCTTTTTTTAGGAGATTAACACAATATTTTAACTCTTGCATTCATAACTCACCATAGAAAATTCAGGTTGGACTCCTACTGCAATGTACGCGTATGGTATTGTTAGTTTGGTACTTTGGTTTGGATCTGGAAAGCAATTAAAATCTGTACAGATTAATTTGTGCTGTTTTTTTCTTTTTTTGGCGGCATGGTGCTATCAACTTTTAATCTCATGACTAACAATATTTTCTGTCAATACGTAGCCATCAAATCCTGTGTTTGCCACTGGCATTAGATTTGGTGGTTTTGTGATGGGAGGCTCCTCAATTGGGGAGGGAACTCTGTCTCTCGGTGACTTCGTTGCGTCTGCAAAGGCCCTGATTGAGAAGTGGAAGGTGATTGATGTAGAAGATTCTCTTCCTGATTGGCAATGGAAACCGTGTGGCAAGACGGGGGTTCCATCTGAGGTTGTGCTATCAGATGCATGAGCATTACTCTCTTTTTCCTTTTTTCAGATTAATTTTACTTAAAAGATGGCGAATGCCGATATGCTTGCTTGTCCTTTATGCAGGAAGAGGGCTACCTAGCTCTCGAAGGAGTATACCGCAATCCTGGAGGAAGGCATGTTAGTATCGTCCTCGTGTACTTACATGTATTACAAGTAATATGAGCTTCCAAATTAGTGTTGACTTGAAATTTTCCTCTAGGAACAAATTGGGGATAGCAGTAATTTCGATGATGCGGACATTGTCAGCGATGATGCTTGGGTAACTTTTCAGTACACATTGTTCATTTTATGTTTCTGCTACCTGCTTATTGATGGTGCCTAGGTACTTTCTCTTACCCTCTGCAATTTGCATATATTCGGAATATTTTTCCTATAAGAGAAGATACCAAATAGCTGGCATAACGCAGTCATTTGAATTGATAACTTACTCAGAAACAACTGAAATAACTTTTGATCTCTAAATTCTCATATGTTCAATACTAACATTTATGATTTCCTTCTCTTTGCAGGCCCAGAGCTCTAGTGAGAGTGTTCATATTTATGATTACCATGTTGTCTATAGTTTTTCTTACAAGGTTCCAGTGCTATACTTTCAGGGTCATCAGGCTGGTATGCATATTACAGAACAAAAGTGAATATGTCATTCCTTTAGTGTTCTGTTGACAGACATCTCCAACTTATTCTTAGGTGGCCAGCTGCTAACTCTAGATGAGATAAAAGAGGACCTTCCTTCTCACTCACTTAAATTATTAGGTGAATCGAAGTGGACATTTATTACTCGGGAGGTACAAGTGGTTATACACTTCCCTTGATTGATATATTCTGTGTACCTTTTGTTGGAAAGTTTTATACTCCCTAACACTTGTTGTCTATAGTTGAACTGTGCTTGCACCCCCTGCAGGAGCATCCCCATTTTAGTAGGCCATGGTTCACTTTGCATCCCTGTGGAACCAGTGACTGTATGAAGTTACTTCTTGAAGGAGTGGAAAACAAGGATCAACATGTGCAATACTTACCGGCATGGCTATCTGTGGTTGGCCAGGCAGTAGGACTGAAAATCCCACTTGAGCTTTATGGTAATCTATAACTTCACCCTTTTTCAGTATATAATACTAAGGGTCCTGTACTGTTTAACTTGACATGGCATGCTGCTTTCATGAGCTCCATGAGACAATTTGTTCCAAAATACAGAGAGAACTACTAATTGATTTTCGGTCATTCAAGCACCCTGCCCAATCTGAATCTTTGAAAGCACTGATAAGGCTTGGACTTGACCTTCTGATATGAAGTGCTCTTGAAAGATACCTCAGGATTCGTTTTATTTACCCACTAGTGAGTGTGATATAGGAGATTGCTTGTCGAAATTGGCATTTTGTTGGCTGCATAAGCTGTATGCCTATTTCACAATTCACAGGCCGATGGATTGTGAAATACTGAAGGGATCCAACAATGCTCCTTTACCTGTTTACTTCAGAAGTTCATATTCAGCTAATTGTGTGCCTTGTGTTTTGTGACAGCTTCTGGACTGAAAACACAGGAGTAGCAATTGCTTGCCAATTTGCCATTTGGCTCTTGCAAGTTCGTCAGCAACATATCTATTTTGCGCAAATGCCAATGCTTATGATCAAACTGTACTGCATCTGGTAAGGCTCATATCTGGATCTTCCATTCCTCTTTACGTTTTGTTTGGGAAATGGAGTCCATGTTTCATCTGCAGAGTTATACATGCAATCAAGTAATACACATAACATTATTCAGAGATGCATCATGTCTCCTGGAAACCTGGAAACAACTGAGGATCAACTTCCTAGAAGTAACTGAAGATCATCAACTGGCCTACTAATCTTTGTTCTTAGTGCTAGATCATATCAATTTAGTATAGAAGCTAAAAGAGAACCCTGGTTCCAAATTGTTATTATGAGAACTAGAAAATAATCCTATCAAAGGCCAGCCTCAAATGTTTCCCTTTTTTGTTTGAAAACATCATTAATCATGCATGTTAGTTTATCGACCAGAGCATTTTGAACAGTCACAGACAAACTGATCAACCATATTATACGCTGCACATTGTTTCCCATTAGGAGAGGAGAGTTGACGAATCTGAGAATTTGGGTAGTTGAAAACAGATACTAACTTTTTTAAAGAAACTAGCTGGGTGGCCCGCGCAATTGCGTGGCTAGCACCCATATAAAATTATATTTTTTTAACATGATTTTACTTAAAATTTCTTAAATAGTTATCTCGTTGTCTTAAGATTTTAAAAGACCAAATCTTATCATCCTCGTGTTTATAATTTTATAGCTTTTAAAAGTCACACCAATTGCTACCGCTTACTTCTGTCATATTATTCTTTATTAGCTTGCTCGATCCACCGTTGTTTCTATTCATTCTCCTTGAAACCTTTAAAAATTAGATTAAAAAATTATAGTTTTTAGAGTTTATTGTCCAGTTGGGCTTCTTTTTTGTAATTTTTAGAAGTCCCATCAAACGCTTCAATTATACTCCTCTATTGTCGCGCCCAGAAGTTCTTTTCCCTAGCAAAAATTCAATTAATAAATGGTTGGAAGAAATTATTTGTTTAAAGGCAAGAGAGAAACCCTAAATTAATAAATGCAAATAATAATCGGAATCGGCATGTGGAATTTTTCTTGGATTCTACATGTCAAAATATGCTAACAGGATTTTTAGTGGAATTTTCAGAGCATTGGAAATAATTTTAACCAATTAAAATAAGCAAAGTGCAATATTAAATCCCTGGGAAAATCCTTTTTCCTTTTTATCTTTCCTTTTTCCCCCTCTTTTCCTCCTTTGGGCCACCGTCCCATCTCTCCCGCCCCCTCCCGAAGTCCAGGTCGCCTCCCCCTCACTCCCTCGGGCGCTGACAGGTGGGGCCCACCTGTCAGCACCTTCCCCAACCTCCAGCCAGAGGGGCGGCCTCCCTCCTCCCTACCGCCCCGCGCTCCCTGCCGCCCCGGGCCACGTCGCCCACTCTCCCGCGCGCCCCGCCCTCCCCGCGCCCACGCCCCACTCCCGCTCACCCCCGCGCCCGCGAGATGGCCAGGATTCAAATTTGAATCCCGCCTCTCTCTCTCTCCTCCTCCACCTCCTCCACTACTCCGGCGAAATTGCGCCGTTCCCGGCCACGACTCGCCGCCCCCCCTCCTATTTAAGCACGCCCGCACCTTCCTCTCTCTTTTTCCTTTCTCGGCCGAGCCCTCCCGAGCTCTCCATCGCTCCCGCGCCTCTCATCCCGCCATCCGCCGCTCGCCGCCAAGCTCCGGCCGCACTCCGCCACCGCTAGAGCCGTCGCCGCACCGCACCGTCGACGCCGCCGGGTTCGCAAGCTTGTGCGCCACCCCGTCCGCCGTTTCCCCGGTCCATCCCGCCGCCGGAGCTTGCTTCTCCTCGCGCGCCGGTGAGTACCCCCATGGCCGCCGCCTTCGACCGGCGAATCCGCTCGCCGTTAACCACCCCTCTCCCTCTAATCCCTCCCATCTTGTTCCCTAGGAGGTCTCGGAGCTCGTCCGCCTATCGTCGCCGTTCCCCGGTCGCTCGCCGTCGCCGTTCGCCGTCGTCTTCCCCCCACGCCGGCCAACTCGCGGTGAGGCGCCCCTCCCCCTCTTTTCCCCTTCCTCTCCCTCCTAGCGCCGTGCCGGGCCGAGCCGCCGCTTCGGCTGTGTGCCGCCGCCTTTGCGCCGCCGTCATCCGCCGCCGCTTCCCGCGCCTCCGGTTGCCGTCGCCGGCGACCGTGCGTGCGCGCCACCGCCCTCGCCATAACCGGTCGGCCGGTTTGAGGCCGAGCCGAGCCGACCGGGCGTCTCCTCCTCCCCATGAGCCGCCGCTCGGTGGGGCCCGCTTGCCAGCCGCCCCTCTCTCTCCTTGAGTCACTGACCCGCGGGTCCCGCGTATCGGCGCCACCCCTCCTTGTGCTGACGTCAGCTCTGGGATGAATTATTGCGCAATAAATTGATTAAGGGTTTTTCTTTTATAGTAAAAGCACAGATAATCGTCTAAAAATCATAACTAATTCATCCGAGCTCCGATTAAGTCCATTCAAGTCTCAGTAAATTCATAAAAATGTATAGAATCCATTAAAAATGGTTTTGTTTCCTGTTTCAGTAGTCTTATAGCATGTTTTGCTTGTGTGCTTTGTTTGTCGCGTAGATTTCGCCCGTTTCGTCGATTCGTGGTTTCTCGAAGACGTTGCTGTGGTTCCATCAGTGCGAGAGCAAGGCAAGTCATACATTGCAATTGATCATATTGTACCCAATTTACAAATGTCCCGCATTTCTATTAAATATTGCATTGTTTTACAATATCATGTGGGATGGGTCCTATTACTCAGCTATATGTTGTTTCCCTTACGCCATTGATAACTTGGGTATTAAAATGACTAGATGTTGGTTTAGGAGATGCTTAGCCATGCTTAGTTCAACTAGTGCACAAAAGGGGATCACATTAAAGCATAGACTTTGATTCTTGCCAATAGCTTTGGATTAGTGCCACCGCATTGGTGTTGGTTAATTAAAATACACTACATGGTGGGCTGTGGGTGCATGGTTTTGCTAGTTGTGCCCATGGCGATTAAGGACCGGTTCGCGGGATGCCCTGGAAGAACTTATCGTACTTACCACAAGCCAGCGTGGGCAACGGCTGGGCCTGTAGTGTAGCTTTTCTCTAGCTGACGTACCCAGGCGAGGGTGAGCGTGATGGAGTTGGATCGGCCGGGGTGTCCGGTTGATCGGCTTCCGGATTCACCGCGGCATGAAAGGGGGGCTGCCCGTTGCCTGCTGGGGACGGGGGCGAACCCTAAGGTGTGGTGCGATCGGTTAGAGAGGGTTATGCGAAGGGTCCTGTCATGGCCTCTTTCCGGTATGTCGTGGTGGCATGTCGGCGCACGGGAACGTGTCGTGGGGCTGTGTCTTGTGGGTACAGTTGTACACCTCTGATCAGAGTAAAACTATTCGAATAGCCGTGCCCGCGGTTATGGGCGGTCGACCAGATTCACCGTGATTAGTTTCACCCTAGTTAGCTTTTGGAACTGGTTAGTTCAGGTGGTGGTTTGGGCCTGTTGCAACGTGGTGTAACGTTGGACAGTGATTGGTTAATATGGATTAATTACTACAACTGTTTTACTGCTTTCAACTTTTGCATTTAAATGCTAGCTTTATGCAAAAGAACCTTTAGCCTCCCTTGGATATATCTTGCATCATACCTCCTCTTCCGGTATGACTTGCTGAGTACAGTGGGTAGTACTCAGTCTTGCTCTTTTCCCCACACCAGAGTTGGAGTTCTTCTTAGTTGGAGATGTCTGGAAGAGGTTGGTTTCGTCGCTGCCGTCAAGGGTTGCCTGTGGAATGGAATCGCCCGCTGCAGGAGTCAAGTCTTCAGGCTTAGCTCGCTTTTACCTTTTTCGCTGCATTTGTAATCCTTTATATTTTTGTAAGACGTGGATCTGTATGTCAACAATTGTCGTTTGTGTACCCTGGCTGGTCCTGGACAGGGGTTTAATACACATTCAGCTTAGAAATTCTGGTTCGTGAATTTCTGGGCGTGACATCTATGACCGTCCAGTGCATCTTTTCTTTATTGTCATTACTCCCTCTGTCCCATTTTAATTGCAACCATAAGTTTTCGCGCCCAACTTTGATCGTCCGTCTTATTTGAATTTTTTGTAATTAGTATTTTTGTTTCTATGAGATGATAAACATGAATAGTACTTTACTCGTGACTAATGTTTTTAATTTTTTTTTAAAAAAATTGTCAAATAAGATAGACGGTCAAAATTAGGTGCCGAAAACTATGGCTGCATTTAAAATGGGATGAAGGGAGTATTATTTTAAAAATCGAACATAATTATCATTTAGGTTTATTTTTTTTACATTCTAGAATTCCGCCAAAACGTCAGCAACTTTGTCACTATACTCCTCCGCGGCTCGCCCGCTGTCGCCCTTCTTTATTGTCATTGAGATTATAAAATCAAACATGATTATTATTGGGGTTTTTTTTTTTTACTTTTTAGAAGCCTAAACCTTTAAAAATTGGACCTTATACTTTTTAGAGTTTATTGTCTTGTTGGGTTTCATTTTTTCTTATAATTTATAGAAATCCCGTCAAACGGTGCCACTATACTCCTCTACGACCCGTCCGCCGCATACTCTTTATTCTCATTGGGATTGTAAAATCGAACATAACTTTCGTTGGAATTCATTTTTTTACTTTCTAGTAGACCCACCAACCATCAGCGGCTCTGCCCACTGTCTCCTATACGACCCGCCCACTGTCTCTCATTTTTTTTTTGTAATTGAGATTATAAAAATCAAATATGATTTTCATTGGGGTTTATTTTTTTACTTTCTAGAAGTCCCGCCAACCGCCTTGACCGATTACTTCACGACATGCCCGTCGTCCTTCCTTTTAATCGTCATTAGGATTTTATTTGGTGATTTATTAATAGTTTATAGATGTCCCATCAACCGCCACCACTTTGCTCCTCTATAGGCCTGTTACTTAATTAATCTCGTGATATATTTTAGATGGTCTTTTCTTTCAATAGTCTTTACTTTTTTATCACCAATTTCATAATTTATTTTATTTTTCTTATTGTGTTCTTTTGTTATTTTTATTTTTTATTTTCATCAGCTGTTTCAAAATTGTATTCCTACTTTAACTCTTTTTTTCATTTGCCTGATTTTAGATTTTATTTTATTTTTTATTCCGAATTTAATTCATCTACTATTGGGTTCTTGTACTCTTATTTCAATACTGATTATATTTAATTTTAAATTTTATTCTACTTGACTCTTCTTTTCTTTTCTTTTTTCTAATTTTGATTTTTTAATTTTTTTATTCCTATCTTTTACTAATCTCGTATTGGATTTTTTATGGACTCTTCGTTTTCTCCCCCATCAACCTCTTTTTTTTAGGAATTTTTGGAAAAGCATAGGTTTTTATGGAATCAGATATTTTTTTTTAATGTTTCACGAAAACTTTTTCTTCCATTAACCTTTTTTTCTCACTATTTTTTTTCTTTTTCAAAAGGAAAACGGGAACCTTTGTTCGCGCTTGTTGGCACGGAGGTTTTTCAGGAGGACCGGTTACGTACTATTTTTTTTTAAGAATCGGACAGAAATCTTTTTTTCTCACTACTTTTTTCCTTTTTAAAGGAAAAACGGGAACGCACTTTTTTTAAATCGGATAGAAAAAAAATTTGCGCTTGTTTTTTTTGGCACGGATGACGGGATTTTTTTTTTTTAAGAATCGGACAGAATATTTTGTTCGCACTATTTTTTTCCTTTTATTACGGAAGGCGGAAACCCGTTTTTCGCACTTTTTTTTATCGGAGGCGGCTAGTTAGCAATTCCTAAAATTTTTAGCGCTTGTTTTTTTCCGTACAGAAATCTTTTTTTCCTTTTTTTACAGAAATCTTTTTTTAACGTTGCTTAACCTGCTGCTGCAGCTTTCGTCCCCCTAATATTTGTTGATCTGTTTCCGTCCATATCAAAGCCTGAATATTGTTGTGATACATGCTTGATTTATAGAAGTATACATGTATAATCTAATTCATACGGAACTTCTTTTGGCTAACAGAAATCAGACAATAATTTATATTGAGTCCGTACATCCATATAGATCCTATATCATGTTTGATTTTAATTCCGCAAGGCTGCGTGCCTCTGATAGGAACCTTATACGTAGAAGTGTATTTGGATTTTATACAATTTTTAGTTTTAATATACATACAACTCTTAACTTCTATTTATGTAGATATAATTGTATCTTGTATACAACTATATCAATTAATCTATACCATTATAATTTGGACCCACTATAATCTAACCGGTAAGATTTTAATACCTTATACGTAGAAGTGTATTTGGATTTTATACAACTTTTAGTTTTAATATATATACAACTCTTAACTTCTATTTATGTAGATATAATTGTATCTTGTATACAACTATATCAATTAATCTATACCATTATAATTTGGACCCACTATAATCTAACGGGTAAGATTTTAATTCCGAATTTCAGCTATTTTTAGATTGTATTTCTACTTGGACTCTTCTTTTTCTTTTTTTTTCTTTTTCTCTGATTAATGTGAGAATTTTTAGCCCCCACGGCGAACGTGGTGCCTCCTTTAAAAGCTGTTTTAATAATATAATTTAATAATATAATAGATAGATAGATAGATTTCTGTGCTGTGTATTTTAATTTTAAAACGTCTTTGAGGTTTAATTTAGACCATTAATTTCTCGTAAAATGTGCGAGAGCACTTTAAAGCATGAAACTATGAGTTCACTTTTCATACAATTATGAACATACGTGCAATTTAACTTATTATTTCGTTAGTCAAAACTAACAAAGTTTAACGATTAAAAATCAAAACACACCATATAAAAAAATAATCCATGGACGAGGGCGCACCATCATGGCAGAAGATCCTCCTTTTCTCATAGAGGTTGACCAAAATGGATCAATCAAAGGTACATACGTATGCAATGACGTTAGAGATATATGCCATATTTGCATGTAGCTAGGCATCAAAAGCTACTCGATGTTCTCGATCCAAAATCAAGGTAAGAGCGAGCACGACACTGGAGTTTGTTTTTATAAAATTTTTGACACTTTGACAGCTGCACGTGTGATGTGAAGTGTGAACTATTTATTTGGCAGATACGAGAGGATAAAGTGGATATTACTAGACGAGAAAAAAAAAGAAAAATCAGATTTACGGACACAATGCACGTCTTGTTCCAATCGGAATTTCATGTTTGTACGATACGAACACGTTCACGCCTTCTAGTACCAACCAAAAATATTATTGATGTTCCTAATTCGTATTACCATCCAATTGCTCACGTGCCAACGTATAAAACCTCTTCCATTTTTGATACGTACTATAACCATCCAACGGCTGAATAGGCACGTGTCTAATTTCTTTTTGCCAACTAAAAATGTTTTATTTTCAGAACCATCCAACGTATCACTGTGAAATTAATGAAGTAAATTAAATTTTACTTATTTTACTTTGCCACTTTACAACAGAGCACTCGGAGGCAAGTTGGTGGGCGTATTAGGATGTGTTCGGGAGGAGGGTTTCTCCGACATGTAAAACGAAACACGTACGCATAACGTATAATTAATTAAGTATTAGCTTAAAAAAAATTAAAAATAAATTAATATAATTTTTAGAGCAATTTTTTATATATTTTTTAAACAATATAAGTTCAACAATTTAGAAAGCGTGCATATGAAAAATAGGAGAAGTGAAACTTAGTGTACCTACATGGACCACATTCTTCCGTTGCTAATGGAACAAGTGTTAAGGAATGCTGGCTAACTAAAATTGATCAACAAATATAGAAATTTTTAACTAATGCTTTTTTGTTTGTACTGTTTATTAGCAACAAAAAATAATTTGCGGGTGAAATTTTTTGTACACGTGCCTTTGTTCTTTACAAAGCAAATGCTATAAAATAAATTACAATTAAAAGAACCGAAAAATCAACTTTAAAATGAAGTCTTGAAATTTAAATTTTAGCTTTTAAGATAAGTTTTCAATATAGATAGATTTGTCTAAACAATAAACATTCAATTTTGCTATATATTTGTCGACAAATTTTCCCCCAAAAATTTGACAGATGTAATTACAGTACAATCGTAGTGTAATTACACTGTAACTTGCATATAATTACACTGTAACTATAATATAACTTGTATATAACTTTTAAAAATCTTTCCATAACATGTTATTTTAGTAAAATGAAGGTTGTGGGAACAATTTTTTTCACATATGTGTGTACTGTGATTTTTTTCTTCCTCACCAAAACAAATCTTTATAATAGATCTAATGATTTAAAATTACGTAAAACTTACATACAAGTTACACTGTAATTACATACAAATTACAGTGTAATTACACTACAATTGTACTGTAATTACATCTGTCAAATTTTTAGGAGAAAATTTGTCGGCAAATGTATAGGTGGTCCCATAAACATTTCTTGTGCTCCACCGCATTAACACCGTGTTTAGATCCCAAATTTTTCTTCAAACTTCCAACTTTTTTCATCACACCAAACTTTTCTACTCACATAAACTTCAAACTTTTCTGTCACATCGTTCCAATTTCAATCAAACTTTTAATTTTAGCGTGAACTAAACACAGCCTAAGCTAAACGATCAAACTTTTCTACTCACATAAACTTTAAACTTTTCTGTCACATCGTTCCAATTTCAATCAAACTTTCAATTTTAATGTGAACTAAACACACAGCCTAAGCTAAACGAGAGCAAATATGGAGGAGAAGTGTAGTACTTGAAAGGAGGAGGTACTACTACACTTCTTCTGACTTCTGAGGTGTAGGATACGAGAGAATTTTGGATAATATATATAAAAAGAGATGCACCGTGGGTCCCACATCCACGCCGGGTGGGCTGCACCGAGTAACCACCAACCCTTGACCTGCCCAGCTCGGAAAGGCCACTCCGCCTCCGCCTCCGCCTCCGCCTCTCCATCCATCGCCGCCGCCGCGCGCCGCCGCGTGAGCCGCCGGGGGGCGGGCATTGGATTGGACTTGGGGTTAGGTTCTCTCTCTCTCTCTTCCATGGTGGTGGCGGAACAGAAAAGATTCGAGCTTTCTTGGATTCGTACCTTTTTTTTCTTGTTTCTTTTGTTCCGTTTTGATGCCTGCGTCCTCCTCCTGCAGGGCTAAAAGCAGCAGTTTCTTGTTTTTACTTCCTGGAGAAAGTGACGATTTTGGTTATTAAGCCAGTCGCTGGATTACGAGGAGGAGAGGGGATAGATAGTTTGTGTCAGACGATGATGATGCCGCTGCGTTGCCTCTCCGAGCTGGCCCGCCGTCGCCGCGGCTGCTGCCGGCCTGATCACGCGGTGAGCTTCTCCTCCCTTTCCTTTTCTTGGATGAATCATTCATTCAGCTAAGCGCCTCACTGTGTCTCTGTAATTAACTAATTATGCATTGGGTCTCTGTAATTTTGCGTTGGGTAGTACTAGTAGTAGTTATCAAGTAATGTATTGATGCAGTATCATATCACATCAGAGGAATGATTTTGATTTTCAGTCCAAAACGAATTGCTTGCTTTTTTTGTGCTGTAACAGTAAACTGAAATTTTCAGGTTGATGCGATGAGAGCTGGGCTCCAATGTTTGATGAGCACTTGCTCCTCAACCAAAGCTACTGATAATCATAGTTTCTCCAACACATATGCAACTTCTTGTGCTAATTTGCCAGAGGTAGCACCAAGCGAGGCGCCACTGTCAGACATGCTCGTCGATTCATTCGGGAGATTTCACAACTACCTGAGGATCTCCTTGACAGAGCGCTGTAATCTGAGATGCCAGTACTGCATGCCTGCAGAAGGAGTTGAGCTCACGCCAAGCTCAGAGCTCCTGTCGCACGACGAGATCATTCGAGTTGCCGATCTTTTTGTTACTTCTGGTGTGGATAAGATCCGGTTGACTGGTGGAGAACCAACCATTAGAAAGGATATTGAAGATATCTGCTTACATCTTTCTGGCTTGAAGGGACTGAAAACTCTTGCGATGACCACGAATGGGCTTGTTCTTTCTAAGAAGCTCCCAAGATTGAAAGAGTGTGGGCTCAATGCTCTAAATATTAGTTTGGACACGTTGGTCCCTGCAAAGTTTGAGTTCATGACAAGGCGTAAAGGGCACTCCAGAGTCATGGAATCGATAGATGCTGCTATTGAACTTGGATTCCAATCTGTCAAGGTATGCACATTTTCGTATATGTAAAATTTCTGCAGTTTGCCTTCTTTCCAACATTCCTCAAAGTGGAGCTATATCCACATCATAATGAGCGTTTATCATTAGTTTAATTTAATTGGTTCTCTTTCCCTTTTTCTGCTGCCAGGTCAACTGTGTTGTCATGCGTGGAATGAATGATGATGAGATCTGTGATTTTGTTGAAATGACGAGAGACAAGCCTGTCAATGTCAGATTTATTGAGTTTATGCCGTTTGATGGTAATGTTTGGAATGTCAAGAAGTTGGTTCCTTATGCAGAGATAATGGATAAAGTGGTAAGGTACACCTCGGAAAAGTTCACTTTCCTTGTACATTATACCTTTATTTTCTTCTGCCAGCATCTAGCATCCTAGCCATGGTATGTGCATGTGGTATTTATTTTTATTATGCAAGCTACAAATAATTTATTTAATTTGCACCCTTGTGGATCAGCGCCAACGTTTTAACGGTGTAGAAAGACTTCAAGATCATCCGTCAGAGACGGCGAAGAATTTCAAGATTGATGGTCATGCTGGAACAATTTCGTTTATTACATCGATGACACAGCATTTTTGTGCTGGTTGCAATAGATTACGATTATTGGCTGATGGCAACTTGAAAGTGTGCTTGTTTGGCCCGTCTGAGGTATGCTAACCAGACGTTTTGTGAATCCTTTGACTTGTATTTCAGCAAATTTCTGTACCATATTTTGAGCCAATATGTTAAATTTTCTACTTTGGATTCTATGAGGGACAATTTTTGTGCTTTCACTGATGTTGTGGTCACTGGTTTTGAATAACTCAATTAGTTTTAATGTGTCATGCATAATCATGCAAAATTATACCATATGTAGTAAATAATTTTCTTTTGCAATTGTGAACTATTTAACAGATTAAAAAAACATATTTCTGTATAGAGCTATAAATGCCCATGATGTTCCAAACATGTTATATCATCATTTTTTTTTATCATAACATAATTTGAATGAGTAATTGGATGGTTGAATGGTATTCATGTGCTTTGTTTCCTTCTCTTGCTTTTGGAATTTCTGTTGTAAAGGATTAGGTGTGCCGTGCCTTAGGTCTGAAAGTGAAAGTTCAGTACGGGGCCGTTCTAGTGTCCATGATATATTAAACCTTAATTAGAGTAAAATTTGACTGACTTTTTGCAAGTAGTATTGCTCATTATTTAAATTCACTGTACATTTGAAACTTTGGTTGTTAATTCCATTTGCCTCTTTAAAAGTGAAATCTCATTGTGCAGTTCTACATGTTGTATTTTTACTATTGGACAAGGATGGATAAAATAAAGGGAGAAACAAGTCCTCTGTGCAAAATGCTAAAAGGAAATAAATGAATACAGACATTCTGGTTTGTGCAGGTGAGCTTGAGAGAGCCTATCCGAGCTGGTGTTGATGATGCTGGACTCAGAGAAATAATAAGCGCTGCGGTAAGTGTAGAAATTCACTTGGTTGACACCTTATGTATGGAAGACAAAAGGAGTAATCTAGACCATTTATCCCTTTTGTCAAATAACAATCTTGCACCACCTATTTCAATCCACTCCTTTTCCTTTCATAGAACATGATACCAAAAGATTTTGAACTGTTCTCTCTCTCTCTCTCTCTCTCTCTCTCTCTCTCTCTCTCTCTCTCTCTCTCTCTCTCTCTCTTGTGAGCAGTTTAAGAACATATGGATTTAATTAATTTGTTTTACAAGAAAATGATTGTTCTAGTTAAAAGACTGCTTTTGTTGACCCCAAAAAAAAATCAGCATAAAAAAAATAAGTTCAAAACAGAAGTAGTCTCTTTTGGCTTCTGTGATTTCCCTTGAGGAAGGAAGAGCATGCATTTTTGGTTGGTTTGGACTGCATTAGGTATAAGAAAAGCAGAGGCGAACTATCCTGTTCCTGGTAGAAACTGTGCAATATATCCTAGGTTTCTATGAGAATTTGCTCTACTAGGTGACCTGAGATGCTGGAATATTTTTAATGTTTGCCAGTGCCTTTTGCCTCCATCAGCAGGTGGCTCTTGCTCTGCCTGCACCTGCGGCAATTGTTCCTTTGGACAGCAAATAGGGTTCTACTGTTATTTGTTACTCAACTTTGTCTATGTTCATAGCTAAAAATAGCTACATTTCGGGACAGACGTAACTTAGTGTATCATTAGTTATATTATAGATACAATGTTTGCATACTAGCCTTTTTATCATGCGTAATCGCCAACTTATTTTACCCAGGTTAAAAGGAAGAAAGCTAAACACGCTGGGATGTTTGATATTGCTAAGACAGCAAATAGACCTATGATTCACATTGGTGGCTGAGGTATCTTCTTAACACCGCTTCTATTCGTTGTTTAATTAAGGAAAGAATTGATAATTTCTTTGAACATTACCCATTTTCTTCGCTCAAAAACATTCTATTGGAATGTTTGAATCCCTCTGTGTGTTTCTATTCATAATACAGAACTCCCAGATGCAAATTTTTATAACCAAAATGCTGGTTCCCTGTTATAAATTAGAGGTAGAATATTGTCATGAGCAACAATTGCTTTGTGGTTTGCTCAGAAATCTAGCGAAGAGCATATACAATTTCATTAACTCCATGGCTATGAATTATCTCTATCTTGAATAAACATACTGTTGTCAGTTCGTTATGCCTGTGTTTTTGTGATCTTGTCTGGCACTAATTTCTTTTAGAGAAAATTCTCTTTCTTTTAGGTTACAAACTGTAGGTGCAACAAGCAATATTTATAACTGGCTACAATGTAAGGACTTACTATTATCCGTGGTTGTCTTACCTATCAGTTACAACTTGTTTCAGATCAGTTTTACCAGCTGAAAGTACCTTGGCTCCTCCGTACGACGACTGTGACGAACTATCAACATGATAAAAAAACAAAACAAAGATTTACATGATCTTACCTTGATATGATGGTAAAGTGAGGAACTCAAAACTTCAAAGGGCAATACATACAGTTTGTTCAAGATATAAAAATGTTACTTGTGAAATAGTAGCAGTTGCAAACCTCAGGCAGTTGAAAGTTGAAGCATATCTGTACTTTTCGCTACTTGTACGAGAAAGATGTATCTGTTGTATGATGTAATGATGTAATGATGTATGCTCCTCATAAATCATAATGCTAATGTGTAGCTAACTATTCTTTTGTGGCATCTTACCGGTTAATAAAACGAAATTATTGCATTTTTCTACCTGAGGTACTCTTGCTTTGTATTCAGCAGAATAAATGGAACCATTTGAGAAAGGAACCGAATCTCTCGACAGCTGAGTGTGCTTCCATTCTCCTGCCCTTTCAAACTGAGTTGCTTTGAATTTGGTACTCTTTAATACAACAAAAATGGTTACTTTAAGAGAGTAAAATTACAAGAGATAATATCCCTGTGCTTTGCTACGGGATGATTATATACATATACAGATAAACGAACTTTAAAATATATGTAAGCTCAAAAAAAAGAGAGAAAAATAGGATTTGAACTTTCTAGTTGCATGGCCGGAGAGACAAATAGTCTTTTAATTACAATTAAAAGTTTATTAAGTTAAATAAACGTGATATAACTACAACGATAAAGTGTAACATCCGTTTCATAAAAAACTCAATTCTAACTATGAACGTCGACAAGCACTGAACTTAAACACGTGTTGTGTCATGATTCACAGCTAGGATTGAATTATTTTTTTCAAAGGAACAGAAGAGAATTAAAGGCCTTGGAATCTTCACTTTTGCACGAGCTAAGAGCCTAAGACTTTTTAGAGTAATATGGCTCAACCTATATGTAAGAGTGGGAAGAGAACAAAAATTTAAAAAACTATAACAAAAAAAAAGCTATATATATTGGGAAGAGAATTTTTAAAAAAATCCAGCTCAAGGAATGCTCACATCATTTCAAAGTCAGATGAACACTGGCGACCCAAGTTGCCAGGAGCAAATTTCATCATCGCTGGAATGGACGGTTGGGGTGAGAGAGGCTCGAACTCTCGACCTCAGGATCACTCACAATATTAGCTATGAGACCTACGCGCTAGCCAACTGCGCCACCACCCCGTCGTGTCATCCACTCTCTGGATAAACTAATTCATTATTGGTGATCCACTAATATATTATTTAGTGGAGTACTCCCTCCACCCTATAATATAAAGCGCGCACATATTTTAAGATTCAACCGTTAAAATATTTGACTAACACTTAATATAATATGAAATGAATTTATTTATTAAAAGATATATTATTAGATTGAGATTTAAATTTACTTTCATATGGTTATAATTTTGTTACTACAGACTTTCTTATAGTATATGAGAAATTATAAGGTAAAGATCAATTTTAAAGATCGTGCTAATTTTTATCGCGCCTTATGAAGCAGAGAGAGTACTAGTTAGGAGCATGATACAATAGCTAACATTTAGTGTGTCCATAACTAACTGAACTTATGATTAAAGTTATCTTCGGTGCTTGATGTTGTGGCTATACATGTGGAGGGCTAACATGATCTTCTGTGACTTAGTATTATCTCTATAGCTATAAATATTTTATGTGTAAGGACAAATTTGGTTAGACTTTTTTATAACTTTGATAATCAATTGTTTGTAAAATGTGTTCCGGTAAAAACAAAATGATGGTATATATCGGTTTTGTTTTAACCAGTACTACCATAACGTAATATGATAAGCTTGTTGGATTTTATGATTTACACTAACATAAATTTAATGGTCGAAATTCGGCCGAAATATTGTCCGGATCATTAAATACTTTACAATTGGAGAGACTAATTTTGCTCCCCCTTGAATATATGTAAGATGCACATATATCGTAGTACCTCCGTTTTCATTTTGTTCTAATGCGCGCGCGCATATATATATATATATATATGTGTGTGTATGTATATGTATGTATGTATGTAAGATTTTGAGTTCCACTAACATAAGTCTCGCTCGGAGCCAAGAGAGGCCTAAAACTCTATCCCTGAAACTCTGTTTTTGGGATTTGTAAATCGGCTTTGAGGTGTTGAATATATTGATCTCTTCGAGAGATCACCTAAATCAAGTTCCTCCAATTAAAAAGTGGGGTCACATGTTTATCCACCCACACAAATCTCGGTTGTTTCTCCCTTTCCCACCACAATCGTTCGCGCCCCGTGATGAGCGCGCAGGAGGCTAATTGGGAGTGAGACTTCTTCTGTACTTATGGAGAGCGATAAACCTGGTGAAGGGAATGCCGATTTTTGGATTCCTGTTTAGGGTTACTATGGTATCTATTTTTTTAACATAATTCCTAAATATTTGGATAGGGATCTGTTTTGCACCTCTCTTATCATGCTCTCACGCTCCTCTCCCGTTCCCAATCTCGCGCCTCCGTCTCTCTCCTCTCATTTCCGCGCTAGACGTGAAAATGTTCCTGCACGGTGATTCTTGGCGCCCATGCATGCGACTGTCTCGCATGTCGACATGTAGAGGGTTTCTGGCGTTGGTTCCATCTTCTCCACATACTCCGATTCATCTGGAGCATCTTCAACCCTCGTCAACATCGCTGATCCCACTGACAGTCTTTGTCATAGTTCGGTGGTCTTCCGTGGCTGATTCCCCAAGGTCCAACACGTACAGGTTGAATTGGCCCGGCACTCCCTCGCGTCCCCCGCCCTCGCCAGCCCTGATGTAGGGTTGGCACCTCCCCGTCCGAGCCAGCCGTTGGCCGGTAACCTTTAGACGAGGGAGCTTCAAGAGATGAGCAGGAAACTCCACTCCCATATGTCCAAGGGACGCCAACTGTGGATTCAACTCACTCGACATCGATTTAAGCCACGGTTGGTCTATTGGTGAAGAAGAGGACTTGGACCATCGAAACAATTTTAGTGTTCCAGTCGCTGACTTGGTCATGAGTCAAGGTGATTGCCGCCTTTTGGTGTGGTTTGCTGCTGGAATTTGATGATGTCGTGTGGTTGTGCTGCTAGTGGTGGTTTGGTGATGATCCTGATTATTGTTGTTGTTGCTGCTGCTTGGTGATGATGTCGATGATTATTGCTGCATCAGAAGTGGGAGACGACTGTAGGGGACAAAGGGAAGGAGGATTGGGGAGATCGACTTCAGGACATGGATGGCGTGAGGAAGATTGGCGTCGACCAGGTCACACGTGGGATAAGACCGGCGTGGGCAGGGGCACGCGATCTTGATGTGCGCGGGAGGATGAGAGAAGAAACATTTATGTTGGGAATAAGTTCATCTGAGGTCCCTTAACTTGTCAACGAAAATCTGATTTTTGTTCTTCAACCAAAAAAACAGATACAGGTCCTTCAACTGTCAAAACCGGTAAAATATAGGTTGGACGGCAGTTTCGCTGACGTGGCGCCTACGTACCTAATTTGACTCGGTCTTCATAGGACGTGATGCTTACGTGGAAATTTGATTTGGAAAATAATAAAAATTATGGGCCCATGTGAGCCCCACATGTCATTCTCACCATCCTCTTCTTCCTCCCCTCTCCCGGCCAACTCCCCTCCATTCATCCCTCTCTATCCCCTCTCCTCTATCTAGGCGTGACTGCGTGAGTGAGGAGGGGCGACGCGTGGCGGCCGGGCGAGTTGCCGGGAGAATCTTTCTCTAATTTTATATTTTGGGACATAGGCTGTGTTTATCTATGGGTGTAAAGTTTTTGGCGTGTCACATCGGCTATACAGACACATATTTGAAGTATTAAACGTAGACTAATAACAAAACAAATTACAGAACCCGCGTGTAAATTGCGAGATGAATTTATTAAGCTTAATTAATCCGTCATTAGTAAAATTTTTAATGTAGCACCACATTATCAGATCATAGAGCAATTAGGCTCAAAAGATTCATCTCGCAATTTACACGCAATCTGTATAATTAGTTATTTTTTTATTTATATTTAATACTCCATGCATGTGAGTTCAAATATTCTATGCGTGAAAAATTTTGCCAGCGATTTGAACAGAGCCATATACGAAGGGAGTATACACTTCCTAGGAACCTGCCTAATCAGGAGGGATGGACGGCCAGGATGGACGGACGGCGACGGATCGGGCGGCGGACGCGAGAGCCCCGCGCGCTCCGCGGGATTTGATGGCGCGGCGTGGAGTCCGGCGGCGCCGCGACCGGCTTTTGTCCCCCCCCCCCCCCCCCCAACCACGTGCTCCTCACGCCGTCGCGCCCCAGATATTTTTGAGCCCCTCTCGCCTCGCCTACATTTTTTTGCACATGCACCCCTTCCTGCATGATAAATTACATCGACCATAAGTAACTTGCTTCCACTTTTTGTTTCAAAGTTGTAACAAGCACATTGTAGGGTTTTTTTTTCCTTTTCTTAATAACAGTTTCTTAATTAATCCGGCCACAGCCATGATACACGAGTTATTGACTTCAAACCACATGCAGATGAAAAACATAATAACACAAAAAAAATACTGGAAGACTAAACTTTTAACTCTATTGATGACCTATTTTTTTCGTCGCAGCACAAGAGAGTGGAAGGGGAGAATAAGAACTAGTCTATGCTGCCATCGCCGCACCATCTCTGTCTACTTAGATTATGCAAAAAAGAGTCGATAGAGGTTATATGGCTTATTTGGTTTGGAGCCAATTTTCGTTCTGCCAATATTTTGGTTGTGTCAAAATCCTGGCAAGTATTGACACCGGTAATTTTGGTGGCATAGGATTTGTACTAGTGTGGACGAAAATTGGTAACCAACCAAACTCATACTTGTAGGAGCATCTGCCATATGTTGGGCTATGTGGCTGAGTAGGAATGATATGACTTTTGACAAATCACCATATATCTCATATATGCAGGTAATTTTCAGGGTAACTTATTAGCTCCGGTTTTAGGCACAGCTGCAAAAGTGTGAAGATGATGGAGAGCTTATGAAGGTTGTATGTCGTAGGCTTGAGACGACGTTTATGCAACTCTTTGCAAACTATGGATGGAGATTCACAAACAAACTTGAATAAATACATTCTCCTTATCTTGGTTTGGTCTTTTTATTTTGTTAGGTGTGTTTAATTTCGTTTGAACTACACTTTTTGTTAGAGTGATACTTTGTAATAATTAGTTATAGCTCTGATGAGCAAAGGCCAAGATGTTTATTCCATTATCTTAAAAAAAATCAAATTTGCCAAAAAAATTAATTGGTAAAAATTAATGCATGCAGTTTTATTGAATCGCTCGTGTTATTTAAAAGGTTGCCATAATTTGAAAGAAGCTTGTCATACGAGATGAGATGAAAGCCAACGATGACTACTAATTTAGGAGCGAGACTTTGATTTACACAATTGCAGTGCAGATTGGTTTTGGTTAAGGTTCTCCATGTTGTCATGACATGTTACGGTAATATTAGTTGGTGTCCTGCCTTTACAATTATACGAAGTCGTAAAGAGGATTTGGGGTATTAAAGAGAATGAAATTTCACCTATTAAAGGTAAGCAATTGGGACCATGTAGTGTTTAGAGAAGACGTATAATGCTAGGTCATACAACCATGATGGGTGGCAAAGGCAAATTCATCTATGAGACTGGGACTGTGGTTGAGGGGTTATTTGGCTAGTTCCAAAATTTTACTCCCCCTTCTAGAATTACTGACGACCATCACCACAAAATACCTCTAAATGATTATATTATGACGAATAAAAGTTGTATAATTATATTTATAGCACTACATTTCAATAAGATAAAATATTAAGTATTTATTTTTTAGAAAAATAAAAGCGGTCAAAGTTTAAACTTACATAATATACATATATCAATTATTAGAGGAATAGAGAGTTTGTCGGTAAATTATACTTATATGAAATAGTTTGAAAGGGTTAACAATACATTTACGATGACTTCACCAATCTCATAATACACCGGCATAATTTTTTAAAGTAGAGGTAGGGTGTACATGTGTATGCTCATATGGGTAGGTGTACACACGTGTTGTGATAGTGTGAGTTTATATTCTGTTTTTAAGAAAAATTGAGATAGAGCGCTCTCATACAACAGTCAAATTATTATAATCAAGAAGTCCACATTATGTTCCACCAGAGGGAACCCCAAAAATCAACTTTGAATCATAAATAAACTTGAAAAACAAAATCGCCTTTTCGACGTAGATAGAAACATAAAACAGAAGCCCGAATGCACAAAATGAGAGTAATCCGAGGACCAAAGTGCAAAATACCACCAACAAATTCAACACCAACAATACATATCCCACTCCATCGCCACTCTCCCTCCCTCCTCCCCTCCTCCCCCCTCGCCGTCGCCGCCGCCGCCGCCGCCGACGCCGCCGCGACCACCTCTCGCAAGGTACTCCAAGCCCTCCTCCTCCCTCCGCGCAGACCAACACCTCCATCCATCCTCCTCTCTTGGACTGATCGATGGCTCCCCAATTTTGCTGGAGATTTTCAGGGGATTTTGTAGGGGTTTCTGATCCGAGGAGCGGGCGATGTCGGACTCCGAGGAGCACCACTTCGAGTCGAAGGCCGACGCCGGCGCCTCCAAGACCTACCCGCAGCAGGCTGGGACCATCCGCAAAAATGGCTACATAGTCATCAAGAACCGCCCCTGCAAGGTTGATTGATTGATTGATTGATTGATTGATTGATCCATCGATTGAGATCTCGATCCGCTAGGTGGGGTAGATAGATCTGTGCGTGGTCGTCTCTCCATCTCGATTGCCGCTCCGTGTGAGTTCGCGGGTTGAATGGGTGTTAGGACTAATCTGTGTTTTTTTCTTTTTTGTGTTCAGTGATCTTGATCTTGGACTGGGTTTCTCCCTGCGTCGTTAGTGTTAATTCTGATGCGTGCCAGAGAAAGTTCATTACTTCTCTCGTTCAATGTGACTGTCTGTAGGTGCTACAGTAAGGTTGAATTCCAGGTAGATGTTGATGTTAGATGGTTTAATCGTTAGCATGTCAGACTAGGATTACTATTACTAATCGTTTTGGCAAAAAAATTTGTTCAGCTTTTGTAAAAGTTGATTATGCCAGGTTTAGGTGCTTGAAAAATGTATCTTGCAAATCGAATGTCTTAAGCGAAAAAGAAATGTCTCTGGTTTGAGTTATGTCATTCGGCGTGGCTAAGATAATGTTCTCTCGCAAGATAGTTCTATTTAGCATCGTACTAGATTTTGCATTCATCCTGCACAGGATCAGATTTTGGTTCGTTTCACCAACTTTGGACAGGGGCATGTGAGGGCAGCTACACTGTCTGCAACTTGGTACTAGTAGCACACGGTTTACCACTGCGGTGACTCGCGTACTTGTTGCGTGGTGTATGTTGTGCCTGCATATGGTAATTTCTGTATTGTGGTCCATGCAATTAAGTTTCTTGGACCACTTCTTGGGATAGTAGCAGGGTAGCAAACTTGTCTGAAACTCGGTACTTGCACTGTGCCAGGTAGTAGTCATGGGTGAGCTGGTATATTCTTGCTATGAATTGTATAGTGATAAAGTGCGTTTATAGTTTTACAATTGTTTAGTCTAGCAATGCTGGGATGGCTCTATGATGACCTGTTATCCTAGTCAATTTATTAATTATGCTAGTTATCTCTGTAATAAGTACCATTTACCTTGTCTCCCCTTTTTAGATTTGGATGCCAAGATCTGTTTTTGTAGAGCTAAAGTCATATTCTCCATCTGGCCTCGTGTTGATGGCTCATTCCTTCACTGGATTGTTGATCTCTAATGTTATGCGTTTGAAACAAATATGTAGGTTGTTGAGGTTTCAACCTCTAAAACTGGGAAGCACGGTCACGCCAAGTGCCACTTTGTTGCAATTGACATCTTTACTGCCAAGAAGCTCGAAGATATTGTGCCATCTTCTCACAACTGTGATGTCAGTACATGTCTTCAACACTTTCTGAGTTAGTGCTGCTTCTGGTCACACAAAATATGTTAATGTTAATGTGAATGTTTTATAGGTCCCGCATGTGAACCGTACGGAGTACCAGCTCATTGATATATCTGAGGATGGATTTGTAAGTTTCATTCTATTCTTCATTGCTCATGTTTGTTCATCATTTTGTGTTATCGTGTGTTGAATCTATTTGTTTTAAACATTTTTAGGTGAGTCTGTTAACTGAAAATGGCAACACCAAGGATGACCTCAGGCTCCCTACTGATGATAACCTGCTTAGTCAGGTATGTACAAGTTCGGCGCATACTTCTGGCTTCTTTTGTTTGCATTAGAAGTAGGTTGGCGCATACTTCTGGCTTCTTTTGTTTGCATTAGAAGTAGGTTGATGCTTGTACCAATTCTTAATTGGTAATAGAATGTCGACCAAATTTGGCAGCTTATTTACATAGTTAAAGAGTATTGCTGTTTTTCATCGGAAAGTGATTGTTTTTGGAAGTTTGTACTTTTTTCAGTTTCAGAGATGAATTGAATCTGAATTTTCCTATCTGTTTTTACATATAATATAAAAGGCAAAGCTCCTCTGGTATTTGCTAGTTTTAATCGTCAACATTTTCAGATGCAAGGTCTTCACAAATCAATGTTTAACTGATCAATACTGTGTCTCTTTCTTATACACCGGCTGTTTCTATTGAGTATGCCATTGTGACCTAAATTAGCCCCCCAATTACCATGTGCACCAAAAGTCCAATCTGCATTTATGAACAATTTTATTTCTTCATAATATTAAACAAGAGCCTTACTATATTTTGATCTTCATATTCATTTGCTTGTGCAGATCAAGGATGGATTTGGAGAAGGGAAGGACCTGGTGGTGACTGTTATGTCTGCCATGGGAGAGGAGCAGATCTGCGCGCTGAAGGACATCGGCCCGAAGTAAACCTCACCTGTTCCATGTGATTACTACTGAACTTTCAGTTATGATCGGTTTGGGTATGTAGGAACAAGGATTCTCTTAAAACATACAGAGTCACAACCATTAAGGAATTGTATCACAAAACTCGTCCCCGCCAGTCAGGCTCTTATTTATCTGGGTCTCGTCGTCGATTCACTGTCCTAAATTTCCTGAGTTCCTGTACCCCTAAACCACCATCCCTAGACGTTTTGTTAACCCTTTGGGTATTTGGTAGCAACTTTCATTGTGGAGTTGGATTGTGTGCTTAAGGTGAAAATATCATTTGTGATAAACCATGAGACTTTGTTGTGCTGTCACCATGACCACTGCTATTAGCATCTGCAGATGCAACTTTTGACAGTTATACCAAAAGCTTCTCCCTGCAGTGGTAAGACGGCAAAATCTATGACGTTAATGGCTCAAAAAAAAGGAGAAAACTTTCTAAATACATTTTTACAGTACACATCTCTCAGTCTGGTCTTTGCTGCGATTATCTGTTATTCAGGTGAGGTTGCTTTCTTTCTATCGCTGTCAAAGTGTTCTTGTACGGCATCTCGTTTGTAGCTGCTGTTCTTATCTTGCGGCGTAGGAGTTTCTGAAGAATCTTGCGTGTCGTTTTTTCGTTCTTTCTTTCTGAATTTACGGCATCTTGAATTTTGGCGGTGAAATTCTGAAACTGATGTTGTGTCATGGATTTAAGGAATGTTTAGGAATCTGTGAGAGGTTCATCATCAGAGAACGGGTGATGTTTGTGAGAGGTTTTTCTTTTCTTTCAAAATTCTTCCGCAGATTTGAGTCAAAATCATGTATCAACTCGTTGTCTTAGGATATGTCATATCCCTCGAAAATCCCTTATATTATGGGACGGAGTGAGTGTATAACACTATTAACTTTATCCGGTTAAATTGTGAAAACTTTGATCATCATCAATAAATCTTGAAATATTTAGTTTAGAAATATAAATAGTTTAGAAATATAAAAAGTCTAGAAAATCTCAAATTATTTAGTTTAAGAATATAAGACATCATAGAAAAATCATATAGATTTTACATTTATTACCACTTCTACAACATTGGAGTAATTTTATTACTACGTCCGACCCTCCGTCATAAAATAACTTTATTTTTTTATCTACCCTACACATACAAATAACAAAAGAAAAAAAATACCCTATACTTTATCAAATAACAATGTAATTATCTATACTTTATCAAATAACAATGTAATTATCTCTCGTCTTAATGTATTTGTTTCATGTTTAAAAGATAAAAATATTTTAGGATAAATAAGATAATAAAAATAAAGTTATTTTGAGATGGAGGGAGTACATATTATTGCTATATTTTACTGGATAAATAGTTTACAAAATTATATATAAAAAATGAATAAAATTAATTGTATCATATATCTTAAAGAGAAAATTGCATTTGTGGTATATAAACTTGGGGTGGATGTAATTTAATGCCAAAATATGAGAGGTCAGCTTGCTAATGCAACAAAACTTGACTGATGGGTGTAATTTAATGCAAGAACCTAATAAATGAGCGTACGGGTGCAATAACTTACAATGTGGGTGTGATTTTGGTACATTTGTAACAACTTAATTATTTCAAGTACTTTTTGCTACACATATTCAATAGTTAAACACTCATTTTATTAATATACTTGCGCAGATTTGTATGAGCATACTTAAAATAGAGTAAATTTCACAAAACTATATGTTTTGTGGTTCAAGTTGTAGAAAACCATACACACTTTAACACTTGGCACTTGAGTACATATATTTTGGTTGTGTAGTTTCACAAAACTACACTATCGATTTATAGATTCACTCGCGAGATGATATGGCTGTTTCACCTAGGACGAGGACATGACATCCTATTATAGCCATCGCACGAAATTAATAATGATGACACGTCCTCATCCTAGATAAACAACCACGTCATCTCACGGGTGAATCCATTCATCGATAGTGTGGTTTCGTGAAACTAAACTACCAAAATATATGTACTTAAGTGCCAAGTGTCAAAATGTGTGTGGTTTTTTTGCAACTTAAACCATAAAATATGTAGTTTTGTGAAATTTAATCTAAATTTTATAATTGAAATTAGTTAAATTTTAGCATGTAGGAATATTTGTATTTCAGTTGAGATTTTAGAATCGTTGGTGCAAATTGGATGGATAACATAATTCTTATAATAAAGAATAATTATAAGGTATTATCCGCAGGGTTGCTATGTGATGGCATATTGACATCGTGAAAAACTCACATACCACTCGTTAACCATAACAATACATATATACTTAGCCAAGTTGCTATACTACAAACTAAAACTAAATTAAGTTTATAGAAAATGCACCCATCCACTTACCAAGATTTTATTTGAATGTTCAATTCTCAAGTTTTTTACTGATTGCATCCATCAATCCAGTTGTTGTACGGTGTGTACAATGCACTATATTTTAATATCTTGAGGTTAGACCAGCGGGTCCCTCGGAGGCCACGGGGATTAATGCGAATGTCGTTTTCTACTTAGTTTTGATTATCACAGCCGGCACAGATAACATGTCTGGATGGATCCCTGATAGTGCCCGAAGTGATAACTAAAAGTTAGTCTCCCAGGGTTACTATAGAAGCAAACAGAATAATTGTAGCAATGACCAATGCAAACTTTTGTGCCATCCAACTTCCACTTTGAGTTTGCTAGCTGACGTGTTTTGTTTATTTTCTAGAAAGAGTAAATTTCACAAAAACATTTTCTGTCTAAACTTAGTTTGATTTGTAAGCAAAACTACATTGGCTATAGAATTTCATTTCAAAGCGCACAACAATCCACTCAATTCGTTCAAATCTTACCATTAGTTGTAGGCCAATCATAAACCACTTCACACAACGAACTTATTGGACTGACTCAACCAAAAAGATGTTATCTATATGTAATCAGGGTTGTATGCTGGCCGATGCAAAGTATGCATTCAAAGCCCAAATATCTAGGGATCTAAAATCTACCATTAGTACTAATTATCTATAATTAAACAGTGTTCCCTTTATCCCAAGATATACGGTATAACCACCACTAATGCAAAGACGAAAAAATAATTATAATCACTTTCTTGTTTGGATTACCTTAGTAAATACAATGCATGCCTCTAATGTGATTAGAGAAGAAGGGTGGAGGATTTAGAAAATAAAACAATTTTAGGAAATAGTTAGGTGCTAGTGAATTGCCTTGTATGAAATATTAAAAAAATATCGTGACTTGTATTTTAGGATGGAAGGAAGTAGTAGCAAATTACAAGGCCCAATAAAAAAAAGCCTCCCAAGATTACAAGGCCAAATGACACTTCGTTTTCTAATTGCTGTATTTTAAAATTTTATAATCCTATATCATGTGTTTCACACCCGGTCTCTAATTTATGCTATTATTTATCCAATAAGGGACCCCAATATTAACTTTTAACTAAAAAGTAATAAACTATTCCCCCTATCCTAAAATAATTCAAAACGAGATGGAGGGAAAAAGGTCAAAGTGATATCATTAAGAGAAAACATATTATTTGTGATGAGTAGATAAAAGGTATTAAAGAAATATAACTCATCGATTTACAGACAGGTGGTGGATAGTAATAAGAGATTACAAGTGAACTTATTTTGACAAAAATAGTATAAGCTAAAAACGAAATTCCTGAACGGAGAGAGTAATAAGGGAGGGGTGTCCGAAATCTTTGATTAGATATGAAGGCATGAAGCCAAAGGACCAAATTCCAAACAAAAGCTAGCAAACACTGTTTTGGTTTGCAACATGACAAATCACCTTTTTGTGATAGGATTGTCCACACCCTTCAAAAAAAGTTTCTATGGCACGTGCTAAGTAGCAACCAATATGAATGGCACAAGTATAGCCACATCGTGCTCAAATTTCCTCCCATCTTTTTCCTTCTCGCAGACGCACGCATACACAGATGTGATTGTGAGAGATATCCAATTGCAACACTTCGATTTTGACACCACCACCGTTTTTTTTTGTGAGAGATACTATCCAAGAACATGTCTTCATCTTGGGCACATTGCTTTCACCCCTTTTGTGATTCATTATTCACTTGAATAAATTATCAACCACCAAAAGTTCATGTGCATGTCTTGGTATATACTAGTACATGTTTGCATGCAATAGTTCTATTATATTTTCCTAAATTTCAATGGATGTTTGTCCATGATATATACATTCCAATGAACGTATGATCCTTTTTTTTTTCTTTTGCTTTTAGAAATATTTCATGATTGCTAGCTGAGCTAATTAAGATGCTCACATTATGGTTTTATTAGGTTAATCGCTCTCCCAAGGAAATTAAAATTGAGATGGATTTAGAGGAGAATCCACCCATCAATCCACTACAATATCCCTTTTCTAGGGATTAACCGATGAACAACTAATTATTCTTTTGAGGCAACTAAACTTTTCGAAAGGAGTGATCTTCTCAGATTAGGTCCAATTTCACAAGATTTTCGTAGGTACATGAACAAGTTAGTTTTCCTTATTGGTTAAAGTTGACAGGTTCCAAATAGGCCTTATTTATTCTTCACTAGCTGAAGTTTTTGACCTGAAATTCCCGCAGGATATGACAATGATATCGACTTACAAACATTCAGAGATATCATTATCCTCACCTAGATCTTCAATAAACTAATAAAGTATGAAAGCGTCATCGACAAGTAAGCTTTAAAACTGACTTTATTATAATTACAGTTATATTTAAACATCTATCTTTAACTAGTAGATTACTTAATAACCATATAGTTCACCAAACAACCGTTCACATCCTTCATACTTTATTTTATGAAATGATCGGGATCATCTCACTCACATCCAACGTTCCACATCGCTCCCACCTCCCACCTTTCTTCACGTGTTCTGTGTTCTGCGATCCTCTAATCGCGGTCCGTGATCATATCCCTTAATTGATTCATGCACACGCACCCTCCCTTAGTTAGAATAGAATACATGCTTTATTCTCCCTTTAATCATAAATATTTAATGTTTACGATCAAGTTAGATAAACTTTAAGAACTTTCGGTAAATCTAATAAGTTTATGATGATAATATTTTTAAGGCAAATTCATGCATAACCATTTTTCTTCTTTTCAAATCGAGCATTTGACAATTTAAAAGTTTAACCAAATTTTCTCGTAAACATCAAATATTAATTTCTGCTGGAGGAATACATATGTTTTACAAAAATAAAAATAAAAGTCAATTTAGGCCTTGTTTAGTTCCTAAATTTTTTTTCCCAAAAACGTCACATCGAATCTTTGGACAAATACATGGAGCATTAAATGTAAATAAAAAAAACTAATTACACAGTTTGCATGGAAATCGTGAGACGAGTCTTTTAAGCCTAATTATTAGTCCATGATTAGCCGTAAGTGCTACAGTAACCCACACGTGCTAATAACGGATTAATTAGGCTTAATAAATTCGTCTCGTGGTTTCCAGGCGAGTTATGAAATTAGTTTTTTTATTCGTGTCCAGAAACCCCTTCCGATATCCAGTCAAATAAACGTCCGATGTGACAACTAAAATTTTTTTTTCACGAACTATAAACACACCCTTATCCTGTGGATGAGTTGCACAGCCGGTCGGCAGGCTGGAAGGATAGAATTTTCTCATTGTCCTGGCTCTCCATCAATGAATGCAATGGCGACCTTGATGGTTAGCGGATGTAGTATCATATTTTGGATGGACAAGTTTTCAATACAAATTGTACACTATTAAGACATTGTTATTATACAAATTTATATGGATAGTGATATTTTAAAATTGAATCCTTAATTAGAAGATTAAACTGACCACCCCTTCACTATTGGCAATATCAGGGGAAATTGTTCCTACCATTATTTCAATATGCTCTATCTGTTAGTAAATAAATATGCTATCTCAGAAAAATCAGTATTTAAAAATTTAATTAATATATGAACTAATCATATGCTATCACCGCTTTTTTAAATGTATAATGCTATTAACTTTTGCGCATAACGTTTTACTATTCGTTTTGTTTGGAAAAAATAAACTAAAGTAAGTACTCCCTCCATTTTAAATACTTATGTTTTACATATCTATCTTGACCATTATTTTTTATAAATCCTTATAGTTTAACATAACAAGATTTACATTTTTCAATTCATGACGAGAAATACTTCCATAATATATAACTTGAGTTATATTGTTGAACTATATAGATTTCAAACATGTTAAACTTGGGACAAAACTAGAACTACATGAAATTTGAAGTGTACAGAGTGAATATAATTTATTTTGTTGTTACTTTTATTTACATTAAAGATACTTTAAGCATCTCTTTTTTTTAAAAAAAATTGCATTAATTTTTTTATAAGACGAGTGATGAACATCGTGCCTAAGAGTCAACAATGTTGCATTTTTAAAATGGAGGGAGTATGCGTTCACCGTCATGCATATCACTAGAGTCATATTTGAAAATATCTTGCTTTTTATGTTACAAATAAAGAATTACTATATGTTAACATAAATCGTGGTATGTTACAAGTGAATGCAGGAACTGAAAATATTTATTTTTGAGTTGCAAATAAAGAATTACTATATGTTAACATAAATCATGGTATGTTACAAGTGAACGTAGTTTAAGTAGTTAGGTATCTTGCATGTGGTGAGACCTAGAAACATGTTCCTAGACGTAGTATAGGTGCTCACATTTATGTTTGATTATTATTTTTATTGGTTTGGTGATATACTCGTCGACATAGGAATATTTGTGATGATTTCGTCAATCTCAAAATATATCAACCAGTATTTAAAGGTATACAGATAGTTTACGTGCGTGCACATATGTACGTATATGAGCGCTAATGCCTCCGATGCGTTTTAAAAAAATCGTGGCATATGTTAAACTAATTGTTCTCGCTGCATGTTTGGAACGAGACAACGAAGCATCATCCAATGGTCGAAAGTCGAAACCCAGACGGAGTCGCTTTGTCACTTTGCAACCAACACTTTGAAAAGTGCAGGATTAATATTATTCGATCTTGGAGGGCACTAGGCAATTAAAACATGTCCAGGATCTCCAGGTCCCCCATTTGGAAGACCACGGAGACTCCAAGAGCTTTAAGTGCTCTCCTTGTAACATCAGGCTGTCATGATAAGATTATGATAATAAACTGGTAATTTATCTAATTCCTCGTCATACTCCATAATGATAGGACACACTTTTTCACAGAACACTGTGTTAGGCTAGGCATCTGCAGATTGGCTAAACAACGCATTTTTTTATTAAAAAAAATTATAGGAAGGTTACTATAAACATCATATTATTTTTCAAATTTAAAATAGTTAATACTCAATTAATTATGTGCTAATGATTCGTATTTTGTCAATCTTCTCTTTTCCTCTCCTCTCAACACAGAGGAATCAAAGCACTTATTATACACACATTTGAAAAAGGAAAACACACCGGCTAAAATTAAATTGATGGTATTACTAGCATTAATTAGCCACTCCTTCATTAAACTATCTTATTGGTGCTAATGATATCACGCAGATCCTTGATTCTCCACCCTACAGAAAATATCCTGTTTTGGAGCTTTAGCTTTAGATTCTTATAACGACGGGTAAGCTAGGGTGCAAGCGGGAGGATCCGTGAACCCACTTAAAATATAGATAAGTGAGTAATGGATTTACGGATTAGCCATTTGCACCCTATTGGCAGGTGATTAACTAGTGGATGAGAATAAATGTTAGGTTTTCTACTTATTATTATTATTATTATTATTATTATTCTTTTCTAATAGTTATAGATTATTAAAACCCACGATGCAATTTTAGTTGTTTAGAAAGGGAATATTATGTAACAAAAGGCTATCCAAACTATGTTTACCATTTAAAATATGCCACATACATCTCTTTAAATAAAAAAGAAAACATACGTTACAACACACAGATAAATTGTTACTCCACCACTCTACAGATTATATTTAAACCGCTACAAATCTCACTCTATTATTATTACAAGTTAAACATGATTAGAAGTTACAAAAGTGTCCTCTGCTCCCCTCTATCCCCCCTCTCTCAACAAATTAAGAAAAGCAAACCAAAGAAAAGAAAAATAAAAACCTTTCTTCCCCTCCTCTCTCTCTGTTTAAAGAAAAATAAAACCTTTCTTGCCCTCTCTCTATCTATCTATCTAAAGAAAATTCTCCTCTCTCTCCTCCTCCTCCTCTTCCCTCCAACTGCAGCAGCAGGGCAAGAGAGAGAGAAGGGATCAAAGTCAGACCCACCAAAACCAGAAATCCAAAGCAGCAAAAAAAAAAAAAAAGAAAGAAAGAAAAAGATAGAAAGAGAGAGATTTAAGCACACAAGCCCAACCAAAGTCAACGCCAAAAGCTGCGATTTTTTTTTCCTTCTCTCGCCGCCCGCGCGCGCGCTCTCCGGCGACCATGTCCGCGCGCCCCCCGCCGCCGCCGCGCCCGAGGCTCGCGCTGCCGCCGCGCTCGGCCGCCGAGTCGCTCTTCACGGGCGCCGGCGACGCCAGTCCGGGCCCCCTCACCCTCGCCTCCGCGCTCTTCCCCTCCGACCCCGACGGCGGCGGCGGCGGCGGCGGCGTCATGACGTCGTCCTCCTCCTCCGCCGCGGGGGCCACGAGCTTCACGCAGCTGCTCATCGGCAACCTCTCCGCGCCTCCTCCTCCTCCTCCTCCTCCGCAGCAGCAGCAGCAGCGTGAGGCGGCGCGAGGAGGCGGGGTCGCGAGGGCCGGGCCGGCGCTGTCGGTGGCGCCGCCGCCGACGGCGGGGTCGGTGTTCACCGTGCCGCCCGGGCTCAGCCCCTCCGGCCTTCTCGACTCCCCCGGGTTGCTCTTCTCGCCGGCCATGGTAGGAACTCCATTTCTTGCACTTTTTTTTAAAAAAAAATTGCTGCAAAGAGGCTAAAGATTTTATGTACATGAAAGAATGGATTGAGAGGTTCTTGAATTGGGCGTAGTTAGCTTTGATGGAACGCATATAAGAGTTTATTACTTGTTGTTCTTGTTATTTTTGAAGTGCTTAATTAGCTATATGAGTTAATTGATTGAGGGGCGTTAATTAGAGGGAATACTTTTTGATGAGATGGTAAGAACACAAGGGGCTCATGTAAAGATAAATGCTCCATTTCTTGTGTGCGTGCGTGTGTGTGAGAGCTCTTAATCACCTTGATAGGTGTCATTAATTCGGTTAAGGTTCCTCTCTTTATTCATTTGGTGGTGAACTGGTGATGCGGGATAAAATCTGACGATCTGAAAGATTCATGTATTGTAAATTAGGAATCTGGAAACGACAATTATACTTTGTTTTCTTTCATTTCTTTTTTTTTTCTTTTAAGTTTCGCGAACGCAAAATGAAAACTATACTTTCGCTGAGGTGACAACATCTAGTGTGCTGATGAGCCCCATAGGTTTGCCGATTTGTCCAGACACCTTGCTATAATTGTTGTACGGTGCTATGGCAAGTAGAGAATCTCTACCTACAAGGCTACAAAGAGAGGTGCTGATTCTTCATTTTTTTAGGTATTGCAAGTGGTGATTTGGCAGATTGCCTTGTTAGTATCAATGATTGTACCTTCTAGTGCATGATAGTACAATTACAAGTGGGCTTGTTATTTTACTAGCGATGGGACTACTTTCCAGTTAAACTGTATTGTTAGTTTGATGCTTTTGATGTCCTTGATATGTTCATACCTGATAAGATCCTTCCAAAACGCGCTACTCGGATTAAGGTAGTTATAGCAATCACCCATCTACTCTGGAGAGCAAGAGCATCTCTATTAGAAATAGTTCATTGCTCCGTGCTTACTATTTATTCACAATGGCTAGAGGCTAGAGCTCTAAAGCCATGTGGATGTTTTGTAGTTGGACATCTACTTTGTAAAGACAAGTCCTGAAGTAAGTTCATTGGTATGAACAGGCTACGTAATTGATTATTTCATGGTGAAGGTCAAATATACTGTCACACAACTTAATTTTCTCGATAAACAATGTTCATGGCTGGAGCATTATTCTAATTTTGAGCAATTAATGCAAATCGAAGTTTTACTGATGATGAAACATGTCCTTTATTTGTATAGGGGGGTTTTGGGATGTCGCATCGGGAGGCTCTTGCCCAAGTCACAGCCCAAGCAAGCCATTCTCCACTCAGAATGTTCGATCACACTGAACAACCATCATTCTCAGCAGCTCCAACATCATCTGAAGCTATGCAGCATATGAATGCAGCAGTTAATATGACAGGAATTTCAGACATGGTCATGGGTCCAACAAACAATGAGAATGTAGCCTTTCAACCTGCTGAGGCGTCTCAGAGGTATCAAGTCAATGCCCCTGTTGATAAGCCTGCCGATGATGGCTATAATTGGCGGAAGTATGGTCAGAAGGTGGTGAAAGGCAGTGATTGCCCAAGAAGCTATTACAAATGTACTCACCCCAATTGTCCGGTCAAGAAAAAGGTAGAGCATGCAGAAGATGGTCAGATATCTGAGATCATATACAAAGGCAAACACAATCACCAACGTCCACCAAACAAGCGGGCAAAAGATGGCAGCTCTTCAGCAGCTGATCAAAACGAGCAATCTAATGATACCGTGTCTGGTCTGTCAGGTATTAAGAGAGATCAGGAAGCTATATATGGAATGTCTGAGCAACTATCTGGTTTAAGTGAAGGAGATGATATGGATGATGGTGAATCAAGGCCACATGAAGCAGATGACAAAGAGAGCGACAGCAAGAAAAGGTATTTCAGGTGTCAATAGAAATCCACTATCTCACTACATTGCTGTTTTCATCATGTTTTCTCTTCTTGTTTAGGAATATACAAATTTCTTCACAGAGGACTTCAGCGGAAGCTAAGATTATTGTGCAAACAACCAGTGAGGTTGATCTTTTGGATGATGGTTATAGATGGCGCAAGTATGGGCAGAAGGTGGTTAAAGGAAACCCTCATCCAAGGTAGGTTACTTTTGCAACATTCTTTGTGATTTATTTATTTCAATTTCATACATACTACTGTTATACTTGTCCCCCCCAAGTCCCAGAGTTGGTGAGACACTCATATAGTTGGGATTTTGTTGTTTGTTTGTTGATCTTACCATGTATTCAAAGCTATTATCTAGGGGAGAACATAAGCCAACAGTTACGGCACCCGTTGGATCCTCTCTGATTCTTACATTCAATACCTTGTGATTTAATTGTGGTCTTGACATTCTTTTTCCAGTTTTAGTTTCTCTTGCATTCTTTCCTTTTCAGACCACATATCTTAGATTATTTGTTCCATCTTGCAAGTATTCTCATTCCATGATGATGCAATATTGGTTATGCATCCTGGTTTTGTGTAGTTGTTCAAGCATTCTTTCATCATGCCTTGCATGATTTTTCTTTTCCACAAATGAGTCTGATAAATAGATAAAAGGATGATCCTTGCCTCTTTTTTGTCGGAAAGGTTCCTTTCTCCTTTTTTGTGAGATTTTACTGCAGGAAGATGATGGCAACAAACACATGCTCAATGTGAGCATAAAGCCATGTAAAAAATAATGAATAGATTGTGTATTATGTATCAATGATATGCTTAAGGAAGGAAAAACCAGTGCACACAATACCTATTTTTCACGCTTTAGCCCCATTTTCGTTGGGTATTTCATCACCTCTTTCTGTTAAATATCATAAATCGAATCCTCTGTTATTCTGAAACATCTCTCTGCATGCAACATCCAATTCTTGTCAGATAAGTTGGCTTGTGCGCAGCCCTCTTCACAGCGCTATGTAGCTGGTGGAAAATATTTGTATAGATTATCATATCCATGTCAAATGATGGAAATGGATACATGTGCTGTAAATCCCACCTAACATGGTAGCAACTTGACCAGAACAGACAAATACTATGCTTTACATGACCTGAAACTGCAGTGGTAGCCATGCTCCTCAATAGATTATTGTCATTCTGGTCAACACTCAGACTTTAGATATTTAAATGAAACCTCAGTCACCATTAGATTTCACTTTAATTTAAATCATTAGATTCCCTCATTTATCTGAGTGTAGCTATTGGTATCCAGATTACATGATGTTATTACCAAGTTTTGTCTGCTAGTCCTTTGAATAAATTGTCAGATCGGTTTATGTTTGGAGTTATTGAAAGAATAGGGAACCTAGTAAAATATTTAAGGAAAACGGGTAGCTCCAGTGAGATCCTAGTGTACGATTAGGGAGATACTAGTAGCTAGACAGAATATTATTTTTGCTTGATCTTTAATATCAAATCGGGAATAACAGTTTATGAGAGAGAATGGCCTTTTCCCTGCATGACAAGACACTCACTGAGTCTGTAGGTTTAATATATGTAATTTCATCCATACTCCTAGGAAAAAGTCTACCTGCTTTTATTACTTCCTATTGATTTCCTGGAACAATTATATTTGAACTTCTTTTATCTATCAACTTTGAGCTATTGCATTACTTAATTTATTATTCAATTTTACATATGGTTCAGTACAAAACCGTAATGCGAGCCTTTTGTTTTCTTTCACATTTTTTTCTGTAGGAGTTACTACAAGTGCACCTATGCTGGATGTAATGTTAGGAAACACATTGAGAGGGCTTCGTCAGACCCTAAGGCTGTCATAACAACTTATGAAGGAAAACATAACCATGAACCACCGGTTGGTAGGGGAAACAACCAGAATGCGGGAAATGCGGCCCCTTCAAGCAGTGCACAACAGAATATGCAGAATTTGTCTAGTAATCAAGCTTCACTTACAATGGCAGACTTCAACAACATTAACCAGAGGCCAATTGGGGTCTTACAGTTCAAAAGCGAAGAATAACACCGTCAACTGACTTTCTTGGGACCCCGGTTGCTGAAGTGGCACACTGGTATTTGGTTGATTTCTTCAGGCAAATATTGGATGCCTGCAATTCTAATAGTCACACTGTTCCAAACGTTCAAGAAGTAATACAACAATATCATTGTCTGCAATTTTCCTACCGATACACAGAATTACTGAAACGACACCTAGCCTTTCTAGCTTGTACATGCTGTTACTTTGAAGCATAAACTCAATATAACACCAGCTAGGTGGATGTGCAGATGGACGGGTCGTAATCATATACATGTTTACTTTGTAATTTGTTTATCAATCAAGCTCCTGCATTGTAATAAGATTGAATAGAGAAGTGAAATGTACAGATGCTTTCCCGTATTTCTGTATATGTTGTAATTTGTAGAAGAGTAAATCAACAAAAGAAGGTATACTGTGGACAATATATTAAGATTCTTTCTCAAACTTTAATCCAAATTGCTTGTGCTAGGTATCCAAGATGCATGTTTTATCACCTGTTCATCTGCACTTTTAACTTTCTACCTGTTTTCATCTGCATTTGGTTCAATCTTACTTTGTCTGACATAAAGATTGATCTTTTACATGGCAAGCTTACCGTCGTTCCAGCTTCTGTTCCATTTCTTGCCATACTAATTTGCAGGTGCTTGTACTTTACCAAATATCAGTATGTGAACTTCATCTTCAAAAAAATCATTTTGTTTCTCCCTTTTGCTTTTGATAGTACATGGTAATTTCAGCCTCGGTATCTATCTAGCTACATGTGCTTCATACATACAGAATCTGTAGCTGTTCAGAGCAACTATTGAGCTTTCTGACCCCACCATTATATGAGGTACAGTACCTTTTCCTCAACTTTGGCACTTCTGTTTGTTTCTATCCCAAAGGCAAAAGTCTATGTATTACTTTTAATAATCTATGTAGCTTAGCATGCTGCTGTTTTGATCTCCAGGTGAGCATTATCAACTGTAAGTTTTTTCAGGCACATCACTGTCAAGATCAGCCAGAATGTCCTTATCTAATACTGCTGCATCTACTCAGAATCTCATGTACTATTTGGTTAGTTGATCTTGAGCCTTTTGGAAGAAGAAACATAAGGCCTTACCCTCCATGAATGGTTTAAGAACGAAAAATTTGAGAATGACACTTGATCCTATAGTAATCCGTGTCTTTACTTATTTTATTAAGCATAGGTATATGCTTTCTTAGCCATACTTGAAGCTGAAGTTTCTTTGGTTAAATGATTCTTCTCTCCTAGCATGATAACATCACCAAAGTATGATTCATGCATAGCATCATCGAATCTTGAACTATTTTTTCTTCTTTTTTTTTTCTTTTTTTTTCTGTTGGAAACCAGACTATGATCTCATCTCACTGCAAGTAAATCACATTATGCCTTGTGCCTACCAGTATCATATCCCTTTTTATAGAAGGTATGACAATTTGTAATGATATTCTATCTCTTTAGAATCCCACTTGAAATGGAAACTGGGTTGCACACCCATCTGGTAGCTGGAATTATTATCTTTATAAACCAAATAATTAGTAAACTTGTTTTCTTAAGAGTTAGAATGTTGCCCACTACCAGTCGAGTATCCCCCTTAACTTCATCCGACGAACTCTTCCCCTCCCACCGACCACCGTACCCTGCTTCAACTTCAACTCCGATAACCTAATTCAGGTACCTCGCTAGAGAATACACCACCACCATAACTGTGTTTTGTTGCCATCACCGTCACCATCAGCTCATTGGATTGATCAACACAACTGGACACTCGATTGAGATCCAATGGTTGGGATCAGGTCACGAAGTTTAAGAAAATCTCAGCCACATGATGTATCGTAAAAAGGCCAAAAATTCAACTAAAATACCCTTCTGTATTTATCCCCATGTTAGTATAACATATTACAACTGAAGTGAAAAGACAGTTACTACTACAGTGAACAAAACCACCCCCCCTTTGTAGCTTTCTCCCATTTGGTAACCCCAAAAGCTTAGTTTCTTTATGATGCCCTAACTTTTGGTGCACCCATTTATTATGTAATAACCTAGTCCCCAGGTCCATCCTTTTTGTGCTTCAATGGTACAATGGTACTACTACCTAAAGTCCATGTCTCTACTGATACAAAGTTCTTTCAGGCATTATGACAGTGGGTATCTGCATGAGACAAGTGGTAGTAACCATATTTCCCAGATCTGAAAGAATGGATTGGATTGGAGGCAGAAAAGTTTACCAAAAGGCTTGTAGAAAAAATCATTGGAAATTTTACAGGTCAGTCACCACTAGGGCTTCTGGCCAGGCTGGTGTGTGGTGAGTGGTGACCTCTGCAAGGTGATGCAGAAATGTGTAGCATGCAATGCCTATTGGCCTTGTTGCTTTAGGATCAAGGAAAGGAGCACTTGAAAATGGTGGGCTCAGGATCTTAACAACTGACCCAAATTGTTGGTGACTTTAGGTGACATGTCAGACCTTATCCATCAGATAAAACTCAGCTGCAGTCAGGCAGGGCTGAAATATGTAGGTTAATGTCAAAGCATGGAATGATTTTGGAGTTTGTACTTGGATGATTTATGGTGAAAAGCCTGCTAGCTAGCGAAATAAGGGTACGGTTTTCAGGCCTCGCTATTGGCGGATCCACCGTGTGCTATGTTTCAAAAATTCAAACAAAATGATCATGAATGTAGTACACTTAAAAATCTGTGCAATGTACAAAACTGCCAAAATTGAATTCAAATCAAACACAAAAAAGAAACACAAGAAGTCAATTTGTCTGACCAATTAGCAAGTTTCTCCGAAAATGTCAATTCTCGAGTAAAAAATAAAAAGCCAATTCAAGTATCTGCCTAATGAAAAAAAAGAATTATCCAATAACCATCAGAAAACAAAATGGCATACTTAATTTGAGCAATATCTCAAGAAAATTATATAATGCATACCAAAAGTATTAATCATTCATTCATGTGGGCACTAAATGTTGCTATAGACCTTACTAACCCAATTAATTACATGTTGACCCCCTCTGCCATCTGATGGACCTGATGCTCTCCCTAAACACTAACAGCATCTCTGCCCCCAGGACCAGAAATTAACCCTTAATTAATTAATTAACAAGATGAATCAAAATGATATAAACCAAAACCCAAAAAAAAATTATATAGAGATCAATGAGCATCAGCATTATCATCATCATCATCAAGAGATGTGCTCTAGGCCCTAGTGATTAGAATTGTGAAAGAAAAATTTATGCTGCTAAATCCCCTTTCTCCTCAAGCTCCAAGAGATCACAAGAATGGCTCATCTTGCAGGTTTGGTACACCATGCAAGTGATGACAGTGTCAAGAACACAGATGATGGAGTAGATGTATGCAATCAAGAAGCCCTCACAAACCATTGATGAGGTCAGCTCGCCGGTGACGGCGTACGGCCTGGCGATCCTGAGCTGGAAGAGGCCCTCGACGGCGGCAGTGGCGAGCGTCGCCGGGAGCGCCACGGCGACGGCGGTGGCGGCGTCGCCGCGGACGAGGAGGACGGCCCTGAGGACTGCGCGGGCGCCGCCGCGCCCGCCCTCCGCCGCGGCGACCACCGTGGCGAGGTTGCACACGGCGGCGGCGTTGGCGAGCGCCACGGAGTAGACGATCACGCCCGCCGCGGACAGCGCGAGCACGGCGCGGCCGTCGGAGCCCAGGCGCAGCGCCTCCGCCGCGTTGAACGCCGCCAACAGCGCCGCGAACACCGCCGCATGCGCGGACAGGAGCGCCCCGAAGCTGGCCAGCTGCGTCCGTGCCATAGCCGGGTAGCTCGCGCGCACCAGCGACGCCATCGACGGCGCCGCGCCGCCGACGCACCGCCGCGCCCCGCGTCCGCGCGCGGCGACGACGGCGTGCACGGCGTACGCCTTGGCGAGGAGGAGGAACGACATGGCGAGCGGGAGCGTGGCGAGGAAGGAGACGATGGACTGGGACAGCCGGTGGTTGAGGAGGAACAGCAGCTGCGACGCCGGCGGGAACCCGGCGGCGACGAACACCCGGCGCAGCCGCCGCGACAGCGCGGGCTGCAGGAGGAGGATGGCGCGTGGCGGCGCCGCCAGCTGCAGCAGCGCCGGCGAGCGCGACACGAGCGCGGCGGCGGAGAACGGCAGCGCGAGCAGCGCCGCCGCGGACGCCGCCGGGTGGTAGTGGCTGAAGAAGGCGTGCAGCGCCATCCTCACTATCCTCGTCGCGCTCCCCATTGTCGCCCTCCCTCACACTCTCTCTTGCTTTAGCTCTTGTATGCTCGTGTGTGCCTATATATATATACTACTACTATTTATTTATATATTTATATATGGATCAGGATGGCATTTGTGTTGTAAATGGGCTTTGATGTGTTTGTATATGTGGCTAATGCGTGTGTCAACTGGTGGCTTTTTGATAAAATAGAAGACGCAAACGCACATGTGCGTACCACCAGACGATAAACACGATGCTGGCTAAATTGAGAGAGAGACGAGAGATAAATCTACGAAACCTCACTAAATTTTTTTAGGAGTGCAGATGTGGTGTGTGTGGTTTTTAATGGGGATGGTTTCTAGGGGTTGGAGGGAATGGTTGATGGTTTGGTGTTTGTGGGTTCTTTGGTTGGCTGAATTTGGTGTTGTATTGCTTTGAGCTTTGTTGGGATTGGGTTTTTTGGTTTGGTTTGGTCTTTTTTGTGAGTGTTTTTGGAGGGGTTTGGACTTTGGAGTGGAATGTGTTGGGGGGCTTTGGATGTTGTTAGGAGAGGAGGGGTTGGCCATTTGCTTTAATAAGGGGAGTAGGGAAGTAGAGGCTTGAGAGGATGGGCAGGCATGCATCATTTCTCTCTTGCTTCCTGTTGGGTAGGATGTGGTATTCCCCACCAGCTGACCCAACAACTCCTACAAACTGTGCTTGGATTCTACTGGAAAGGGAATTTTGTTTTTCTTTTCTTTTGGTTTATGTGGCTACTTCCCTAGATTGTAGTGGAATATAGACTTTGGCCCTTGGGTTATCATTTCATTAATTTATTTTTAGTCAGGTTAGCTCATTAGTTAAAATTCCACTTTTGTCATATTTCGCGGCAAAATATTCTCCAAAACATTGGCTATTTTACAGATTGTGAGAATAAGGTTAAACTCAAACTACTGGAACTATGGTTATTTTTAATACAAAATTATGTGTACTTATTTTTACTATGTGGAATGTGTATACATGCACTCTCGTCAGTATGTCCCTTATCACACATTCAAAAAAGACAAAGACCAATGACAAATTTTGAACCTCACTAGCTGAATTCCTACAATAAAAACACTTAAGGTGCAAGTTGTAAAGTCTTGACGTGCTATTAAAAATTGACATATTCATAAAATGGAAAGGATAAAATAATAATCATTTTCAATCAAAACATTTGAATAAACCAAACAAATATAGATTATATTAAAAGTATTTGTATTAGCATAGTGCCTACATATATTTTTTATGTACTACTGTGCCATTGTGGTTGGTGTGGACGCGGGGATACATGGCAAAAACATTTCTTCACCATCGAAACATTGCGGGTGGATTAAAGAGGTCATATTTGGAAATGAGTTATCACAGGGGGTTTTATTTAAAAAATGGACCAAACATGCCGTCTTCTATCTAGAAAATATAATTTATAATTGGAGCTCTTATGAGCCCTTTTTTTATTAAAAAAGATATTGGAGTGAGCTCTAAGCACAGCAAACAAAATCAATCTTGGGGGTAGTTTCTTTGTCGGTGTAATTAGGTGGAATATTTTTTTCCCAATCCACTCAATCGGATGGATTGGATTAGGTAAATGATTTTACGGACAAGGACTATTATTAACTTTAAGGAATGTTTTACAACAAAAGAAAGGAGTGCTGGAACATATACACTAATTAGCATTAGCCTTTATAAACAATAGTAGATTAGTTGGGTTACATTAAACTAGAAACAGTTTAGGTGCCGAGGCAGAACTGTTTTTACTCCTAAATCAAGAGGGAATAAGTGACCAGTAAAAAGTACTCACTTTTACTGTTCCAAAATTCATAGAAACATAGTGAGTTTTTTTCTTAAGAAAAACAAAGAACCCGCAAATAATGCTACTTTTTGCATATGTTAATGATCATGTTTTCTATATCAAATATGTGTGGTACGGACATCAGTTTATGCCTCTATATGCTTGGAAGCCTTACATTCAGTACAGGAATGAAGTGTTTGAAAAAGGAATAAAAACGTGAAAGAAAGAACCTTACAACGCTTGGGAGCACTCAATTACTTTCAACTTTCTTGGACTTTTGATTTTGGATTTCGTACATTCATAGTTTAATTAATAGCTAGATGCACGTTCTCTTGATGAGGTACTTCCTTACAGATTGAAAAAATATTGTTACGAGTTTGAAATATGTTACGGTCACGTATAAAGAGCAACAAAATGCACCTATAGTTTGAGCTCTGGTACGGAAAGGAAAAACATAAATAATTGTACAATGTTTCGCCTTAGGGTGAAACTCCAATTTGTTTATTTGTGAAAATGATATATAGTGATAATTGCTCTCTTGGACAATGGAACTGTTACTCCTTCAAGGTTAAAAATACTTGTCGGTGTAGATAAGGACATGACCTCTAAAAAATATTCATATAAAATATCAACAAATATATGATTTTATAAAAAATATTTTAAGATTATCTATGCATTCGGTCCATATTTCTAAGGCAAATATTTTTAAGTTATTCACAGTTAAAGTCTTTAAAGTTTGATACTAGTCTTATCCAAAACAATAATTATTTTCAACCTATAGTGAGTATTAGGATTCATCAAGGATCATCCGATTAAGTAATTAATTACCACCTGTTTGACTTTTATAAGGTGTATTTTAATTTTCAAAAAATATTCATGATTAATTAGACCACTGATTTCTTATAAAAAAAATACTTTTAGCCAAAAATAAATAGTATATGAAAGTACTTGAAATATGAATTTATCGTGCAGTTTTTATATACTAAAATGGCCTATCCGTTGAACTATTTGTTGGTCAGAGTCTACAAAATTTAACTTTTGAAAATTAATTAAAATCCACCCTATGAATATCAACAGAGGGTTCGGAAAGGTAAGAGGCAACTCTCTAGGTGATTCGATGTTAGATTGTTAGATGGGCACTAACACGACTTAACCCTTTCCATGTTTTGTTGAAAGGTAAGAGACATCCCTCCAGCGTTCATCTCCAGCCAACTCATACCTTTCCTTGTCTCTCTTCACAAGTTCTTCCTTTTCCACGCAGCCTTCAGGGCATTTTGTCACTTGAGTTTAAGTTTTTTTTTCCCTATTCTAAGGCCCTGTTTAGGGCCTGTTTAGTTCCCAAAAAGTTTTTCTCAAAAACATCACATCGAATCTTTGGATACATGCATGAAGTACTAAATATAGATTTTTAAAAAAACTAATTGCACAGTTAGGGGGAAATCGTAAGACGAATCTTTTAAGTCTAATTAGTCCATGATTAGCCATAAGTGCTATAGTAACCCACATGTTCTAATGACGGATTAATTAGGTTCAAAAGATTCGTCTCGCGGTTTCTAGGCGAGTTATGAAATTAGTTTTTTTATTCGTGTCTGAAAACCTTTTCCGACATCCGGTTAAACGTCCGATGTGACACCCAAAAATTTTCTTTTCGCGAACTAAACAGGCCCTTAGTTCGCGAAAAGAAAATTTTTAGATGTCACATCGAATGTTTGACCAGATATCAAAAGGAGTTTTCGGACACGAATGAAAAAACTATCTTCATAACTCGTCTGGAAACCGCGAGACGATTCTTCTGAACCTAATTAAGCCGTCATTAGCACATGTAGGTTACCGTAGCACTTATGGCTAATCATGGACTAATTAGGCTCAAAAGATTTGTCTTGCAATTTTCATGTAAATTGTGTAATTAGTTTTTGTTTTTATTTATATTTAATTCTCCATACATGTTTGTGAGAAAAAAATTTGGGAACTAAACCAGGCCTAACTCCACCATATAAAAACTTTTAACTAACTTATTGCTTTTAAAAATAAAAATGTAAATAAATGGGCACTACTACAGTGCTAGAACACCCAACGCAGTACAGGCTAAGAGCTTCACTCACAACGTCCATGCTACAGTTGTCCATTGGTACTATATAGCATCTACAACGTCCAATCTACAGTGGTACTACACTCAGGTTTGGTGAGGCGTCCAATAGCAAATGACCAATTCTGAGCTGGTTCATGAGTTCAAGTTTTACCAATGCAAAGCGTGCACTGTTGTCCTATGTTTATAGCTAGCCAGCCAAACTTTTCCAATAAATTTCAATCAAACTCGTACAAGGTACTCTGAGTGTTGTATTGCATGGGACTGTATGAATAAATGCCAGTAATATATATACTTGCAATGCAGAGGGATTCTAATTTCTACGTGCCATGCAGCAAAAGTCCAAATCGAAAAAGAAAAAAAAATTAAAGTTTTAAGGATTTGATAGGAACAAGTGAACTATCATTCTCAAAAGGCCCAGCCTCTATCAAAGGTGATAGCAACCTTGTTCAGTCTCTACGCGACCGCTATATTAACCGACATGTGCTCTGATCATCAGGCTCACTAATTAGCAAGCGCAACTGAAATAAATGGAGGACCATTTTAGTCCACAGTATAATAGATTCGGGATTACAATTATTCATTCACCCCTGTTCTAATAATTTGAGTGGCCGTACGTCTTAATAATGGAATTCCCACAGATTCGCTCAGCTGATGCACATTTAAAATCCTGTGACATACCTGTGTTCCAAAGAAACTGAACTAATTTCAGTGAAAATGAAAATACTTTACCTAAAATTTCAAGTCTAACAAGTTGGGTCCCACATGAGGTAACTTTAATTAATAGGAGTAAATTGTAGTTTGGGCCACCTTTTATCACCAAAGTTTCGATTTGTGGCACATTTTAACCAATGTTTTCACTTCGGACTAGGTAATTTTACTTTTGTGTTTTCTAACATTGGTTAAACGGTGACCCAAACTGAAACTTTGGTTATAAAAGGTGACCTAAAGTGCAATTCACTCTTTTTTTATTTAATTTTTTTTTGGAATGGTTAATGATGAAACAATAGTTCACAGAAAATTTATTTTTCATAGACAAATTATGATGAGGCCAACAAATCGCATGACATGGACAGCTGCAGGAAAAACTGGAAAAGGCATGTTAGGTAAGTTACCTGGGTGCACGAACCTGGGAGGGTAGAATGATCACTTGGCCTTGACAACCAACAAGACTCTGCACGCTCTGTATGCACTATGCAGGGTATGATACTCGCAATACAGCAATGGAAACTGCTGGGAACCACAAAGTGGAGCATGTGAAGCAGCTCACCTGTTCAAGGCAAAGAATGGTCTATAATTCTGCACAGGATGTCTGGCATTGACATATATTTCACAGGACCAGAACAGAGTGAATGAACAGGGTCCTGCACCAGATTTGTCAGAAACATTAACCAACTTGAGAATGCGACGCATGGCTTGCATCAACCTGAAGGAGGACATTCTTTCTATTGGTTTTGATGAGCCAGATCAGCATCCTGTGCAGAAGAACTCTCTGATATTCTTTCCTGCCAGATGAACAGCTTGAGGCAATAACAGATAAGCAAGCTAGTCCGCATTTCAGCAGTGCAATAATTAGCAAGCCAAAGACAAGGAACAATACCTTTTCTTAATTGTAGGCCCTGATTATCAAAGACAAGTGCTTGGCTTTCAGCTGTCATCTATAGTTTCATTTTAGTCATATGGCAAATGGTCAAACGTGATGACCCACGTCCATCACTTAGGTCTAATATGGTAGTTGAATGTGATGCAAACACAACAGGTAAAGGACAGATAATTGATGAAGAGCCAAAAGCCAGTAAACCATTTAATGACAATATTAAAGGAAGATGTGTGTTCCAAGAACACGTTCACCATTCTTAAACCAGCACAAGGCACCATTCATATCAAGTTTAGCTAAAGATACTGATAAAAGTCACAGCTAATACAAAAAGAGCAAGATTTACATAAATGCTGTCATTTCTGGAAATGAGGATTGAGTAACCCAGAGATTTCAAGAAATCCAACACGATCACGCCCTCCAAATATCTTCTTCAGTTTCTCGTCACACACAATTATCTTCTTGTTGTTCGGATCCTGGTCACAGAAGCAAAAAGATTCAGCAAATGTGTGCTCTACGGAAAATGGCACAAATTGCAATTGCAAAGATAAGAAGCCATTGAGATGTTCTATGACACAACAAAGCTGTATTTTGTAACACTAGTTGCCTGTCTCAGGAATTCAATGTTCCTCTTAGAGAAATGTAACAAATCCATCTAACATGATGTGACGAGGGAGGAATCCAAAATAGATCATGGATTTAGAACAATAGAGTTGTGTAAACTAGAAAAAAGATTCAATTCAAATTAAATCTAGATGTCGAGATACAGAAAAGAGAAGTGGTGCTACCACTGCATGATCAATAGTATATAATGAATGCTGCCTTTCTTGCATCTCAACATCTAGGACACATTTGAAATTGAATTTTCACAGGTTTACAAAACTCTATGTGCTCTACACTGATGATTTATTATAAGTTTGAATACACAGAAATATGATAAATTTGCTAAGGGTAAGGGAGACTAGGCCTCTGGGCAAGAAAACTGCACTAACTTTGCAATAATAGATATGAGGACCAATCAGGAAGAACACACAAATTAACTAGACCTAAGATAGTGAATGAAATATCCTCGTAATTATCTAATTGGGTATAACAGTATTTTTTTTCTTACATCCAAGAAAGAGAATCACTGGACTGGTATGTGATAATCGTAAGGTTCTTGGTAATCAGATGATTTAAAATCATCTCAGAGCTCTCTATACATAGTACATATACCACATTTGGGTCCACAGTTCCACGCTGATAAATACTCTTTAACAGTTAATAAAGAACTAACTAAAATACTTCAGGACAAACTTTTTTAGCAATCCATACAATTGGAAAAGCTAATATTAGCAAAGCATGGCATGTTGATTATATTACTCACTTGTGTACCAACAACAAAAGCAACTTGTATTTTGTACTTGTGGTCCATGCAGATGTCTGGCAGTTTGTGTGGTTATAACAATTCACACCAAAGATGAGACTGGGTCAACTTTTGGTAAAGTTTGCACAATAATAATGCAAAATAATGGAAACAAGTGGGAACTCTTGGCCCTCACTTCCTCAATGTGAACTGCTGCCATATCCTTAATTCCTTACCAAGAAATGTTTTACAAGATTTTCATTTTCCTTTTGTTTTTGAGTAAGATAAAGTGCATGAGAGAACTTTTTACATTTATAATATTTTCTACCATCCTGGTACATGGTTCTTTTGTTGTACTTTAGGTTCACTTCAGTGCACATTACATCAGACATAAACGAAATAATTGGACTACATGCATCACTGGGAATTGTAGAAGTTACAAAAGGGTATAGAAAAATCACAAATACCTAGGTGCAATGGAGTGATCTCTAGTTACTGTTTTATAGCAGCTGATCTAGTGATCTGCCAATGCACCAAGCAAGCAACTGAGCCAGTGATATGGGCCTTCTAACAAGTTCTGGGCAATGTGCAACATATCTGCCATGCAAGGTGTATTCCAAACATGAAAGAAAATCCTAATTTTGGGCCATTTCATTAATTATATGAATATCTGTTGTAATGGTGGTGAAAAAAAAATTAGATTTAGATTTCTGCATGTGCATTATCATAATTCGTCTGGACAAATTCAATTGTGTAACACATCTCTACTACTTAAAAAATAAGAGATGTTTCCTCCATCCTTAAAAAAAATAGCGAAAAAAATAAAAAAAGTCAGACTCCTACCGATAACGTCTCAGAACCGTCAAAACAAAAAAAAAAGTCTGACTCCTACCGTTTCCCTCTCAGGAAGGGAAAAAAAAAGTCCGACTCTAGATCCGATTCACCCTTAAAAACGAAAAATAAAATTGATGTGCCGGATTATAGATATGTTTGCAAAAATGGAACCTACTGGTCGAGAGCATTCCATTTTTATATGATTTTAATTTTTGGGTCTGTACTTTAGCATTTGAGTCCCTATAATCTTGCAATAAGATACTTGAGGTCTTTTTTTATTAAAAAATAATAAAAGGGAAAGAACAAAGGCAGAAAGCTGCATAAAAAGAAAAAGAAAAACCGCACAAAAAAAGAAAATAAAGAAAAAGAAAGAAAAACAACAACAACAAAATTTCGTTTCTCCTAAGTGGCAAAAAAACCGTAGATCCGATTCCTATAAAAGGCAAAAAAAAATGGTGAAAAAAATGCTAGATCTGATTCCTTTAAAACCAGAAAAAAAGTCCGATTCCAATCAAGGCGAAAAAAATCGAAAAAACATCTAAAAAAGTTCGTCCGATTCTCTAAGAAGAAAAAAATGGTTTGTATAAAATAAAAAATATGCGCGAGAAAAAAATGGAAAGGGCGAAACAAATTCCGATTTCTAATCAGTATATATCTCTTCGCTATGTCTAATCTAATCTAACTATTTAAAAAGAGAAAATGCACGAAAAAATAAAAACGGTTCAAAGAAACGTGTGAGAAAAGTCAGAAAAAAGTGCAAAAAAACACGCTAAAAAGGTTTTCCATCTTCCATAAAAAATAAAAAAACGCGCGAGAAAAATTATTTCCATCGTCGATAAAAATTTTTTAAAAAAAAACATGCGAGAAAAAAACTATCAGAAAAAATGCGCCATTTCTAAAAAATGGTTTGAAAAAACCGTGCAAAAAAACATCGTCTATTAAAAAAACAAATTGGTCCAAAAAAACTGTCAGAAAAAACACTAAATTGATGGACGTTTGAGCCAGATAGGATCCATCGATTTTTTTTCATCTACTACACGGCTTTTATTTCGTCATATATTCTCCTGTATTGGAAAAAAAGCAAAAAAGAACATTAAAAAAACAAGCAAAAAACGCGTGAGAAAATAATTGTTAGAAAAAAAATGCAAAAAACACACGAGAAAAGAAAAGCAAAAAAAGGAGAAAAATATGGTTTTCGTCGTCAGTAAAAAAAACAAAAAGAACATGCTAGGAAAAAATTGTTAGAAAGAAATGCGCCATTTTTGAAAAATGGTTTGAGAAAATCGCGCAAGAAAAATAAAACATTGTTTATATAAAAACATGTCGCTCATTAAAATACAAACATTGTCATTGACATGATTATGCATGAAAAACGTATATTATCATTAGAATTTTTCACCCGTTGCAACGCACGGGCATTTTTGCTAGTAGATAGATAATTTTATCAATTCACTTACCCTAGCAGATTTTTCTAGGCATATGATAGATAAGTGTTACAGTTTCCAGTTTTCCACATGGATTGAATGCATCTTGACATTTATATATATCTATAATTAATCTGCTGGCCATGCCACAATGCAAGTGTACACCACCCAATTATCTTCAATAGTTGTGCCACCCTCCGACCACACCTAAAAAGTTAGACAAGGATACTGATAGATGACCTTCTATTGACAGGTTCAAGCCTAAGCTCAATACTCTTTAGGATAGGATAATTCCCATATCAAATAAGACAGCCAGTTTAAAAGTCAGATCCATCCTAATATCCTCTAGTCTTGTGATAGGCTTGAACACACCTCCACCAGTGTGACCGATGGCGGGAGACATTCTTGACGAACATATTATGCTGTACTGACCACGAGATATTGAACTATATGCCACTTTTAGATGTGGCAATTAACTATTTGCCACTGGACCCACATGTCATAGACACATGTGGACCCACATGTCATTGAGATAGGTGTGGCAAATAGTTAATTGCCAAATCTAAAAGTGGCAAATAGATGACCACAGGCCTCATTACATTGTCCGCAGTAGTCAGTATCACTAGCTAGACTCGTAGCTACAACTCAACCAGGAAATCGAAGCATGGCAACCAGGACGACAAATTGATGAATCTAGAGCATAATTAAAAGCAAGACCACCCACAAGGCCACAAATAGCGATTCTATGCTATCATACAAATTGCATCCATATGAATGTACCGTAGTACAATAGTACCGTCTACCGAGCAATTCACGCAAAGCGAAACAAAAATTTACACCTGAAAATGGAAAGCTAGAGGTGGGGGGTGTGTGACAGACCTGGAGGTTGTTGCCCTTGATGTGCGCCCAGATGATCTTGAGCGCCTCCGTCCTGGGCAGCTCCTCCGCGCCGCCGACGAACTCCCGCAGCTCGGCGGAGATGGGCTTCGGCTTCATGATCCCGCTCGCCGCCCTCTTCTTCTTCCCGGACGACTTCCCCTCCGCCGCCCCCTCCTCCGCCGCGGCCACCACCCTCACCCTCACCCTCGTCGCCAACCGCCCCGCCCTCGCGGTCGCGGCTCTCCCCATCCGGAACGACATCGCCGCCGCCACGGGCGCCGCCGCCCTCCGCAGAGCCATCGGGCACGCGAGTAGCTCTCCGGAGCGGATGGCCGCCGCCGTCGCCGTCGCCGACATCACCGGAGCACACGCGGAGAAAGCAGCGGCGCGGGGTTTTCGAGTGGGTTTGGGGATAGGGTTAGCCAAGGCGGTGGAGGTAGTAGTCGTAGTAGTAGACCAGGTGGACGCGTGTCAGCCGTCCGATCTCGCTGCCGTGGCCGATCGGACGGTGGAGGAGCGCCCGGGAATAACCTTGTCCGCTTCTTCGCCGTGGGAGGGTAAAGGAGGGCAGGAGGCAACGGTAAGATTATTAATCGCCGCGATTACCGGAGGAGGAGGAATGGAGTCGCTGACAGATGGGGCCCACGTCGCGGCACCTAAACATCCGGCCCACTTGTCGGCCCATGAATATGCTGACGTCACTTTTGAGCCCACTGATTCGGTAGTGGGCCTAGGCCTGGGCATGGAGGGTGGGCCCATCTCGGCCCATGAGGATGCTGACGTCACCGCGTCGTCTTCCCAAATGGCCACGGAGGCGAAAGGATTTGGCTTTGCTGCTTTTTTTTTTTCTTTCTTTCTTTTTCCCCTTCGGCTTCTCGTCGGATTGCCAGCCATGGTGGTGAACAACTTCACGGGCCCCGGGATTGGGCTGGGTGAGCGCTCCGCCCTGCGAAACCGGATCTTGCTGTTGTTTTTGTTGTCGTTGTGTGGCGCAATGTTTGGATTCTTGGGGGTTTTCTCTGACCTTGTGTTACCTTCTCGTTGGCGGTTCGATTCGGGTGCAGGGTTCGGCATCGGGTGCGGGTTCGGCGTCGGATGGGGGTTCGGAGGTGAGAGGACTCTTTTTTGCTTCATGGATTCGTCGGACTGTTTTATCTTCGTTGATTGGAATTTGTAGGAGTTGGTGGTGGAATTGGGAATTTTAGTTAGTCGAATTGAGTTGAAGGAAGCTCTTGATGTGATGTGTTATGGTTTAACCTTTCCATGCTTGGGTTAGGTTCTGATTGGAAGAATGGATGTCACTCTTGAGTTGCTTGAGATGAACCCCTAATACATTTCTAGCCTCGTTTGTCAATGGCAGTGTCACATATTGGTTGGGATTAATTCTCTCTTTCAATTTGTTCTATTCTATGCGGCTCCGTTGATATTTATACTGTTTGAAGGATTTTAGTAGCTCTTTGGATTCAGTACTGGTTATCCTGTTTTTCAATGTAACTATGGTGACGCAATAGAATGTTAGTTCTACTACGTATGTTTATGATTATTCCAAAGGTATTTTGTATTGATTTCAGTTGATTTCCGAATTGGTAATTAAGTTGTAGACTTGTAGGTTTTCTCTTTGACTGATCCAATGTGGAACATGACCATGCCTAGTCACAGACCACAGGCATTGCTATTGAATACAAACTGGTTTCCTCGGATGTGGAAGGTGATCTCGTAAATTTTGGGGCTTGGGAGATTTTGCAGACCTTCTTGTCCTCCATCAGTGTGTACTGTTATGCTGCATCAGACATGAACATCTGTGCAATTATGAACCCTGAAACCAGTTTATGAGGACATGGTCTCTGTGGTCCCAGATGATAGATAGAAATAGGTTTTTGTAACCGACATCAGTCTTAAGGCAATCTTTTTTTTTCTTAGATGATGGGAAATGGGGCAAAATTTATTGGGAGCATTTTATGTTCTATTGTGAGTTTACATGCTAAGAAATGGTTTAAGTCTTCTGCTCATAGTGATATAGTCCCATCAACCTTAGTACCATTGTTGAAGTTTTCATCTGTTCATGGTTTGAAGATAACGTGTTCTCTTGTTTTTCTATAACAGGAATGCCTCTGAATATGTTTGGCTTGGGCATCGGTACTAATTCTTGTACATTACTTTATTATTGTACATCACCTACAGTATCTCAGGTTTCAATTAAAGTTCTTCCTTCTTTTAAGGTGGGGGATGTGGAGTTGGTCTTGGGCTAGGGTGGGGCTTCGGCAAAGCGTATGGTTGTCAGTATCGCTCGTCTAGAGTCCAGTTTCAGGGCATTGAGTTTCAGAAGAAGACCGAAGGAGATGAAGCATCAAGCCTTGTTTCTCCAGAGCGTGTTGAAAAATCTCGTCCTTATGGATAGTATGGTTGTGCCTTATAATTCACATATGCTATGTTACCTTCCTTCCCTCAATTGTGCCTTAGTTGCATACCTGCATGTTTCTTCGGTAACATTTGATGCTTATGCTCAGCTTTGTCATTTTTGTTGTAATCAGAATGATGTTAATGGACAGGATTGTTATCTATGTTGTCAACTTATGTTCTCTGGATTCAATGCACTTTGCCAGTATTTGGTTGTTACTTTTGTTTAGTAACTCTAGTTCATATATGTAGATCATCCATTTTCAGTTGAAATGGACTGGGTATAAGATTAATTTAAATGTAAAATTAAAGAAAAATTAAACTGAAATCGTTTGGTTGTGTTACAATCCTCCATGCTTGTTGCTCCCCAAAAGATGGAGAAACGAATCCTTAAGCTGTTTTATTTTTGTGAATGTTACTACAAACTTAAAATTATTAGCTCAGAGTGTCAATGTACCAGATGGTACAATCAGGGAGAGTTTTCTGTTGGTTAATCAACAAGTGGGAGAAAAACAAAGGAGAAAAGGAGGGCAAACTTTATTCTTGATCTGTCGGTGGATGCCACACCTACACACTGGGAATCAGAACAACTGTTAAGTGTTTCATAGGATGCATGCACCTTTCAAAATGGTCAGAACTTCCACAACTGCATCTGTAAGTGATTCTTCCAGTGGAAAGCCTCTCATGCTTCTACACAAATGGGTGATCAAAGGCAGCAGCATCATTTGATGTGGGAGAGCTCGCCGTCTCTGCGTCGCCGCTCCTGAGCCAGTACAGCTGCCTGAATGAAGCCGCGCTGCTGGGGACATCCTCCATGACCCACTCAAAGCCCTTGGGATAGTAGATCCCTGTTCTTGGGTGTGGCACCCACAATGCTGTCTCCGCTGACCTTGCTTCTGAAGGCTGCACCCGGCTCATAAGGTTAGAGCTTTGTTTGTTCTTGATTTCCCTGCATATTTTATACATTTGTTATAGAGAGCTGATATGGTCTTGCTTGTGAAAAAATATTTTACTGCATAATATGTTCTTCATCATCAGAGGTCAGTCATGCTTTTAGAGCATTATGATGGAATCAACCAAATCGAAAGTTTGATCGCTAGCTCGCCATTGTAGGTTCAGAGTGGATGACTAGTTACCGGAGCAGACCAGCCGATTTTGCAATTGCACTTCGGCCCATCGATGCGAGGTGGAGAAACACAATAAAGGTTCTACTGGCAGACCTTTCCTCCTTGGTATCGACTAGCCGATGCGCTGATGGCAGTTCCTTCTTGCTTGGTACCTTACCTCCCCAACCCTGGTATTTATATGCCAGTTTTAGCTTTGTTAGTGCAGTCTTCCAACATAGTTAGGGCAATTACAAATACACTGTATACTTGGTAGATTATGAGTGAGTGAACAGGATAACCTGACGATAAACTGTGTTTAGTACTTATCTGGAGGATTACGAATTATTTTGTTCGCAGTCACTGCCTTCTAGTTGAGCAACCAAAATGGGGTTTTGAGCCTGATTGGACTCCTTTGGACAAAAACATTGTGGAACTGATGCTCCCAGAATCTGAAGTCAATTCTGGCCAAGTACAGTCCTGGGGTGGTACTATTGCTACGTGTAGAATCATGAGACAGCACAACCTGTGCTAGGTGTTTCCATATTCAAAAAGAAAAGAACACAGCTATAAAGCAATTACGCTATCTTTATGCTAAATGGTGCTATAGTTATGAAGGATATTTTAGAATTTCTTGTGAACTCCATATGGGTAGCAACTGACATGTCGGCTCTATTGATAGGTGGATTCAGTTTATTACCCATCTTCCAGTGACTAACTGAACTGATCTTGGACTAGAATTTTATATATCCTCATGGCAGAGATGTTCGCTTACTGGATGCTTCTGGGTACGGTCAAGAATTTTCGCATACGGTACTTCCTGACCTGATCCATCTTCCCCATGCATTTCTTTCTGATCAGGATGATTAACAATCACTTTGCACAATAATGGAGGGGATGAGCATCTGGTTCCCCTTGTAGGATGCAGATATAGCTGCGGTGCAAAACTAAAGACGGAGCATTTTCGATTGCTTCTTGTCTCTTCTTGCTGCAGGGGAAAAAAGTAAAATATTTTCCCTCCAGATTTGATACTAGGGTCGGTGATACTAGGAGAGGTCTGACAATGGAATAAAGCACACATTCTTGTATTGTTGTTGTCATCAGCTTCGATTCTTCTGTTCTCTCCTTTTGGTTTCAGTGGAAGGCTATGGTGTAGGATGATGTGCTGCTTTACAAACTACAGTACAAATATCTTTATCTCTAGGATCTCAATGGTTTACTTTGTCAGAAAAACTTTGATGAACTAGACATTACTACAGGTGCAGTAAAAATTCTGCTTCAAAGTTCAAAGTTTACGCTGGAATATTGGGGAATGAATGAAGGAATGAAAGATTTGCCAGTAGTCTGGCCTTTTTTTTTGTGTTGAATGTCTGTGTTTTGAAATTAAACTTGTTTAGTTGTATCCGTTAGGGCAAGTTTTTGCTATGTGTTTGTGATTAATTGATTAATCCCCAACTGTGTATGCTTTCTAAATCCAATACTATGTATGTCATCAGTTTGCAGGTTTAACTATTCTTGAAAAATGTATGACACCCAAAGAAATAGAATAACAAGTCAAACACCCAAAATCATAGTAAAGTCTAAAGAAAAGCTGAAATTCTGTTGTGGTGAAGTTCTGGCTGACTTCATGGCATCCTTATGGCCTTGATTGGGGGAGTTGGAATGTAGGGTTAAAGGATAATATATATAATACCTTCGGAATGGGAGAAAAATCTTAGTAAAATGCCTATCAATCCAAAAGCATTTGAGGGTTTTCTTTTCCAAAAACAAGTTGTAAGAATTTTACTCATTTATTAGAAACAAGGGTGTAGAGTATACTGTTGGGACTAACTTTCAAAGTGAAAGAAAGGAATTTTGGCTTCAAATGAATCAGGAAAAGTAGGTGAACTCAGGAGTTAAAAAGTCTAATGTCAAGTTTAGAACGCCGGAATCGAACTGTTTAGCGTGAAAAATCTTTGTGAACTTCCTGAGAATTGACCTGCTTACTCTAGAAGCCTTGCAAGATTGCATTTGTAATGGATGCTCAAGCAAATTTTCATATGAAATTCGTTCAATATATATGGACCACAGGACCACACGAGGGAGATGTCATCTCAATAATCTCATCCATAAGAGAATCAAAGTACGGATGTAGCCGAGGATGAGATGCACCGAAAATGTGATGAAGCGAGGTGATCAATGGTCGGTATCTTTTTCACTGCCCCTAGCGGTGGAGCCACCTCCCAGACGAGAAAGTGGTCATGGTTTGCAAAACCGAACCACCTTTAAGAGCCGTTCCTTGGCGGTACATCTGGTTTTCGTGAAAACTGTTTGAAAACCATTTGACTACCATGGAATCTGACTAAATTTTGTTAGAAATTCAAAATTCAGCTTGGATTCTTTTGCGTTTGACTGAGTGTTTTGGATATCAAGCTAGCCTTAGCGAAAACACAGTTCTCAATGGTTTTTGTAAAACCCTGGGAGCAGCTATGTGGCACTGGGCTTGGCACCATCGCGGTTCCTTGTCCCGGTCGGTCACTGAAAATCAATGGGAAAATGATTGATAGCAAATGGCAGCTACCTGCCTATCTCCATCGCTATGTGTTGGTACTAGCTGGAGTATCTCCAAAGCTAAACAAATTAATGAAACTTGTAACTTGTAATAATTAAGCTAAAATATATATATTTAGTAGTATGCATGTGGTATTATCTCTACTATTATAAAAATTAAATATATTTTCGTTTGAGTCCTATATATCATCTGTGTTTGAGTTGATTATATGACGTCCATATCCAATTCGACGTAAGTTTAGAATAACTATTGTACACCCTATCCCAGTCTAACCATCTTTCTCCCAACCCAACCCAACTGACCCACCCCATCCTACGTGCCTCCACTCGGCGTCGCACGAGCCCCTCCCTTGATTAGTGTCTATTTTTTCTCCTTTTTTTTACTTTTCTCTTTTTTTTTCTCCCGATAATCCTTATCCTCTCCCACTCCTTCCAATCTCCTCTCTTTTCTCCTCCTTTTCTCTTTTTTCCTCCTTTTTTATCTTCCAAATTTCTATCATCATAAATATTTCCTTTTGAAATTATCATTGTTTTAGGTGTGTATATGGCAAGTTTGTTACTTTACAAATGCTTTCCATCTACAGTTAATTTTTTTTTACTAATTGGATAATTAAAATTTTAATCTTTGGTCCATGAGGTATAGCAAAATTCATATGCGTTAACTTATGAAATAGCCACACGATCAATTTACGAGGCTATGGAAATGTGTATATAAGGGATTCTTCGTGTGATGATGCATGAAACAAGCACAATCAGGTTCAATGATATATATAATTTGCTGACTTTGTTTTGCTATTGTTTTGTTTGTCTTGTTTCGGTTTGTCGTTTAAATGGACAGAGTTTTTATCGGACGTGAAAATTGTCTTCACTTATTACAACACACGGGTATTTGTGTTAGTTAGAATAAAAATACTAAAAGCCAACATGGTCCTTCAAATTTCACCCCATATCAATTTAGTCCTAATGTTTCCGATTATCCAAACAAATCCTCGAGATTTATTATTTGCCTAACAAAATCCTAGGACTAAAAAAAATACCATACAGTCATGCCATGTCAAGGCTTGCATGTGAGGATGGCGTGGCATATCCTTATGGCATTTTGGGTGGATCCAAGGGGCTATGTAAAAATAAATAAGAAATCTCAAGGATTTATTTGGACAAGACTAAATTGATTCCGGAGCGAAACTTTAGATACCATATTAGCCATTTACCAGTCTTGCCATCAACAAATAAATAATACTTATATGTTCATTTTTTTAATATGATGAATGATCAAACATGAAATAACGTTATCTACATTATATTTGAACAAATGATTTTATTCATTCATCATTCATCATATCACACATCTAACGGTGCAAAAATCATCTGATGAGTTAAGATCGGACGTCCCAGATGCGCGCGTGTCGCTCCTCATCCTCTCCCGCACCCCCCTCTCTCTCTCTGCCGCAATTGACGCAATCGCCGCGCCTCCTCCGTATCGGCGCGATCGCGCATCCTCTCCCGCATCTCCCTCTCTTCCGCATTCGCCGCGCCTCCTCCGCATCCCTCCCCTCCGCGTCACGATCAAGCGCCGCCTCCCCTCCTACCGCGCCCTCCACCCGAATCCCTCGCCTCCGCGTCGCCGGTCTGCGCCTGCGGGAGGAAAATAATCCGCCTGCGAGGAGGAACGCCTCGCCGGTGGCTGGCGATGGGGTAAACGCCCGTTAAGGGCGAGCCCGTCCTCCGTCGTCTTCCCGTCGTGCACGGAGGAAGCGAAGCGATATTACCGTTCTTTTCATCGTCTTCTTAGTCTCTCTCCCCTTCTCCGACGGCGAGGTGCTGCTGCCCACATCAGGCGGATCCCATCTCCCATGGCGGTGTCCTGGCGGTCGGCTCCCATGGCGGCGGCGTCCTGGCGGTCAGCTCCCATGGTGGCGGCGTCCTGGCGATCGGCTCCCATGGCGGCGGCATCCTGGCTAGCGGCCCCACCACCGGTAACACGATTTTCCTTCAAATCAGGCCCTAATTTTTACATGGCATATTTTGTGCGATTTTTGGTACAGGCAAAATTTGCTAGAGGAAAAAAAATGTAATTGGCTAAGAGACACCGCAAAAACATGACACAGCTGATGGACACTCCAAAAATTGTGTAATTGGCTGTAGGACACCGGAGGCAATATTTTATAATTTCCGGATCAAAAGAGGGGATATTTTTTTCCAAATGACGAGATTGCCCAACGTGGAAAGAAAATTATATATTCAGAAGAAGAAGACAGGAGACGTACTTGTAAAGATTAATACGTACGTACGCTTAAAGATGCACTAATACAAACATGGCAGATGATAGCTAGAAGATGAATTCATGGAAATGTACGGTAATCGATCTACAGACGCAGCTCGAGGTCCTTCTGCTCGTCGCCGGCGCCCATGGAAGACACGGCGGTGGTGGCGTGGGACGCTCTTGTCCAGGAAAGCATGTCCACCGTGTTGTTGTCACGGTCGTCGCTGCCGAGAGCGGCCATGAGCTGCGCGTGCTCCGTGAAGCGTCGTGCGCCGACGCCGACGCCGCTCCACCACTTGATTGGGCCGACGATGCACGGCAAGGAGCAGAGGCAGACGCGTCTCGCAGTCTCGTTGGTCGCGCGGCCCACCCCGTCGTCGGCGGCGGCCCCGCTGGCCTCGCCGTCGCGCAGCTCGTCGCCAAGGCGAGCCTCCGTCTGCGCCATCGACGCCCATTGCCTCGAGCTGGGCCGCGCGCGGGGCCGGCGGCGGCCACGGCGACGACGTGGAGCGCGGCAGGAAGTAGCCACGCGCAGGGCCGGCGGCGGCGCTCATGGCAGGGGCAATCTCGTCATTTGGAAAAAAAATATCCTCTATTTTGACTCGAAAATTATAAAATATTGCTTCCGGTGTCCTACAGCCAATTAAACAATTATTGGAGTGTCCATCAGCTATGTCACGTTTTTGCGGTGTCTCCCAGCCAATTACACATTTTTTGAGTATTTTGTAGAAAATTTTACCTTTTGGACAAGGAAACTTTTGTCACAGGCCTTGGTGGCGGGTCCACTAACGGGAGTCTGATTAGTGTAAATACCATGCGCTCCTAATCTCTTAATCGCACTCGAAATCCCCTGATTGCGCTCATCCCCTAATCTCGCTTTCCAATTACCACACTTTCTTTCTTCTCTGAATGTATCTCTACATATGCACGAATGGGGGCCTCGGCGGCTTGCACCGCACTGATCTCTTCCGCGTCGGCTGATGGGGTGAACGAACGCAGAGACGTTGCTCCAGTGCTCGATCTAGGCTGCGGACCTAAGGTGTGAGCCCAATCCCCATCCTGGTACACTCATTTGATTGGTTTTTCTTCCACGCACTCTATGAATTCCTTTTTTGCTTAATTCCAAATCAGGTTTTAACATAACTGACCAATATCAACATAATGTTTTCTCATTATCTGTCTATAATAATTTACTGTATTTAGGCGGTCTGATGTTTTTGTTTTTAATAAGATCTAGCTGATTTGGTTTATTTCAGTTAGGTAGAAACAATGCTGAAATTAGTACGAAGCAAAATTAAACCGTCGCTCAGGATCGTCATGCTCTCTGCGACCAAACAAGGTTAGTGATGGAAACGTTCTCTTGTGTCTATTTCATTCAGTTGTGTATAACATCTCTGATAGACTCAAACGATAAACAGTGTGTATCTTTGCCATGAACAGTGCGTAAACTGTTAAAATATTAGCATCTGATAAATGGATGCTACGTGAATTGCTCTATCTGTATTTTATATCTTTGGACAACCGTGTTTCTGTTTTTTTTTAAGGTGGGACCATGTTTCTGTTTTATATTAGCTGGGAAAAGGTTGTGACATTGCTTTTGTGAGTATTACAGATAGTGAGTATTAGACAATCAAAATTTAGAATCCAATCAGAAGTGTAGTGTCTAACAATGTGAATTTACAGATGGGTGTTTATATTCTTGATCATATTGTAGTAATTGTTCTCGCTGCATTTGAAATTGTTTTCGCATAGAAATGCCCCAATGAATCTGAACAGGAAGAGAACACATGCACAACCTGTTCGTGCAATACCCGCTGTGTCCCCAAGACCCGTTGTGCATAGGTAAGTTGTTGATTGAATTGATTAAACTTAAAGTAATAAATTTATACTTTCGTGTGATTGACTGCTTGTCTGTAGGTTCAAGCACTTTGACAATGTAGAGTTTGAAGATTGCATGGTCAATAGAGCGTTTAGTGTTATTGTAATGGTAGATGCCAAGTTCCATTCAGAGGCTCATGGTGATAGGCAATGATTCATTTTGATGAATGCTACTGTAAGTTCCTTTTTTTGTTTTTAATGTGGACAAAATATAAACAAAATTAAATTAAATACTACCGTCGACTAAATATGCAATATGGTTTCTACAATTGTAGGGCTCGAAAATGGAAGCAGTTGTAAGCGGTGAGCTGGCTACAAGGTTTCAAAATATTTTGATTGTAGGACGGAACTACACCATATATGGTGTATATTTCCAGCCTAATTATTGGAAATTAAATTTTCGAGCTATAAAAAGACAATATGAATGCTTCTTCACTAGAAATACTATAGTTGAGTCCTATAACCAACCGCTGCAATTTCCTATCTACCCTAAACAACTCACGGAATTTGGTGAGTTGTCAGCATATTACAATAAGATGTTTGTGGGTAAGTTTTAAAAATTTTCATCTTTATATTATGGGAAAAAAATGACAAATTGTGTTATTAGCAATATGTTGGCTGACACCTTTTTTTTTAGACATTGCTGGTGTTATTGTGTATCTAGGTCCACTTCAATGCGTTTCTAATCGCCTCTACAAAGAGGTCACCCTCGTGGACACGAGGTATGTATTTATACATAAACAAAATCAACCCTTAACTTATTCTTACGTAAATAGTAATTATATGTATGCATTGTTTATATTTGAAGGTGTCAGCTTGTGGTTATTGGAGTTTACGCTAACCATCTGACCACTCACGTGCTGCAATGGGCTTCAACATTTGCTAATAATCACGTTGTTGTGGGAACTATGCTGCAATTGGACCGCACGTATTGTAAGTGTATTAGAGAAAGTGTTGCTACATATGTGCTATATACTTGTTGAATTGAACTACCCGTATAATTACTTCTGGATGAAAGCAGGGTGCTTGGAGTCTTCGGATCATAGCCAATTTCATTTCAATCCAAGTTTTCATGCTCTGAATGAATTACATAGTGAGTATCTCTATAAAGCTTGTTGTTTCCACTGGTCAATATATGTTTAGATGAACTAAGTAATAACTATATATGTGAAAATACAGACTTTCGGTGGTTTGTGGTCAACGGAGAAGTCAACCTCAGTTTTGTCGACCGATATCATGTAACAAGATGGGTTCACATTGCCGAAGTTCTGGATTCAAAGTCTTCGTTCAACAAAAATATTAAGCATGCTTAGTTTTAAGACAATTTTGAATGCTTTGTGCTTTGTGTGCCTATAAGTGCACTGGAATGTAATAATGCTTTATTTAACGCTGAAAAACCATAACTATGTGATTTATTTAACACTTCAATTTAATGTTTAAGGCAGTTTGGGTTCAGTTTAGTGTAGGCCGTAAATCGTGATGAGCAGATGGCTTGGCGGCGCATCGATGATAGATAATTAGATATGCAACCTCTTTGTGTGGAACTCTGGTTGGTGTACTGAAGTACTATACTACCGATGAATAAAGAAATGAGCCAAGCAAGTTAAAGTTCCTTCGGAGAAGCTTGTCTGCTTCTTTCTTTACTATTCATTTTTCAGACAGATCCTGATACTTCTCCATCTCTAAATCATTTGACATGTGTTTATGGTTTACTGTATAATCTTGCCTGGACTTACAATTTTAGGTAAGTTTTTATAATCTACCCAATATTAATTCTTTTGCTCATGTTTTAAACATTTATTGTACATATAGACTGATACTAGATTTGGTTTAAGTCCGATGTTCCATAAGGATATATATCTTGCGGGGTCGGTTGGTAGTTGGTCGAAAATCCATTATGAAGTTGCAAAATACAAATCGGTACGCTGGCTATCCTTTGTTCTTATATGAATGTGTTTTTTTTATATTATTTTGACGGTTGACTTTTTCCATATTCTTATACCAATATATCTTGGTCATACTGGACCAAGAAAGCATAACACTATCTTCTAGACCCTAATCCACTAAATCCAATGTATGAGAACAACCCAACTATGAGATATACCAAAAAATTATTAAAAGATACCGACTACTTCAACAGAGCCATGCTTGTGGCATGTCCTGGCTCTAGGTGGACTGAGGATATCGACATGTGGCGCCATATATATATGTCACAAATCCGGTGGCTGACTCGTAAGTTTTCTTCTAAAAACTTGTTTGATCCAATAAATTTATTTGTCTGACGCATGGTACCTAACTATTCAAATTTCATAGGAATTTGTCGGGTTGTCTCGTATATCTTTTCATGCGATCCGGGAATAATGGAGCACTTCATTTGCCGTCTTTTAAGGTCATTCTGACTAGCATTGGGCATTTAGAATATTATATTTTATTTTATAATATAGTTATTTATTTTTATAAACAAATGCACTTGCAGAATGTTGACGAGCTAAGTAAACAATTTTTTGCTACATCTATTGATGTACGAGCAAAATATGTGCGAAAGCAACATTCCTAGCGGCACATGAGATTTTCTTCAGTGTATCCCTCTCCGAAAGGGGGGGAGAGGGGTCGGGTGGCGTGCTGAAGTCGCGGTGATCCCGAACGGTGTGGTTGTGTTCTGAAGTCGCGGAGTTCCCGAATCTTTGATCGGTTGCCCGAAGTCGCGTTGCCTTGTTGAGCCGCAGAAGGCGTTTGTCGGCATAATTCGTTGACTGGGCACTTATCAAAGGCAAAGGTTGAACTTAATTGTGGGAAATATTCCCTGCCGTTGACTGGAATACATCATATCCAAATAGGTTGATCATAATTGTGGGAGATTTCCCCGCCGTTGACTGGTAACTACCTACCTATCTTCCTATCTTTCGTATAAGATGTCTTGGTTGGTTAGATCACGAAGAGCCACTGATCAATCTGTAGCCTCGTGCAGTAGCGAGAAGTCTGTTGGCACTATGTCGATAAAGAATGCTTCATCTATATCTTTTGAGGATATTGAGAAAAGTATTTCCAACTGGAAGATCCCTAAGGTTAATATTAAGGAAATATATCATGTAGGTACTTTTTCGTTACTTAGTAACTACTATATTAAAACAATCGAAAAAACTATTCCAATTAGTTCTTTGCATGAAACCCTGCATCTTCTTTCAGAAAGAGAAATCAATTCTATAAGAGCTAAACATCAATATCACTACCTTCACTTTGGTCTTATACAAGTTGCTATCAGATCCTTGACTAGAAAGGGTTTGAACGTCTCTGTTCTGGCTTGTCTAAGAGATTGCAGAAATAAAAGGTTCAAAGATTCCTTACTTGGCATGGTGGAAGCCAGCCTTAGTAATGGTCCTGTTTATTTTAATACCTTTCCCGATTTTTCTGTATCTCTCTCAGACAAAAATATCCATAAAGTTCTCACTCTCAACTTACAAACATCTGGTTATGATCTAGAACCAGGGAGTGAAAACATCTCCGTTACCTACAGAGTTTACTACAAAGCCATGACAACTTTAGCACCTTGTGCCAAACATTATACACCAAAAGGCCTAACCACTCTCCTTCAAACCAATCCTAATAACAGACATACTATCCCCAAAACCCTGAAATGGGATGAGATCACCCTGCCTGAGAAATGGGTTTTATCTCAAGCTGTTGAACCTAAGTCTATGGATCAGTCGGAAGTCGAATCCTTGATTGAAACACCAGACGGAGATGTTGAGATAACATTTGCTTCAAAACAAAAAGCCTTTCTCCAGTCTAGACCTTCTGTCAGTCTAGATTCTAGGCCTAGGACAAAACCTTAAAATGTTGTCTATGCTACCTATGAAGACAACTCCGACGAACCTTCAATCTCAGACTTCGATATCAATGTTATCGAGCTTGATGTTGGCTTTGTTATTGCTATAGAAGAAGATGAATTTGAAATTGACAAAGAATTGCTTAGGAGAGAAATAAGACTCCCTAAAAATAGAACTAAAACTAAAAGATATCTTGAAGAGGTTGATGAATCATTCAGAATGAAGATAAGAGAAGTTTGGCATAATGAAATGAGAGAACAGAGGAGGAATATTTTCTTCTTTGATTGGTATGAGAATAGCCAGATTATACATTTTGAAGAATTTTTTAGGACCCAGAAGAAAGGAAAGGAGGTATGTAATGAAGAGAGAAAACAAGAACATGACAAGTCAGTAATTAAGGTCTTTTCAGATTGTGGGACAACCAGTGAAACGCATATTACTTATTCTCCTTTTAAACTTACTCAACAATCTCAGGATATCATAGGAAAAAATTGTTTTCCAGAAAGCACTTATGAGAAATCCATAGAGAATAAATTCCTAGGATATTTAGTAGAACAACAGAAAACTCAAGATCTATCCCCTGAACAACAAGATTCCAAAACAATTCCTATGGAACCCATTATTCTAAGAAGTCATGAAGAGCCTTCTTCCCACTCTCAATTTGAGGAATCTAGACCTCAATCTGAAACTTATCTTTTGCCTTATTCTTATCCTATTACAACTATAATTATTCCAACTGCCACTCCCAAAGATAAGGTAGTCAAATTCTTTGATACTAATGACCAGATGTCTAATTCCTTGACAAAAATTCAAGCGTCATCTTACAATAAATTGATGCTCCAAAAAGAAGTTTCTTCCTTGAATAACAAAATCGACTCTTTGGTAAACAGAAACTTCGAGAGTTATATTACCAGAATCATCGATACCTCTTTCTACAACATAATCAATGATCCTAAAGGAATTACCAGATCAAAATTCAGATTGTTCCATAATGTTCTCTTCTCCAAGATCTATATCCAACCCAATCCAAATAAAACACTTTGTTACCATTCTCAAACCGAAAACTCCTTTAAAAGAAAATCTCAAAACCAAATCTCGGCTAAAGCCCTATGCGCAAGTAATAAAATCTTAGTCCATAAGCAAGATCTTTTTGGAAGCATATTTGTTATTTCTGATATAAATCAATTTGGCACTATTAATCCTGAGGAAGAAAGGACCAAAAGAAAACTTAAAATTAATGACCTCTTCCAAGAACAAAATTATACTAAAAAGGAATTGAGAGACTTAAAGGGAAAAATTCGAAGTCTAGAATTACAAAATAATAGTTGCATGGGCCAAGATGAAGAGGTTGTCAACCCCATCAACAGTTATGTTAAGCAGAAATGGTATGCAGAAGTAAGGTACAAACTCAATGATGGATTCCAATTCAGTTATAAGACTTTAATTGATTCAGGAGCTGATGTGAACTGCATTCGTGAAGGTATTATTCCATTCAAATACTTTGAAAAATCCTCCCATAAAATTCATGCTGCAGATGGAAATTTACTAAAAGTCAATTACAAAATCCCTTCTATTCATGTTTGCATAAATGGAGTCTGCATTAAAACTTCCTTTTTGCTTATAAAAAAACTAAAGCAAGGAGTTATTTTGGGAACGCCATTCTTATCCCTAATAAAACCCTTTATTGTTACTGAAAAAGGTATCCAGTTTAGAATCAGAGACAAAAATGTTAAGTTAAAATTTTCTTCTAAACCCGAGCAAACCATGTTAAACTATTTAAAGGAGATCATCACACAAAAAGAGCAATTTGTGAGTGACATATCTTCTGAAATAAAAAATGCTAGGATTTCCCAAACCCTTAATGATCCAAGGTTTCAAGAAAAAATTATACTGTTAGAAAAAAGGTTCATAAAAGAGATATGTTCTGATTTCCCATCAGCTTTTTGGCATAGGAAAAAGCATGTTGTAGGTCTTCCTTATGTCTCTAATTTTAATGAAGATAAGATTCCCACTAAAGCAAGGCCCATTCAGATGAATAGTCGACTTTTAGAAATTTGCAAGCAAGAAATAAAAAACTTGCTAGACAAAGGCTTAATAAGGAAAAGTTCCTCTCCTTGGAGTTGTGCAGCCTTCTATGTAGAAAATGCTGCTGAAAAAGAACGAGGAGTTCCTCGGCTAGTTATCAATTACAAACCTCTCAATAAAGTTCTACAATGGATAAGGTATCCAATACCTTATAAGCATGACTTAATACGAAGGATTCAGGGTTCAAAGATATATTCTAAATTTGATATGAAGTCTGGGTTTTGGCAAATCCAAATAAAAGAAGAAGATAGATATAAAACTGCCTTTACTACTCCTTTTGGTCATTATGAGTGGAACGTAATGCCGTTTGGTTTAAAAAATGCTCCTTCTGAGTTCCAAAAAATAATGAATGAGATTTTCCTTCCCTTTACATCCTTCATTATAGTTTATATAGATGATGTTTTAATATTTTCCCAAGATGTTGACCAACATTGGAAACACCTTAATATGTTTTATAAAATTATAGTTCAAAACGGTTTAGTAGTCTCTGCTAAGAAAATGAAACTTTTCCAAACTAATGTTCAGTTTCTCGGTTATAAAATTCAATATGATCAAGTCCAACCAGTAGCAAGAGTAATAGAATTTGCAGAAAAATTTCCGGATGAGATAAAAGATAAAACACAGTTGCAAAGATTTCTAGGGTGTTTAAACTATGTCTCCGATTTTTATAAAGATCTTGCAAAAGACAGAAAGATTTTAACCGAGAGGTTAAAGAAAAAGCCTCCAGCTTGGACAGCTAACCATACTCAAGCTGTTAAAAAGATCAAAGGTAAGGTCAAAACCTTGCCCTGTCTTTATATTCTAGATCAAGATGCCTTCAAAATTATCGAATCAGATGCCTCAGATCAGGGTTATGGAGGAATTCTTAAACAAAAAAAGGATTCCAAAGAGCAGCTGGTCAGGTTCACCTCTGGGACCTGGAATGAAGCTCAAAAAAATTATTCAACCATCAAAAAAGAAATATTGGCCATAGTAAAGGTCATATCAAAATTCCAAGGAGAATTATTGAATCAAAGATTCTTGCTGCGTATAGATTGCAAGGCAGCAAAAGATGTCCTCCAAAAGGATGTAGAGAACTTAGTCTCCAAACAAATCTTTGCCAGATGGCAAGCAATATTATCATGCTTTGACTTTGAAATAGAATATATCAAGGGAGAATTAAACTCCCTACCAGATTTCTTATCTCGTGAATTTTTACAGAGCTATGGCACCTAAAAGGAACTTATCAGCCCAAGGGAGAACTACAGAAAGTTCACCAAATAAGCATAAATATAATGAACTAGGAAATATCATTCCTAGAACCCCTACAGTTCAAGAAAAGTATGGGAATAATTCATCTTATATCCTCAATATAGAGGAAGTAATTCTGCCATTAGAATTTGGAGACTCTGATCTCAATATTATCAAGATTATGGGAAAGTATTTCCCACAACACCAATATTTTATCCCTGAATATCCAGGGAAAGATCAAAATTATTACGAGACCATATTATGCGAGACAAGAAGTGCACAGATATTCCATACAAGGAATGGTGATGAATTGGGATTCACAAAATTATTGATCCAAAAAATTATAAGTATCGATGATTGGGATAAATCATCAAATCCTTATGTAGCCAGGACTATATATTCTACATCCTGTGCAAATAAAAGATATAACTATTGGGATTATCAGAAGGCCTGGGAAAGAGTACTCCTCGTACAAAATTCCCAGATGAAGCATTCATGGTTTATTCGCTTCAAAGAAGGATGTGAGGAGATACCACTGTGGTTTTTCAGTAATTGGTGGCTGAAAGCAGGGGCCATTCCTGAAATCCTACCACAAGAAATCATCAAAGTTATTACACAAGAATCAAAAAAGGATCTCAAGGAATATCCTTTTATCCTTATGCAATTTTGTGCCGAAACAGGGATGCCTTGGATACTAAAATGGGACCTCAATATTCAAAGAATGGAGTTCCCAGCAACCTTAAAGCGAAACTATTATGCAAGATGGTGGGATAAGTTTGCAATCACACCAATAATTGAAGGAAGAAAGTTTCGAGCCAAAAACAAGAAATCTCATGTGGCTCAATTAAAAGAAGATATAACAAGAGAATTATTAAAGGCAAGACCCGAGTTGACAAAGGGAGAATTGCAACTTCAAGTATATGAAACTATGTTTAAAAGATTGGAAGAATCACCAAAATCTAGTTCTACATGCAGAAGTCTAGACGAAGATTTGGTACAATGCAGCCAAATTAAGCCATCTTCGCCAATACCTCCTTATTACTCAATTAAGCAAGATAATGATTTAGATGAAGGAATATCAGATTTCAATCCAACACACATCTAGTCAAGATATGACGACAGATCTTGTCACGAAGATAATGAATAAAGATCTTGTCATCCCCGACAAAGATCACTATTCAAGATAAGGAATCTACACTATTCCAGATAAGATAAGTCTATGGTCAAAAGGCGATATTATGACATCTTTATTGAAGGTCAAAAGCGTCATCATCAAAGATTCTCTCCATGAAGTCTAAAGGGATATCATGAACTCTTTGAAGTCAAGAAGAGATATCATGAAGATTCTCTACCGAGCACTATATAAGGGGCTCACTATCACATTTCAGAGGCATCGCATTCCACACACAACACATCTCACTCAACCGTTCCTCTCACCGCTCCACCAGCCATCACACTCCACTCCACTCCATCTAAGTGTTAGTACTATAGTATAACCTAAATAAAAGACTCATGAGAGTCTAAGTGTGAGAGTCTATGTAAGAGTCTTTGTGAGAGTCCTGTACCTGTATAATTACGAACGTGTTGTACCAAGTCCTTGGTGTAATCTTCAGAAGGAACTACCTTCAACCTATCAAGGTATATGAATGAACACCTGGACCGTTCTATATAAACCTATTATGTTCTAAATATCTAATTATATATATATATATGTGTAACAAATGCTTTATTTTGTGCCCGCAACAAATAATGGAATAACTCTATACTTCCTTAACATATTTTTATGCGTATATTGCCCTTTTATATTGTATACTTAAGTGATTATATATAATTAAGTCTTGTAAAGTTTTACTGTGCCCACGTAATATGATAGTACTGCACCTTACATAAAATATATTTAATGTACAATATGAATTTAATTAAAGTTCAAATGCACAGATTATATAAAAATATTTTTTGGTAACATGAAATTTTTTAAAAAATACATACAAATAGAATTGCACCGTAGCGTTTAGCCTGCAATTTTTTTAAAAATGGAGTTGTTCCTCGTTTACCCTGCAAATCTCTATAAGTGAAAGTTCTTTCCCAAAATATTTCTACCATGTGCCACGTCATTGAATAAATATTGGCCATATGATTCAGAAAAAAACAAAAAAAAAAGAGAAAGAACCGTAGCCGTTCGATAATGGTTAAAAATATCGTGAAGGAAAGAAACGACTAGAGCCGTCGAAAGAGATCCAATCCCACCGCTACGGTCGCTTCTCGTGCTTTCTTGGTAGTCGATAAAATCACATTGTTGGCTTATTCGCCCTGTTCGAGAACGGGAGATAAAGTTTTAGTTTTCTGTGGCATACTTTAAATTGCTAAACGGTATGTAAAAATTTTATATATGAAAGTTATTATTCTAAAATATTATATTAATCTATTTTTTAAGTTTGTAATAATTAAAACTCAATTAATCACAAGTTACTACCACCTCGTTTTACGTAAAATACTTAATATTCATCTTCGTCATTTCAGGAGATTCAAACAAAGCTTTAATCACACTGCTCCATTCCGCCGTGCTGAGGCAGAGCTATAAACACATGTCGTGAAGATAATATAAACACATGTCGTGAAGATAAAAGAGGAGAGAGACTTCTAGCCAGCTGTAGTACGGATTCTTAAACATAATGTGTGTATGACATGTGGGACCATGCATATAATAGTGTAGTATATGTTTATAGGTAACTATAGTATGAGTTGTCCATTAAATCGACTATAGATGATTTGAAGCTAATAGTTGACTCTACTATTAAATTTGCTCTTAGAACATGTGTTAGAGCAGGTACAGCAGCAGATTATAAGCCAGCTATAAACATATTTTAAAGAGAAAATGTTTATATTTTAAAGAGAAAAAAGAGGAGAGAGAAGAGCAGCGGGCTACATATCTGTGGCCAGCTGTAGCACGAACTCCAAGACGTAATATGTGTATGACAGGTGGGACTAGGTATTAATAGTATAGTAAGCAACTATTGCATGAATTGGCTATTAAATTAGCTATAGATGTTTTGGAGTCAGTAGTTGGCTATAGACTGCTCCTTCCGTCCCAAAATAAGTGCAGTTTTGCACTATTCACGTTCAACGTTTGACCGTTTATCTTATTTGAAATTTTTTTATGATTAGTATTTTTGTTGCTATTAGATGATAAAACATGAATAGTACTAAATATTTTTAAATTTTTCACAAATTTTTCAAATAAGAAGGACGGTCAAACGTTGGGCACGGATATCCATGGATGTATTTATTTTGGTACGGAGATAGTATTAAACTTGCTCTTAGGAAACGTATTCATGGGACGTGAATGTGCCGTTGTTGTGTGTGTTCATGTGCCTCTGTACACATCAGACACATATTTTTGGCATAAAGAAAAATAACCTAAAAATAATAATAAAAAACACATTCCAAGTTTAGAGGACCGACCACCGCCACGTGGCAGCACGGCCGATTTCCCCTCCCCTCCTTTCTTCTCTCCCACGCCCTTCCTCCTCCAAACCCTCCCCTCTAAACCCTCGCCGCAAACGCAGGCCATCCAACCAACCCCCCCCCCCCTTCCCCTCCTCCTCCTCCTCCGCCGCCGCCGCCGCCGACGACGACGACGACGAGATGCCCCCGACCGGAGCGCTCCACGCCGGCGGCCGCCACCTCCTCCCGCTCCGCCGCGCCCCGGGTGCGGCCCAGCAGCCATGGTCCCACGTCCGCTCCCACCTCATCTCCTCCTCCAAGCGCCCCTCCCCCTCCCCCTCCCCGCCGCCGCCGCCGCCCCCGCCGCTGCCGGTTGCCCCGTCTACCTCCGCCTTCGTGCAGACCGCGGGCAGGAGGAGCGGGGGCGGGGCCGGGGCCGGGGCCGCCGTCGGGTCCGGGGTGGTCGCGTGGTACCTCGGCTCGATCGAGGCGCGGCCCGTGCTGACCAAGAGCGTCACCGCCGCCGCCATCTTCACCGTCGCCGACCTCTCCTCCCAGGTGGGTGTCTCTCGTTCGCTCTCTCTCTCCCAGGCGTTTGTGGCGCAGGAGTTTTGGATCAGTTAAAATGTTGCTGATGAGAGGAAATGCTATTGCTTTTATTAGTATAAGTCGTTTGTATTGAATGCAATTTCGATCGTGTATCACGGCCTTGGTTCTTTTCTGATTGTAGAAAGCGCTAAAGAATCAATTTGTGTGTTATATGTTGTGGGAAGTGTGATATATGTTTGTTAAACATACAATGTGCCAATGTGATGAATACCTACAATATCTATCTGGATTAGTATTGGTGTTTAGAGGATTGACTGAATAAGATTGTAGGAAGGGACCAGGTAATTGATTCGAAAGCTAAACCTGAGACAGTAATGGGGATCAGAATTCCATTACAAATTTGAGTCATGGTACTTAATTGCTTCTGTTGTGCGATTGCTTACAAGAGATTCACACTAGCCATGTATCTGCCAGCCTGATATTGGCTGGTAAAGTTTGCAGTGGGAATTATGTTGGACATTATGGTTGGAAATCGGAATAATGGTCGCTTGAAATACCTGTATTGTGTATGTACAAAATGTAAGACAATGGAACTTGTCGGAATATAGAACAAAAGTAACGAAACTTTGTAGAAATTTACCGGTTTGTGTTATTGGCTTGTGATTTTCTTGTGTTCCATACATTCTGATCCATATTTTTGGGCTTTGAACTGTTATAGGTATTGCATATTTTATAGTTGGGATGTAATAGTTAGTATAAATCTGCTGATATCTGTAGTACTCATCATTTTTAAGTTCAAATGAGTTTATTCATTTAAAAAGTTTATAAAAATATATTGTACTGCACTATTGGCTAAACCCCAAAACTCAAAGCACTCCCAGGATGATTCCCAGGTTACATTGACCTCTCAGGGAAGAGAGAATACTTAGACTAGGAGTATGTACATTTTGGGGATGTAGCTAGATCTACTTCATGATATAATGATAACAGTGGTGTCCTCGTATAGTTTATAGAGGTGCTAGATGAGTACTCCATCTGAAAGGAAATAGAAAACATAGCAACTAATAATCCTAATCTCCTATAAATCAATACTTCTGGCTTCATTAACAACTTCATTTACCTGATCTCTTTGCCTCATTAGGGCCTTGGCCCATGCCCATGACATAACACTACCATTGCCTTCTGTTGTGTCGGGTGAGATTTGATTGAGGGTGATAGCTTGCCTGCAATTCCGATTGTCGACTAGATCATTCCACAGACCACAGTGGTCCTACCATGTGGGCTTCAGCGACTGCAACACAAGTTTTACCCCTGTTATGCAGTCCAAAGCATCACCCGAAGCCATTATGCACTGGTTGGGCACTAAGGCCCAATGGCTGAGCCAGCAACACTATTGAGTCCATACAGCAAAGAGAGAAAGCCTGAAAGGTGTTGAACTTTTAGTTGATCCTCAAGGGTTCACCAATACCATGCTTGTTTATATAAGAAATCGTATGCTCAAATTATGCACCAGACAAAACATTGTAATAAATCTAGAAGACAAAATATCTGTCGTATTAAAAAATGGTGTGCATGTAATTAAGCCAGGCTCATTCTCCGGGATGAAGCAGTAGGCCAGTATCTGCGTTTGATCCTATTGGTATTATTTTATTGTTTTTGTAGAGGGTAGCACTTCCATAAATGTTATGAAGAGAAACCTTCCAGCTGTTTCTAATTCTTGATTACCTACTAAATATGGGGTTCTGTTGTATAAACCATATCATCCAGCATGTTATCCTTGTAAGAGCTTTTGTGCTAATCAATCATTTGCAGTGTTTATTATTAGTAACCTACGAAAAAAAGTGTCACCAATAATGGGTGGCACATGTCATTAGCTACATAATATGGCGCAGATGTGCATCATTCTGAAAATATGTCTTGATTTACATGTCTATGGAAATTCCTCCTGGAATTTGATGAAATTCCTGCCTTTCAAACAGGACCTTAAGTTAGATAGGTTTCCTGATCCTGTTTATATTAGAAGTAGGATACATGATTAATATTATGTGTAAGAGGCTTATTTTATGTTGTGTCCTGTCATACTTTGATCATTTAACCCGTATTATTTAGGCTTCTACCTTTTATTTATAACGTTTTTGTTTTTCTTGGTTTCTATCTTCAATTTACAATGTTCTTGTTTTGCTTTACTATGTCAAGTCATGTGATTCTTTTGTGTTTTTTGCTATATTGCCTCATCAGATGATCACACTTGGCCCTGAAGATTCACTTGATCTAGTTAGGACTCTGCGGATGGCTAGTTATGGGCTGCTGATCTCAGGACCTTCCTTGCATATTTGGTTCAACTTTGTCTCAAAATTGCTCCCCAAACAGGACGTAATGAACACCTTCAAGAAGATGTTTCTTGGGCAAGCGGTTTATGGACCAATTATTAATTCAGTTTTCTTCTCATACAATGCAGGATTGCAAGGTATGATGCACATGCCTCTGTGAACAAACTTGGATTCTTTTCTTTTTCCGAAGAACAAACATTGATTCTTAAAAACATCTATTTTTTCTCTGTTTGGTGTTTATGTGCCTTTGCATGTGCAAATCGTTGATAAGAAATTAAGAATTTAATTTAGGCTTCCTTTGACTTGTTTCTATAACTCTTACCTTAAAGTGCTACACTGACCTGTTAACTACTACCATGATGCTTATGCTGACCATGGCTGAAAACTCTATTTTGATAAAATGTTAGTAAACTACTGATTGAGAGTTGAGACTGCAGCATATAGGATATGACATGATCGACCTGCTACCTTTTGTAGTTTTTTTTTATTGGCGTTCAATGGTGAGGTAAAGAGCTAAGGATATGAGATTATGATGCATTCTTCAGACTCCCTATCCTGTCCAATGAAAATAATATAAGAAAAAACCTTTAGAGGCATTAATCTTGCTAGTTGCTACACGAGCGGTCCAGTATTGCTCAGTAGTACACTCTCTGATGCAGTGGCCGTTCTGTTTATATGGTTTCTCATTTCTGTAAGGTGCAACAATTAATGTCTTGGGTAGAAATCACCAACATTGCGCATGTTAGCTATAAATTTTCTGTCTCACTGTCTGTATTGTGTGAAACAAACAAAAATATCCATGTGACAACAGGTTTGCACTTCCGTTTAACACGGTTTTGTTGGTTAGGTGTCTTGAGTGGCAAATGACTGAAGACAATATTTAATGTCCATATTTATCTGATTAGGTCAGGACCTTGAGGAAACTGTTATTTGGTTAGATCCTGTGTCAAACACTTAACATGGTCAACAGGTGACTAAAGTTTTAGCACCATCCATGTTGTATGCTTTGATTGCTATCTAGTGTCACAATCACTCCTAAATTGAAAAAAAAGCTTTGTATGATGAAATGCAGCTGCTTCCACATGCTGATATAGGCCCTGTTTGGGGGAGCTTGTCCCAGCTGCAGCTTTTGCCAAAAGCTACTTCTGCTAGAAGCTGCCCCAAACAGTCCACAGCTTTTTGAAAAATGAACTAAGAAGCCAGAAGCTGGAGAAGCTGGGTTTCAGAGCTTTTCCAGATTCTCAGAAGCTGGCTACCAAACAGCTGCTTCTCAGAATCTAAAGCTCCCCCAAACAGGCCCATACTCTGTAGATGTTTCAGTTTCAATTTTGCGTCTCATTCATGCATACCTTGATGCATTGTGCATTGAGGTTCTGTAGATTGCTAAATGCAACTAAGGTGAAAAATCAAGACCAATATATATTTACATGAATGGATGTGATTGATATATAAAATGAACTCAGGTAGCAGTATAAGATCCAGTAGTAAATTGACTTATAGCACATCGTCATGTACTGTGAAATAAAGTTGAAATTTCCCATATGATCCCAGATTCAGATTAGAAAAATATAAATTTAGCAATGTACTTAGCAAAAATTTGTAATTGAAATTTGCAAGTTGATAACTTTAGAGTACCACCAGTTCATTATAATCTTTCCTTTTTGAAGTAGTCATTTCAAGTGAATTCCTTGAAGTCTCTGATCTATCGATTTAGGATAAGGTTGCGTGCACTATACATTTATTACCACTATGTACTGTTTAGCATGATGGGAGAAGCTATGTTCAGATAGGCTTAGATGGAGTACACCTTTCCCACTATCTTTATCACATAGAAATTTTTCTTGTTGAAACTTTTGTAGCAAGCAAGCTCCTGTGTGCCCTAATTGCTTGTTTGATATGATTCATAGGTGAGACCATCCCAGAGATCATGGCAAGACTGAAGAGAGATTTAATCCCGACCATCAAAAGTGGACTTATATACTGGCCACTTTGTGACTTTATCACTTTCAAGTTTATCCCCGTTCATTTACAGGTAACATCAATTTCCCAACACTTGTACCTATTTGAACACATTATCTCATTCTGAACTGAGTTTTTTTTTCCCCGCAGCCGCTAGTGAGCAATTCCTTCTCGTTTCTTTGGACCATCTACATAACATACATGGCTAGCTTAAAGAAAGCAGATGTTGATGTGACCACGAGTTCATAATCAGAGCTGAATGAACTCCATGTGTCGATTGTGTTAACTATTAGTACTTTTGCAAGATGGTCTTCACAGGAATTAACTGGACTATGATGCGGCTGGCTATATCACTATCTGCTCCTCTCAATGGGAGGCTAGAAACAGAGATGAACTTATCCCTACCTATTATTTCTTTAGTGGTGTATAGTGTCCACTAAACCTGCTTCCTCTTTTTTCCCATTTTTTTTTATTTTGGCCTGAAGGCCTTTTGTTTGGATGATAGAGGAAACCCATACTAGGCATTTATTCTATCTTTCCGGGTTTCTCATTCCACGGCTCAGAAGCCAAGCAATTTTCACCAAATTTACTGTAACCAGCTATGGAGGTGTAAGGTAATTTTGTTCTTTTCAGTAAGATAAGTCGGACCGAACAAGGTTTATGCTCCAACATCTTTTACATATGATGCAGCTTTTGTTGAAGAATATATATTTCTTTGGATTTTCTTCTTCTATGTCTGAAGAAATGATTTTATATTTCACTAACTTTCATAGGGTCTGGAGTAGCACTTCATGTTGCATGTTTTCTTTTGTGTGCATTTTCTCACTCTTTTGAGCCTTCCAGTTACTCTGAATTAGTGTCATATACATATACATAAAAGAAGCCTTTTTTTTTTATCTGAGATTTTTGAGTTTTTGAACACTCATAAAGCCACCCATCATAGCTAAGTCATCATGCCATCTTCAGACTTAAACATTGATAGAGCCAAGGAGATTGCATGAGCTGATCATCATGCCTCTTGCTCTCATTCTGAAACCTTAGGGCTACATTGGACTCAGGGAACCGCTGCTCCGACTCTGATTCAGCAGAAGTCGACGATGACACTGTTGCTCCGGAGTCCGAGTTGGATGGCTTCTCCTGCTTCCTACCAGCCCCAGTTGCCAGTGTGAGTTCAAGGTCGAAATCTTCAACGAATTCGGGGGCCTTCTTCTCCCCCGAGTTTCTGTACCATTGTTGATGGTCCATCTCCAATCTTGGTATGGTTCGGTTGTCTGCTTTTGCTTGAGCCTGGGTTGAGATGCTCTGCATCTCTATCATCAGTTGCTTCTGAACCCGGTACACACGATGCAGCTCATTGACCTGCGTCGACGAACAAAGAGATGAGATCAGTCTACACTCCAGAATTGTAGAAAGATTCTACTACAATCAGTGTACACTTCAGAATTGTTGAAAGATTTGTACTATCTCTGAGCAGGCATTGTTGGTTTTGGTTAAACATGTTTTACCTGTTGTCTGAATGTCTGTTCCTGCTTCAGGATGGCCATCTTGATGTGTTCTTTCTCCATTTTTGTTCTCTCTTGTCAGCTCACTGGCATGGGCAGTATAATCTGATTCATGAGAGATGACAAAGTAAGTACAAATTGTTGCTGTTGCAAACAATGGCAATGGCTGACACCGCTACATCTATACGCTGCAATTATTGATGCATCTGTTGTTTAAGTGTTTGGTTGCGTGGATGGCTTTGTGAGTTCCTTCTCTCAACTTTTTTCATGCTGTGATTGTGACACTGTCTGCTGCTAACACAACCTTTGAAGTGAAGCCTCTGAATTAATCTTTTGTTCTTGTTTGGATAATTTTCTTGTTATTAGAGAGGACTACCAATCTTTGCAATGAAGTCAGGCAGGTGATAGCATGAGGCATTTAAGTTGCATTAGTTAGGTAAATGAGTATCCTATGTAAGCATAAATGTAATGTGACCTAACATCAATCATTTGTCTGCTTGTGTTTATACTCTTGCAAGTACACTGGCTTTCAGTAGAACAAAAAAATTGAGAACTCCAGCTTGGGTGAGACTTTTCTTGTTGATAATGTGTCATCCCATTTTTAAAAACCGATATTTTTTTTTTTGTTGAGAAAATGATGGGAAAAAAAACATGCAGGATGTAGATGCTACATATACACGAAACTTTTGACATTTCTGTAGGATACTAGAAGAGGCTTAGAAAAAATATATTTGAACAGAGGAAAATAACTATATGTAAATTTAGATGGCATTTAAGAAGTACTGTCGTTTACGTTTTGTATCAAAGTTGTACAATTAAACTGTGGATCATGCTGTACTGGAAATCATAAATTTTATGTTCAGTTATCTGAACAGGGACACGAATTCTTTCACAACTTCATGTCTCCAATGACAACTACAAAATCTACACCTTGAACGTCAACGATGTATAATGTTTCCAGACAGAATTATGGAAGAAGCAGGAAACGAGATGTACATATAGCATAATTCTGCATGATTTTTCCTAATACCATTGTTCAGATGGAAGCATGATTTTTCCTTCTACCATTGTTCAGATGTAACAAGAATATGCATGCATTTGTTTATGATTTCATAAACAAGACTGCTAAAATGCTCTAGAAGAAACAAGAGGAGAAGAACAGCAGCGGTTTTATCTTCGAAACCGAAACATGATGCCACACTTTCAGAAGGACAGAGCAACACAGCTCCTCCTTGAGCATGATGAAATTATGAAAAATCATGGAGCACAATCAAAGAATGAGCTTCGCGAAACTTTCGGAAATGCAACCATATGCTCCATGGAAGCCTCAAGTGCAGTTCTTTGAGGAAAAGAATCATGAGAGAAGCAAGGTGGATGACAAGGGCCTTGTGCTCACCTCAACCAAGAATTCCTACTTCTGAATTCATCTGAAGAAAGAAGGCCAAGGCTATACTACCTCTCCTCCTCTTGTTCTTCCTCTCACAAGTAAGATCTCTTGCTAGCTAGACCAAAGGAAGGAACTTCTGGTTCTGCAAAGAGGCAACAGGTTGGCATGTATCAAATCTGGTGAGGCAGGAGGGGGGGATTTTAAGATTCTCCCCTGTCATTAGTTTTACTGTCATGGGGTGAAACCCTATGGGCATGCCAAAACAAATCCAAGTCACTTAGGCCAATGGAGTTCAAGTATGATAAAGGTGCCAAAGATGCTCCTATGTAGTGCCAAGAAAAGGATAGGACCAAGATAAGAAGCCCCAGCTATTATATTCTCATTTTTGCAAACACACCAAAAAAAAAAAAATCCTACGCGCACCCGCTGACACTGTGTCACGGAGGATTTTTCGTTGTCGAAGGGATGAAAATTTATATGTTGGTATTGCTAGTTTACATGGATCTGTTGATTTTATGATTTGTAGGGATTCTTGTTACTGAAGTTTACTGAGCTGTTGGTAAGATTTGGGGCTGTGTAGCAATATTGGTTTTGAATGTTTTTTTTTGTGTTGTGGATCACAAGCATCAGAAGGATCACTGAACAGACAACTAGGAAATGCTATGTTTAGATTTCATGCTAACATGTGCATTGGTTTAAGAATGCCATAACCACTTGTCCCAACTAATTTAAATACTTGCAATATACTGTCACTGAAAGTCAGAACAATCTGCCTTCGCTTCACATGGGAAAAAAAACTAGAATAACAAAAGCCGCCCTACCATTTTCGATAGCGGCAGGTAAGTAGAAAAATACTACTCCCTACAGATTGCGGCAATGTTCATATTTAAACTACAGAGGTAGCTATATTTTGGTACGGAGGGATTATCATTCTTTACCGGGTTAAACGGTTTCTTACAGCGCGAACGGACAGTCAAGATTTGATCTGACTTGAAATCCTGCAGGAATTCAGATCCACAGCAGGTCAATCCTGATCAGATTCAGAATTGAAGTTGGATCTTGGGTTGGCTTATATGCAGCTCAAGATTGGGCAATGTGATTGGATAGTGAGTTATGTGGAGTAGTTGGTCACAATAACATGTGTTGGTCCCCTCCCCCATTTTCTCTTCTTCAGATTTGTGAGGCCTGCAATGCAAGCAAACTGTTCATCCTGAATGTGATATGTAGTATTATTTTGTTCATCCCCAAGGGATTTGGACAATCAAGCCAGAGGGTATGAAAAATCCAACACTGCATGATTAGTTCCAGACCATGGTGTCAGCCCCTGTCATTGTCCATCTCATTGCTTTCAGGCCTATCAGATGCATGTCTCTGTCACCCTCTTCCCCAGGGATTAATTAGCTGGATTTTTTTTTTGTTCCAGGGTTTAATATCTGTCATCTGGTTAATCAGATACTTCAGATGCATGAATTTGTTGAACACGTGGTAGTTCTTCATGCCACAGAATTCCTTTGCATCATTGCATGCATTATTTGGAAATGGCTGTGGTTTTGTTTCTAGTAAGTGGTTACTTTGTCCTAATCTCTCTTGTACCATTCAGAAAACAGCATTAGTAACCTAATTATGTAGTAGAAAATTGATTACAGAAGTTCTGGAAATGATTCCTCATTACAAGAAGTACATGATCTGGGGGGTAAACTGAGCTTATATTTACTGTTCAAATTTAATTAGATTTTTTTTGGTAGTTGTACTTGGAGTATCAGGTAAGACTGCACAAGAACAAATGTCATAAGACATAGGTACTCGGTGTCGGACAGGTCCATGTGGTTTTTACTATGAACAGGACCAACCTATCAGTCAGTATCAAATTGATTTTACGACAAATTTTGTTTCAGATTACTTGAACAGCTAGAAAAAATTTGCTCGAAATTGTCTTCAAATGAACACCATTTTGTTTCAGATTACTTGAACAGCTAGAAAAAATTTGCTCAAAGTTGCCTTCAAATGAACACTGTGACACTCCCTTGAAAAGAGGGGGTGAACAGAAAATCGATTGGAATCTTTTACAATCGACCACAAACAAGATCACACCATTTGTTAAAGGAATAATGAACATTAAGATAGACATATCACAGAAATAGAATTCCAATAGGCTCTTAAAAAAGCCAGGCAGCTAGCTGAGCATGCGTGATGATGTTTTCTTGGATTAGACGGCTCAGAAGAGAAAGACGACATAATTTGGCAAGCAAAAATATTTTGGTCTAGTCATCTCATAATCATGTACAAATCTATCCAGCATGCCAATCATGTAGGGAAAAAACAAACAAAATCTTAATAAAGGATCCATTTAAGTGTGTTTATCCACAATGTTAGATGATTGATAATCAATGGTGTCCATCTTGTTCTTTTTGTATAAAAAAAAACTTTCAAGTTAAATTCTCTTCAGGAACTTAAGGTGAAAAATTCAGCAGGACCCACCTGTCAATGTCAACAGACAAGCATGTCTGTGCAATTCACACACAACTTATAATAATTACTACCTCCGTCCCAAAATAAGTGCAGCCGTGGATATTCGTTCCCAACGTTTGACCGTCCGTCTTATTTGAAAAATTTGTGAAAAATTTGAAAATATTTAGTCACACATAAAGTACTATTCATGTTTTATCATTTAATAGTAATGAAAATACTAATTATAAAAAATTTTCAAATAAGACGAACGGTCAAACGTTGAATGTGAATAGTGCAAAACTGCACTTATTTTGGGACGGAGGGAGTATTTTTTTGTCACAAGAAGACACTAATTGTACTACTATGCCCATATGGTCATATTCACACTCATATGTTGTAACAAGAATACAAACACCAATAGATGATGCCTTGTGTAATATGCTCATCACTGGGGTGATCTGTGAAACTCAGTGTAAGGGGGGCTCAGTCTCTATGATTGTGTCATGTCCTCACATCAGCACATTAGATGCAATGTCAAGGTCTACCTTGGTCCCTCCCCCCTGTGCTTGGCAAAAGAAAACAAAATCCCCAGATCTACCTACCTAATAACCAATAATTTCTCTTACATGCATGCAAACAGTTGAGATTGCACATGGGTCCATCCATGCATGTGTCTCTGTTGATCATCTCAATTCATTTTTATGTGCTTTTCTTTTATTTCTCAACAAGCATATTTTTCCTGGTTTAATTAAACTAATTTTTTAACATTCTTATATATATATATATATATATATATATATATATATATGCAGCAAAATTTTAACATCCTTCTTATTTGACACTAATTTTCTAAAACACAATGTGAGTTCAGGACCCACATGGCAGTGAGACATTGATGGCAAGTAAGGTATTGTGAATAAGGAATTGTTAGTATCACAATTAGATCTAGTATGGCATTGAAGGTTAGATCATTATCACATAAAAAAGGCTCAAAAGAAGATTCCACTAACACATCTATATTTCTTCTAAAACTACTAGCACCCATATATATAAGACTTAGGTAGATATAAGGTGGGAGATTTAATTCAATACTGAACAGGGACATCAATAATTGTTGGTCCATAATAAATCCCAAAATTTGGAAGATCCCTACATTAAAAAGCTCCAATCTTTCATTTGTAGTTGAACGCAGCAGATGGTGAGAAATCCATTCTCTAAACTATTTAATTGCTTTGGATCTTATACATACTGTCGGAGGATCATGAAAATGTACTTATCTTAATCATATACCAGCTAGACTATTACTTCAAATAATTAATCTAGGTGACAGCTGTAGTCTGTGGATATACATTATTATTGTTAATTAGCGCAATATTTCCATATTGCTCGTCCCAAAAACTTTATGTCAGCTGATTTCTGTACTCCATCTTATCAAGACGTCTATCAAAGATCAATTTCAGAATTATTGCCTCCACCTTATTATTTCCAGATGAGTGTAATTCTGTACTTTTTTTGTGTAAATAAATATTTAGACGTGGCTATGTTAACCCTGCACACGAATTTGTACCGAAAAGTATTTTCACAATGTTAATAGTTTAATAGTGTTTCTTATGTATCTTGTCATATCCATTAGTGGTCAAAGATGCATTTTGGGGTCTTGTTTGCTTTTCGATCACACCTATTTTAGGAAAAGCTTGTGAATCAATCTAGTTAATATTGAGTTGGAATAAATTCTATTTAGCACGTAATTAAATCAGATAGGTGCTATATATAGATATATATTGAGGACTAATTTCAGGGAAATATTTGATTTGTTTTACCTTTTAGACTATTCATCACATATCAGTAACACCATTTTGCTAATTCAGTACACATTTACCCCATTTAAGTTCCGACTCTCTCCAATTAATAGTTTCTTGGAGCTGTCCTTTAGAGAAATCTTCACTGTACTCCCTAAACTATTTCACTTAGGCCCTTAACCCCCTAAAATCATTTTTCTGGATCATGTTGCTAAATAAGCCAAAAATTATGCCCATTTCTGATTGTCTACTCAGACTGAAGCTGAAAGCCTAAAACTATGCCAAATCATTGCACAAATAAGTTGAGTAAATGCTACCCCCAAAAAAAAACTAGACTAAAACAAACTCTAACACTCTCAATACTTTAACAGAGAATCGAAATTTTGCTAATAAGGTGTTGATCATAGAGCTGCTCATATAAATTAATTAACTATTAGAAGTTGGTACATGTTCTTCCCTCTTTTAGAGAACAAAATGCTGGAGATGGATGGTTCCAAGTGAAAACACATGTGGAAGCCACTATAGATAATTTAGGCAGCAGCAAGCAAAGAAAGAAAGAATCTTTTTATTTTTCCTTCTGATCCCTGGCTGATGAGGGTGAGGGAGGCCCCCAGACAGTGGAGCACGCCTTGCCGGGTTGAAGAGGCACATTGCCTCATCCATGGTGGGGCCTTTGCCAGGCAGCAATAGATTGGGGCTTGCATTTGCAAGCATCATCATTGATCACCCAATCTGAATAGTACCCCCTTCCGTCCCAAAATATACGAGATTTTGATTGAATGAGTAGGCTCTATGCTAAGATTCGTAGTAGTATGATATGTCACATTCAGCCAAAATCCGTTATATTTTGGGAGGGAGGGAGAACTCCCCTTTCGTTCTCAAAATAAGTTGATTTTTGGAGCTCAAACTTTGTTGCAAAATATGTTAAATTCTACACTCTTATGTAATTTCTCAGTTTAAAAATCGAGCAATTTTATTACTTCAATACACTTTGCCTATTTATTTGCCCACCAAAACTATTTATCTACCAATGAGAGGCACTTTACTAAAGTTTTCTCTGGATTTGATGGATCAACTTGTT